TATATTAAGTGAACCATCGTTAATATGATTCCGCTTAAAATGAAACCATTGTCATAGCAAATTTTAAAAGTTTTTCACTCATTTTCAACTGATAAAACTCCGGATATAACGAAGCTTTGCTACAGCGAATTATTTTTTAATTTCTTTGCGATTTGTTATTTATTATTAGGTTGGCCGGTTATGGATTTCGGAAACCTTTGGTAGTTAATTTATTTCGCACTTTGATTGACCCGTTGTTGATTCGTTTTGTAGAACATTTTATTGCGCGTCTTATGGTATATATCCTGTCTTTATTGCTTGTAGCAAAATTTTTAAATTTTTTTTAAAAAGTGTTTGTCTCAATATGTAATGAGCGAATGTATAGTATCTGTTGTACAACTTTAAAAAACTCAAATCAGCTGCAAAATGCTATCGATCGTTGATAAAAGCTTTTGGAGATGACACTATATCAGTACAGGTTTCAACGATTCAGGAGTGGCGTTGATTAAGTACATCAACGTCGACCTGAAGTTGTCACCGATGACGAACTGAAAGCTGCCGTCAAAGCAACTTCATATTCCACGACTCGGTGACACGCAGAATCTTTCTAATGTTTCCACAGTACCATTGAAATTCTTTTGCACAACAGATATCAGATTATTTCACAATAGTGAACGTTCATACGTAGCAAACGTGAACCAATTAAAAATTGAGAAAAGGAGATAGAAATTTTTACTTCACCTGTCTTACTCACCTGATTTGGCACCTTTAGATTATCACCTGTTCAGGTCTAAAAAAATTGAAAACCGTGATAAAGTGTACACATTAGTTGACAACTATAAAATTGTAGCCAACTCAATTCTTTTACGAAGGTTTTCATTTTTTGCGTGCACGTTGGAAAGAAGTCTTCTTCTGGTCTAAAACATACTAATTTTTTAAAATTATATGTACAAGAGTATTCATTTGATACCCTCTAATTACTGCAACATAATTTCTTTATGTTTCAGTAATTTAAATTTTCACCAAAACTTTCACTTTATATCATTATCTATTCTCTTCCCGACTGTTTTTTTAATCTCCAAAATGTTTGTAATGGCCATATAATGGCGTTTGGAAGCGTTCGCTTTGATTCTAAAGTGGTTTACATTTCCTGGTCCTTCTTTTATCAAGATGGCTGAAGATGTGCATGTAGCTATGTTCTTCTTGTTTGTAAACATATACGTGTGTTTGTGGTTAAATTGTGACATTTCTACAAAGTGATACATCACAGCGTAGACGTTTTGGTTATGTACGCAGATTTGGCATAGAAATTTAGATATACGTGTCTATGTTTGAAAATTAATGTTTATATATTGAAGGTTTACATATATATTAACATATTATGCTTTAGTTAATATATGTTTACTTAACTGTACAGTAAATGTTTTATCTTTACAGTAAAATATATATTTATTATTCTGGAAGCACATACTATATAGTACGTATATACTTGTGATAGTACAAACAAACATACTATGTAGTACGTATGTATACCCTCACTAGTAGTAACCTTGAATAGTAACTTATAATACCTTCATTAGTTCACATTTTGTTTACTCTTATATAACTTGAGACTGATCATGCCCTTTGTTTGAGTTTAAAATGATTTATTGTTTTGTTAACAATATTTTGAAAAGTTTATTACAGAGATCTGTCGTATGTTTGATGTCAAACATTTATTTTATCTTCTTATCTTGTTTTGAATGTTTTTGAATATAATTATATTATATTATAGGCTCGACTTTGGTTTAGAGATGGTTAAAAAATTCATTTTTAGATTTTTTATGAATAGACTAGATTGTAAAAAGTCTGAGACTGATCCAATGTTTTTGTCTGGTTTTGGCCTTTTCCCTTAACCTAGGTGTGCCGGTCCAGCTTTTTTTAAATTTACTTTGGTTTGGCATGGCCTCTTTTATAAACTTGTAAAAGTAATAACTATTACGTTGTTCATATAATTCTACGCCCTCTCAAACCAAATTTTTAGGTAGGGGGCACATAATTATTTAAACGATTTAATAGAACAACTTGTGTAAGCATAATAGCTTTAAAATCATATCCATTTTATACTTTTTGCAGATCAAGTATTTCGTTGTGGGACTTAAGTTTGTTCATTATGGCTTTAATTTGGGCCCGGCCTTCAATTTCCCAAAATCCCGGCTTCTTTCATATCTGCATGGGACCGACCTAGTTCGGGCCGGCTTTGGTTAGGCCTATGGGACTCTTCTTAGTTGTTGTATAAACTTGTAAAGGTCTTTCCTAATTTGTCACATTAAGACATTTTAGTGATTAGTTTTTTTTATTAAGAATTGCGAACGTTTGTAGCTAATTTAAGGTTAAAAACGTGTGTTTGTGGCTATTTTAAGACGTATAACGTATGTTTTTGTCTATTATGAGCTAAAAAGTAATGAGGCGATTATGCTTACGTACGGCTCTTGATCAAAAATGCCAGACGTTTAAATGTCATGGCTACTAATGGCTATTTTGGCACTTGGAACGCTTATATTGTACCGGGCATGACGTTTTTCTTCTAGTTTTTTGGTTTAAAATTCAATTATAAAAACTTTTTACAGCTGAAAATGTGCTAAAAATTCAAAATTGATTTTAATTTTAAATTTGAATTTCTTGAAATTTTAAAGTTTCAAGTTTTGTAAAAGTTTTAATTTTATATTGGATCAAACTCTTTGTTTTCACCTGCCCTCCACTCCAAAAACACTTGTTTTATAGTTTTTAACGTCTTTGAGGGCATTTCATTTTAATATTTATAAGATCCTTGTAATAAACAAATGTGTTTACATGATTTTGCAGGATTCATTATAAGGCCGCTTAAGTTAATCAAAAAAAAGAAATTGCTCGCGAAAGCCGTATCTTGTACTTGAGAATACGTTTTCTTTGTACCGACAGACCACTTGTACAGTACAGCTCTTCAAACTGATATAAGTATCTATCTTTTAGTTAATATAAGTTTTTTTGCTATATTTGGGTACTCGATGTTTGGTTTGATATTTTTTAAAATTTTTATATCTACATTACACTTGGCCTACATGGAACTTTAGGTTGAGTACTAATTTGAGTACTACTCTCAAAAAAGTTCCTTTCCCTACCCTACCCTACCCTACCCTACCCTACCCTACCCTACCCTACCCTACCCTACCCTACCCTACCCTACCCTACCCTACCTTACCCTACCCTACCCTACCCTACCGTACCGTACTCTACCCTACCCTACCTACCGTACCCTACCCTACCCTACCCTACCCTACCCTACCCTACCCTACCCTACCCTACCCTACCCTACCCTACTCTACCCTACCCTACCCCTACCCTACCCTACCGTACCGTACTCTACCCTACCCTACCTACCGTACCCTACCCTACCCTACCCTACCCTACCCTACCCTACCCTACCCTACCCTACCCTACCCTACCCTACCCTACCCTACCCTACCCTACTCTACCCTACCCTACCCTACCCTACCCTACCCTACCCCTACCCTACCCTACTCTACCCTACCCTACCCTACCCTACCCTACCGTACCCTACCCCTACCCTACCCTACCCTACCCTATTCTACCTTACCTTACCCTACCCTATCCTGCCCTATCCTATCTTATTCTATCTTGCTATAACCTACCCTACCCTACCCTACCCTACCCTACCCTACCCTACCCTACCCTACCCTACCCTACCCTACCCTACCCTACCCCTACCCTACTCTACCCTACCCTACCCTACCCTACCCTACCCTACCCTACCCTACCCTACCTTACCCTACCCTACCCTACCCTACCGTACCGTACTCTACCCTACCCTACCTACCGTACCCTACCCTACCCTACCCTACCCTACCCCTACCCTACCCTACCCTACCCTACCCTACCCTACTCTACCCTACCCTACCCTACCCTACCGTACTCTACCCTACCCTACCCTACCCTACCTTACCCTACCCTACCCTACCCTACCCTACCCTACCTTACCCTACCCTACCCTACCCTACCCTACCCTACCCTACCCTACCCTACCCTACTCTACTCTACCCTACCCTACCCCTACCGTACCCTACCGTACCCCTACCCTACCCTACCCTACCCTACCCTACCCTACCCTACCGTACCCTACCCTACCCTACCCTACCCTACCCTACCCTACTCTACCCCTACCCTACCCTACCCTACCCTACCCTACCCCTACCTTACCCTACCCTACCCTACCCTACCGTACCGTACTCTACCCTACCCTACCCTACCCTACCCTACCCTACCCTACCCTACCCTACCCCTACCCTACCCTACCCTACCCTACCCTACCCTACCCTACCCTACCCTACCCTACCCTACCCTACTCTACCCTACCCTACCCTACCCTACCCTACCCTACCGTACCCTACCCTACCCTACCCTACCCTACCCTATTCTACCTTACCTTACCCTACCCTATCCTGCCCTATCCTATCTTATTCTATCTTGCTATAACCTAACTTTGAACCCTACTACAATATAAAAACCAGCCAATGAACCCGAGTACACTGTGAAAACATGTTGTTTGTCTATATTCTAATGGTCAAATTATGTTGTTATTTCATGGCACGGTAATCAAATACTAGTGGTATGTCTACTTTCAGCTTGTGTGAATGTTATGTGGGTAGTACTAAGAGTGCACTCTTTTTTATTTTGATGCTTTAGGGTACAAAATTAGTTACTTTAGGTCGTTATGTAAGGAAGTTACATTGTGAGTTGACTTGTATTTTACATTTTTTGTATTTTTAAGTAGTTTTAAGATTTTTTTAGGCTTTTTAAGGCTTTTTGGAGGCTGTTTTAAGAGCATTTTCAAGCCTTCAGAAGTTATTTTAAGACTTCTGAAATTTGCTTTAAAGCCTTTCTCAAACCTTCAGATGTCATTACAAGCTTTCAGTAACGTTCTTATACCGTGATGTAACCAACTTTTATAAAAAAATCATTTTTAATTGTCATGCGATTTCAGAATGCGTCCCAATGTAAGTTTCGTGATCACAGCGACGGTTAAAGACCCTTTACAACAACTATGGAACAAGTGTTTAGATGACAAACAAATGCAGTTACATCGGAATGACTTAGAGAAGTATGTTCAACTATACCTATTCCCATGTCTAATTGTGTTTGGCATCTTGGGGAACGCTTTGAACCTGACTGTTTTGCTCAATAAACGCATGAGGAGCAGGTAAGGCAAGGTTTGTCATGTAACTTGATGGAAAATGATGTTTTGGACACGTTTGGTCGTATTATGATTTAAAAATTGATTTTTAAAAAAAAATTGGAAATTTTTAAATTTTTTCACTTTAAAAATTTAAATTTCTTTAAACTATTACCTATTGCAGAGCCAACACCTTCCTCTCCCTACTAGCCATCTCTGACATTGCCTTCCTGGTCTTCCTGACACCACATGTCCTAGCAACATATCACTTCCTCTACGTCAACTACTACTTTAGATGGTTTTACTTTAAAACCAAGATTCATTGGCTAGCCCTAGCCAACTGGATGTCAGCCGTGGCTATCTGGGTGGTGATAGCTGTATGTGCTGATAGGTTGATTGGGATACGAAAACCATTGTATATACGAAGTCATGTGGCGTCGTACAAGATGATGATGATACTGGTTATTATTGTGGTTGTGCCATTCTTATTGACACTGTTTAGACACTTTGAGCATTACTGTCCTGTAAATAATTTGTGTCACGATACTCAGGTCTACTCCAAGTGCTTTCCAATCACTCACGAGTAAGTTGGAATGGTTTTTTGTTGTTTTAGCGTGAAGTGTTATCTAAAATTTAAAAAAACTGAAATTTTTTAAAAATTAAATTTTTTGAAATTAATTTTTTTTTAAATTTGAATTTTTAAATTTTTAAAATTGATATATTTTAGTGTCTGGCAATCTCACATGTTCCAAAACACGTTTTCCTATGGCTACAGGAAGTTCATAAGGTTGTCGATACTGACGAACACCGTATTCATAGTAATGTGTCCAATTATATTGTTGGCCACTTTGAACATCTTGTTGTTGTGTGCGTTAAGGCAACGGTCATCTGAGATTTCACTTATGCAGGATGACAATGTCACTAAGTAAGCTTATTTTTTAACGCAGTATCTTTTTGTGCTATATTTTTTGGGGTACTGTGATATCTCCTTGTAGTACTGCAGTACTTCATTATGTACTTCTCTGTAGTACAGTAGGACCCCTTTATGGCACTGTAGTACTTTTTTTAGGACTGTGGTACCGTACTTCAGTACTTCTTCGGGGTGCTGCAGTACTTTTTTTGTGATACGGTAGTATTTCTTTGTAGTACTGTAGTATCTTTTTTTGCTACTGTGATACTCTATTGTGGTTCTGTGTTATCTCATTGTGTTACTGTGGTATTTTTTTTTGTGGTATTGTGTTGTCTTTTTGTGGGTCTGTGATACTTCTTTGTGATGCTGTTGACTTTTTTTGTGGTATTGGAATACCTTTTTTTAATACTGTATTTTTCAAATTTTTAAAATTTTTTCAAAAATTTGATTTTCAACTTTTCAGTCCAACAATGAACAACCACAAGCATCACAAAACGGAGCAACGAGTAACTCTAACAGTAACACTAATAGTCACTCTATTCACCTTCACCAATGGCCCTTCTGGCGTAGTCAGTTTCGTGGATTTGGTCGGAGAATCGAATCGAATGCCGGATTGGTGGTATAATGCTGGCGTGTTTGCTAACTCACTGGTCGTTGTTGGGAAAGCCAGCAACTTTATCATCTTCTGTCTGTTTTCTAAACATTTCCGCAAACGACTGTTCGGATTGGCACAGAAGAAAGTGCATGAAAAGATTGGTAAGGCTTACAGTAAACTACAACTTTAATGTAAAGTATTACAGTAAACGAAAAATAGCGGGACACTTTTTGGTTGAAAAATAACAGAAAAGTGTCCCGCTCCTTCTGGTTTAACCTAATATATTGATATTATTATAGTAGGGCCGATTGAAATAAGATAGAATAATATAGAGTAAGAATTTATACTGTAGAGTAAAAGAAAGAAGATGATAAGAAACGATAGAGTAGTGGAACTAACTGTATACGTTATATAAAGGTAGGAGAGAGTTGAGTAGGCTATGATACGATAAGACAAAGAACGGCAAAGTAAAAAAATAATATATGTTACTAAGATACTTTAAGATACCGAGATGTAAAGTAAGACTTTAGAGGTAAGATACGATAAGACAAAGAAACATAAAGTAGAGGTTATTACAGCTTATTGTTAAGTTACGGCAAGCGAAGATGAGGTAAAGTAAGGTACATTATTACGTGTTAATGTAAAGATACGACGAAGTAAAAAAAAAAGAAAAAAAGAAAATTAATATAGTTTAATCTTAAGATACGACAAGACAAATGGAGTAAAAGTACAAAGATTTACTATACATATGTTGGTGTAGAGGGTAGAATAAAGCAAAATTTTTTTAAATTTAAAAAAAATATTTCAAAAATGAAATTTTTCTTAATTTCAGACCTACTAGAATCCCGTCGTCGCTCATCAGTTCACAAAGCTTCGGGCTTATCACGTCGCGAAACAACCAACAGTCGAAAAGCTTCAACACAAGCCATGTTGTTCTGAAAACTACCTCAATTAAACATATTCAGAGTGGATATTCCGCCATGATCTCATCTACAACGCGATCTCTATCTCTCTCACATTCTTTCCTCAATCAATCTGATTTCTAACAAAATAAATTTCAATTTTGAAGTTGGTTTTAAATGTTTTATGCTTTTTTATTATTACTATAACATATATAATGAAACATTTGTCATATAACGTATAGAATATAAATTTTTACCGTATAACTTCTGTATAACAAACTCCTCTATAACGAAAAAACTGTATACAGATAACAGAACTTTTGGCGTACTCTGTAAAAAACAATTTTTGAACCCTAGCTAACACTACACAAAGCATTTAAAACTCGTATATAACTAACAAATTTACAAATTTTAAGCGATTCGTTATATTGAAGTTCTGCCGTACTATAACATATGTAAAAAGAAACATTTATGCTTTAGAAAATGCAACAAAATTCAACCTAAAAACGATTAATCTCAAAGTAAAACCTCGTTTATCATAAAACCTGATCAAACGTTCGATTTGAAGTGGGTTTTAGTATTTAGCAGTCGCGACACGACCTTCACTGCTAGATTAACCTTTCTGAAAAAACGCCTTCTTCCTACCTGTTAAGTAAAAGAACGGTTTATGGCGTATATTTCAACCTAGATTTCTAAGAAACAACTTTTTATTTGTTACTTTTAGTAAAGTGCGATTTAGATTTTAAATAGAAAGTACTTACCCTTGCTCGCTCAAAATTTTTAACTTGTATCTGGAAATTAGTGTATATTACTGTACACTAAGTTCCAGATACATACAAGCGCAACAAAAAGGAAGCAGTGTTAAATTATAAAGTATTCTAAAATACAGTGTATTACTTTATGTTGTTTGGTGACTATTTTTAGATTTTATACAGTTTGTTATTTTATAGTTTTTGGGGATTTTCTTACAGTTTAATGACTTTTAAGTGACGTTAGTAAGTTTTGCCTAAAAAAATTGATTTAGCTTTCATATTTGAGACTTTTTACTATTTATATACTACGTTAATATATATTTTGCGTATATATTATATATTAATTTTTATTTTTCATTTATTTCTTAAAGCATATATTATTATATCACGATTTATGATATATTACTATATAATAGCACCATATACTACAAGTCTATATGTATTACAATATTTTTATCTTTCTTTTATTTTTAAAAAGTTACCTACTTCCTTATAATTTAAATTCAAATTTCACTTGTTTTACATTTATATTGAAAGAAAATACAATTTTTCACATTCAAAACCGAATAACTAAATAAAATAGCATTTTTTAAATAAAAACCCATTCCCCCTTTTAACAAACTATTACATCACAGTCATACTCCATTTTTTACCTTCACTTACCTTTATAAATTTTACATTTATTCAAAAAAAAAACCACACAATTTTTTAAAATTGACCAATATATCATTAAAGGTTGGAGTTGGACGACTCGTACACCGTCAAAACCGTACCCAAACGGCAATTACCAACCGTAATCACCTAGTACCACAATACCTTATAAAATAATAAATTGTTTGGTAGTATAGTTGTTGCAGTGAATACAAGTATTTGAATAATATGGTATATCTAGACAACAATGAATAATAGGATTAAATAACAATCAAATTTACAATATCAAGTTAGAATAGAATTGGTATGTAGTAGAATACGGATAGTATTCTGATTTGGTGGGGTTCGTCAGTACGGTGCTCGGCAGCCCTTTTATACTTATGCTACTTTTAATTATACTCTTGTTCTATCATTTTATATTTGATAATAAATTGACTATGGACTAATTTTTTGGGTTGTAAAAACGCTACAATCCATTTAACCAGCTTGTAACCATCCGCGCTTTATTACCCACAACTATCAACACTTGGTCCTTGATTATCATGGAAGTAAAGGTTATATCTTTTGGGGTGCAGTCGAAGAAATAATATTTAATTTACTATGTTACTATGACTGAATTAACTTTGCATTCAATACAGTAACTAATGCTAATTGTAATTAAATTATACTAAATTAAATAGGGTAAAGTAGATGTAGCAGGTCCGATAACTCACTTATCGGTGTCGTAAGGAAATCTCTATGATAGAGGAAGGAATTAAGGATACCACAATACCACAATTTCCAAATTATCAGATGTACCAATTATGTACGTTCAAACCAAGCCGTTAACCCGTCCGCCCGCGTTGGCCAGCCTTACCAGGAACATCACAGTATTACCTACTGATCCACCCATCCTGTTCGGAGGTGTACAATACTCTCTCGATGACTATGCAGTCATGATGTTTACAAATGGTCCGTAGCAACATTTGCAAGCTGGGTGCTGTGAAAAGTGCACTGAAACCTATTTTTACTTTGAATGTTCTTTTACACAATGACCTTGTTATTGACAAATCAAATTACAATTTGTTAAGTGACCTTTTAATCAAACCGTTCGACTAACAAAAACCCGCCCTTTTTACAGCCATAAAAAACATCTGAAGTTACTATAAAAAGGGACGTTAGTTCCGGGTAAAGGCATCACTTCCAAAAGTTACATTTCTAACCACTACTTCTTTAATACTAAACTATTCTACTTTGTTGTACTACTATTCACTATATTACCGTACATTACTACTAAAATAAATATATATAATATTAATTTGGAATTTTTTATAATTGTGTCCTATGTTAATCTAATTTGTTGTTATTTCCTACAGTGCAACGTCGTCAACACACTGGCTTTCGGAGCCATACCTGTCGTAAGTCCAACGCAAATGGCTGGCTGAATGTTTCTCACCACCGGACTCTCTACTCGTGTTACAATAATATCCAAGTCGAAGAACATACAAACTAGAAAAACACTAAAGAAACAAATTCACGCTAAATTGTCAATCATTAAGATTGAAAATAGCTGAAAAGAACTTTTAAAGAACGTACCTATCAAAATAAGATTCGGAAGCGCGATGTTACTTTTCTTATTAAGGTAACCTGTCAATCAACGCAACACATACTAGATCACCGCTGTTCACCACCCTTACCATCACTAAGAGTGAACATACCCTTTTTACAATCACTCATTTGGGAACAGCGGGGATGCCAATCACTCTGATAAGACAGCGCGCTGTCTTATCTGCAGCGTACGGTGGCCTACCACTCCGTGCTCGACTGGTCCAACGGTTGATAGAAGCACCGGCGGCATTAATTCTCATCAACCACATGCCACGGATTCATACCACTAGTCGTACCATGTAGGTCCGTAGCTGAGTTCCACATAAATTTAAAAAAAACTTGTAATAAATAAATTAAAAAAGTGATAAACCAGTTCGGTTAATCTTATAAAAGGTCATACTTGTTGTTTTAAAAAATCTCTTCAAGGAGGCACTCTATGTAGGGGGTCTGCTGGAAAGGTTAGACTGTAACGCCCACCTCTTAGCCGTGTTATGATTGTATATTTAAACGGCGAAAATCGTTTTTTATTCAAGAGAGATATTACGGGAGAGCAGCTAGACGGCGGCGGCGCAATGCCCACCGCGGCGCTCTCTAGATATTTGACTACTGTTAATAAATTATTATAACTGTAATTATGGTATAATCTCTATTTAATATCCACGTAATTCATAATCAAGAATGCTGACCAATTGTTTTGCTGTGCTCCGGGACGAAGATGGCGTAAAACATGGCTTTATGGCCTACAATGCAGAAACATCTATTTTCTTGGGCGTAAACAGAGGATGCCAATTACGAATCCACAATCAGGAGTTTCTTTACTACGACGAACGTCGCTCGACTGACATTTACGTAAGCGCGCCTCAGACTAGGGCCGCACATGAGTAAGTAAATTTTTTCAAAAAGCTAATTTTTCACATAACGTAAAAAGAAATCAAAAATCATGTATAGAGTTAAAAATAGTACTTCCTAAATGTTCCGTAGTGTTAATTTAAAGTAGATTTGAAATTTCATTGTACAGGAAACATGGTTTTAATTTTATTAAAAATTAACTGGATTTGTTTCTGGGTTTTATGGATTTGGACTATTTGGATTGTAATATACAAATTTCGCCCCGGATACGCGTATGCACGTGATTTCCACTTCACAACCACGCAGCGCCCGTCAAACACCTTCACCGGCACCTTACTCATCAACCCCACCATTCCCGAATACTGTGACTATTCACTGATCGCACACTGCGATACCACTACGAGTTACGTTATATTATTATCAGTTGTACAAACGAATATTAAATTGAATAAATAAACTATAAGCGACATCCCGAATATACAATCTAATTAGGTCGACAATAGGATTACCTTTTGTGCGGCTTTACAAACATACGGAACCATGGGAGCCATAAAGGACTATTACAGAGCCAAAATTCAGAGCACAACCTCTGTAAGGTACAACGCACAAAACGAAACGGTAAGTTCGGATCTAATTAGACGTAGTCTGTTGTCCTATCTCCAGTCTAAAAACTTACCTCCCTACTTATAATTTAAATTCAAATTCATCTATTTTACATTTATATTGGAAAAAATACTATTTTCGCATTCCAAAACAAATAACTAAATAAAATAGTAAATTCTTTTTATATAAAAAACCCTTTTTTCCCTTTTTTAACAAAACATTACATCATAGTCATATACCATTCTTTCCCTTCACCTACTTTTATAAATTTTACATTTATTCAAAACAAAATTATTACATAATTTTTTTAAAATTGTGACCAATATATCATTAAAGGTTGGAGTGGACGACCATCGACTCGTACACCTTTAGAACCGTACGCAAACGGCCATTACCAACCATATTCATTTAATGCAATACCTTATAAAATAATTGTAAATACAGTCAAGTATACTCTATCCATCGCAATTGTTACGTCTCATTTAATTGTTCACTATAAAAAAGTTAATGATGAAAAAATAGTCAAATTATGCGGATCGAGTAAATTAAAACTAAAAAACCACATTTAGTTTAAAAATAAGGTTTGGAAAAATTACTTCGTGCTGCTAATCTAATCAAAACCATAAGATTGATGCCGACAAAACAAAATACGACCACAAGCATGCCAACAACATAACTTAATCCACAATATTGAACATATGGCGGTTTTTCGCTCAGCAAATCAATCTGCATATCCCATGAAGGATGAATACATTGTGAAGGCTCCAGATACCTGTAATAAGTTCTTACCAAATTGGAATGGAAAAAAACAAAACTCACGCCGCCGGGCGCATACATCGGCATGGTGCCTGACAAATTGGTAGACTGCCACACTTATCATTTTGGATCTCCGTTTCCACCCAGATAGACGTCTCCGCTACTTGTTCCCCACCGACAACATTGACAATCAACACACAAATAACCAAAAAGCTTATCTTCGACATAACACATCTATTCAATGAATCGCGAGACGCGATTTCTTTAGCCCGCGGATACTGTAATATCCGATAAAACCGACCCTAGCAAATCGCCCACATAATGCACGTGAGATGCACGTTAACAAATGCAGCACATTCCAAAGTCCACAAACTCGTGCTATCGTCAATCATACAGCCCAATCACAAGACCCCGCTCGCCGAACTCCTGCAACACACGTCAGTGGAAGTGATCAATCGATCACTATATCACTGCGCAGCACTAGTATAAAAGGGCTGCCGAGCACCGTACTGACGGACCCTACCGACTCAGAATACTATCTGTATTCTACTACATACCTTTAGACTTACCTTTATTTTTCTCGTAACAATTTGTTAATTAACCTTAGTTTAATATTAAAACATTTTATTCTAAATTGCATTTGATTTTCCCTTCAAGGGAAAAGCTTGGCATTCCGTTTGTGTTTGATGTGCTTAATTTAAAAAAATGTATCATCTTTTTTCGCATAAAACTGCGCAGCGATTTGCGCCCTAGTCGGCTGACCAAATGTCCCTCGGGCTGATTTTTTTGTATGTCTTTCTTCGAAAAGCTTTTCGGCCTTCTTTGTCGTAATTAAACAGAAAAAAGACTTGAAGATCTTCAAATTCAACTTCAACTAAAATCCGATGGCCTATTTTACATAATAACTTATCGGCCCGGAAAACTTACGGTGGTAACCTGACCTGTCCGTCTGGTTGGTGTTGCTTTTAACTAATTGGCTGGCCACTTTGGCATTGATTGGTTAGCTTTGTACTATTTCGGGCCTGTTCTAGAAAAGAATAGAGTAGGAGGAAATACTAAACTGGTCTTTTGGCCTAGGACAATTTTGGATCGAAGAAAAAAGACAGTTCGGGATCAGCGGTCGATGACAATGCCGGATCGATGAAAATATATGCTAAAATATACAGAAAAGCGTTGTCGTATGCTTTGAAAAGTTGTTCTCGCTATAAATGATTGTTTCTATGAAAATATACTGTTGTTGCCACTGCCACAACTTATTTTAGAATGACAAACATATTGTCTAAGAAGTTGATACATAAAAATAACCTTTATTTATTATCGAAAGCATGACATTTAATTATTCACAGTTGAAATATGTATTTTAAATATATTTTAATTCATTTGAAGATGCTCATAGTTCATGGGCTTGAGTAATTTCAACTGTATATGAGCGTAGATGGCTGTTCTCGGCCTTGTCAAGCAATGGTTGGTCGTACTGGACAAGCAAGGGGTCCTCAGTGGCATAGTCATCAGTCTCCAGATGTCTAAAATTGGAGTTTAAGTAAGTTGCTCATGTGCGCTATCATAACAAAGCAATCATCGAAAGTACCTTCAAAAGCAGCCTACCTCAAGTAAATACTTCTCAAGCTGGCCATAGACATTCTGCTGTAGTTGCCATCTCTCACATTCTGAACTGGACTGTATCTTTTGACCTGTGCGTAGCCATAATCATCTACTAGAGGTATCGGTGGATGCGGTAAGTCATGTTGAGTTTGAATACCGCGACTGATCATGATGACACATCTTTGTTCCGTTTCACTTATACTGATCTCTATGTCATCGCTTTCTTCGTGTGGTAAACTGACTTGACGCTCCTGTTCGCTGTATCTTCTGACATTATACGGTACTTCAGTAGTTGGTTCGTATTGGGTAGATCTGTTGTTTTCATGCTCAGTAGGTATAGCCAGTGGCGCTTTCTTGTCGTATTTAGTATGATAAAGATCAGAATCCGTCTTTAAGTTAATCTCTTCATAAATGTCATCGTACTTGTTGTATCTAGGTCTTTTACCTATCGGCCGCAAACTCAGTTCGGACATACGGCGAAGCAAGTCAGTATTGTTGAGAATGGGCTGTTTTGGCTGTAGATGAGATGGTGTTTGAGGAGCACTACCATAAGCTGAGGAATATGTTGATAACGGTCTTTTTGGCTTGTCATGTTCTGACGTTTGACCATTGTAGGCAGTGTGGTCATAGCAATGACAATGCTTTGGCACATAGTAAATGTAATTTGGCTCCGGAGATACTGGTAGTGCTTTTTGTGGGGCTACTAAAGCTTCTGAAGCTGTTTTTAGTGGTAGTACTTCTACACGACCATCTGGGATCTTCTGAAATTCAAAAATGTAAATGAGGGTCATTTTAACAATCAAATCTAAAAGCCGTATTTTACATAATAAATTTAAAATTCAAATTTCGAAAAAATTTTAAAAATTTTTTGAGATTTTTTGAAACAAAGTCTATGTCAATATAAAACGGTTTTACAGCCACCGCACCTTTTGTAATGTTGTCTTTTGGCGCAATAAAGGTGGCGATGGAGTTTCATTCTTTTCGTATTTGTGTGGTCTTACGATAGTTAACGGGTGTTTAGGCAGCTCTGACGCACGACGCAGAGAGTGAATCGGTATGTAGTGGTTGGAAATTGATCTGGAACTAACTTATTTTGTTATATTATATATTAGGTTGTTCAAATGATTTGTTCTCTAACACAATATAGAAAACAAAATTTTTGAGCGGTTCGTTATACAGTTTACTGTATTTTCAAAAAACTTGTAAAAAGTTCTTACTTTGCTGTGCTTGTAGTACTAGAGCTTCTTCTTCTTTGATCAATCGGCTTCACAGCAACTTTACTGGTACTGCTTACAGTTTTGCTTTTATTCGAAATTTCTGGAGTTTGATTGATAGCTTCTAGGCTTCTAAATAAATAAGTCACAATCAAAAACAACAAAACATTAAGAATTCCATAAGAAAATTGTAAATTTTACGCCATAGTAAAATACAATTTTTATAAATTAGTTTAGATTATAAACCTACTTTGTCAAAGCCCTAGCCAGCTCCAACGCGGACAAAAGCTTCGCTGGCGGAGGGTTTTCCCAAAAGCGTTCCCAGTTATTGGCTGGAGTGAGTAGATGAGGTTTGTACTTTGCCAAAGAATTGGGATCATTTACATCTGGATTTCTTGGTGGAGGCGGAATGTTCAGGTATGTTAGGCATGTGGCAAAGATCTATAAATGTTTGTTTTTACATTTTTATCTTTACAGAGCAGTTGTACCAAATATCTCTCGGGGTTTAAAATAAGAACACTATAGAATAAATAACATAAAACGTTACCACAAAAATCACTTTCAAAAACTGCTAATCAGTCATGGCTAACGAGATATTAGCGGCGAAAATCTTATGTGGTCAAGGGCTACTGCATTAGAGAAGTTGTGTTTGAATACCGTCGATTTCTTTTTGGCGTGAGGCTCAAAGTATACTTTTTCGAATAACTCGCTGACCAAGGCCATTTAGCAGTTTTTGAAAATGATTTTTTGGCTTTTTATGTCCTTTCATCTCATATAGTTCTTGTTTTAACACCGGAGTGATATTTAATACAACTAGAAATCATTTCGTGGCTAAAGCTAAAGCTAAACTAAAAATTTTATTTTTCTTAAAGATATTAAATTTTAAAACTTCAAGTTTTCACTTTTTAATTTCAGAAAATTATCAAAACTATACAATCTTTACCTTCAAGATGCCAAACATTTGTTTAGCCGATTCAGCACAGAGCCAAACCAGCTTTGGCTGGTGGTTCTTCTTAACAATTACTTCTACTTGAAAGACCATAAAGTTATCCGTATCCAGTCGATTATCTTTTTTAAATATAGGCAAGTTACCATAAGGTCTACATGTCGTACCAAAACGTATATTTTGGGCCGCTTTTTTTAGATCAATCGTTTGTAGTAGTTGTTTTTTGGCAGTGTTATCCTTGTAGAGAGTGAAAGAGGGGCCAGTAGAGTCGAATGATATCATCAGGTAACATTCTGAGAACTTGGTCTGGAATATAGTGGTATATTGTAGTAAGCTAAGATATATTTATAAAACTTAAAAAAAAAACTTTTTTTTTAAATTAGTGCTACATAGTACAGACGTACTATACATCTTCACAGCTTACACTTTCAAAAATTACAGTACCCCTTACCTTAGCGGTCTGGCAGAAGACTCGCTCCGTCCGCAGAATCACCATGATGCCAATAAAATGAGATTTGAGACAGAAACCAGCCGGTTTTATGAGCACCAAACATGTTTATCCAATGACAAACCGAGCAAATAATAAGGACATTCCAATCGACAATCGGCTCGATTATGCTGGTGTTAAATGGTCGTTACGATGGCTTCAATTGGCTTCAAATTTGTTGTGATAGAGGAAAAGTTTTGGAATTAAACATAAGTTTTTTGAGATTTACATTGAATGCATATTGCTTTAGTTTGCTTTGCTTTACTTACTCAACGTTATGTTAAAATAAACTTTTAATCAAAATGTGATCTAAATGACATTAAAATATAGAAGAAATTATGTATAACAAAACTGCATATCAAAAAAATCTGTATAAAGAACAAGTTTTGAACTCTCGGCTAACAATACAGTGTGTTTTTAAAACTCTTGCAAACCAAAACTCCTTTATAACGACAAATTTCAAATCATTGCACAGTTCGTTTACTGAAGATCGCTTGAAGTAGAAATCAGGCTATAAAGTAAAGTTATAAGGTAAGTTAAAGAGCAAACAAGCTCGACGTTAGATTATAGGGTGTGGTAGGGCCGAAAGCAACAAAGGCAAAGACAGCGTAAGGCAAAAGCTAAGCAAGACGAAGGCAAGGCAAGGTAGAAGGAAGGATAGAGCAGAATCTTCTTTTGGGTTTCGACCAGGCTTGGACACAAGGCAGGGCATTGAAAAATTTCCATGCCCTGCCCTGTGTCCTGCAATGCCCTGCCCTGTACAGGGCATTGCGGTTTCATGCCCTGCCCTGCCCTTGCCCTGCAGGGCATCAGGGCATTTACAGGGCATTACAGGGCATTAAGTATAATAGTACTAATAAATTCATTAAACATAATATAGTCACAAATAATGAATTACACAACTTAAAAACAAGTTATTTAACATTTAAATATTATTCTCTGTAAGTTCAAATTGATTGAGCAAGTAGCAGTAAGGTTTTCGTACTGTATGGAACTAATTTTTCTAAATTTGGTTCTTTTTGACATTGTATGATACCAAATTGTACGGTCGGCGGAGACTTTAGGGTATTCGGCGCAGGGTCGGCGGAGGCTTTGGGGAATTCTATTTATTCGACCTTACCCTTGACCTTTTAGTGGCCTTTTTAGCCTACCCGACCCTACTCTTGACCTTTTTAAACCTAACCTACTATACCATACCCATGTTGCCTAATATACATCACTTTACCATAAACTATCCTATCTATCATACCACATCTTAATATAACGTATCATATTATACCATACTATGCCAAACTATACTTGACTATATTATACCATTTTACTTACCTATTCTACCATACCCATGAATAGTACACGGTAGTGTTGTATAAGATTGAATAAGGTAAGGTATAGTACAGTTTGATATGGTATGGTATTGTAAGGTATGGTATGTTATGGTATGGTAGGGTATTGTAGGGTTTGGTATGGTAGATATGATAGGTTATGATAAGGTATGGTATGTTAGGTATGATATGCTTAGTGAGATGGGTATGGTAGTAACACAGGACATCGTATGGTATATTATTATATTATTATAAAGGACGAGTATGGTATAGTTGTGTAAGGTAACATATGCAAGGGTAAAGTGGGATAGGGTTAAACAGGTCAAGGGTAGGGTCGAGTTAATACCCTAAACTCTTCGACAAATTGCCTAAAGCCTCCGCCGACCCTCCGCCAAATACTAAAGTGTCCGCCAAATCAAAAAGAAAATTTTTGGAAAGAACAGGGTATTTGCAGGGCATTACAGGGCATATGGCATGCCCTGCTTTTAGGCCCATTATATCAGAGTTTCACTGATTTAAAAAATATATCTATAATTTATTCATTTTTAAAAACAAAACGGTCGATGAATTTACTTTTTCCATAAAAACCAAAAAGTGTCTCATCGACAGTTTTCCACCGACCAAATCAAGCTTTGAACGACAGATTGGTTGCGTTGAATACTATTTAGCCCCCGTTATCCATTCGCAATGCCGATTGACGACAATTTGAAAAGGAACTGGTGGCAAAGAGAATCGAACTCGGCCCTTCTAGCGTTAGAGACAAGCGCGCTAGCCACTCGACTATAAGAGCTTTATTAAGAAAAGGTTAAAAGAAGAGGTAGGCTTAGAAAGGCGAAGTTTTGGCTTTATAACTTTTTTTAAGACGTCATATGTAAATTTTGTTGCCTATTATGATTGAATTTTAAATTTTATCATAAAATTTAGTTTTTAGGATTAATTCCTAAGCTTTACGCCTTAACCTATTATTACCTTTTCTTAAAAAAATATATTTTCTTTGCAAACTATTTTCATCCTTTTTTATTTATCCAAGTTCGAATTACTGTCCAGGCGCAAAATATTGCAATTTGCCCTATAATAAGAGTAACTGTTTGTGGAACGCGTGAGACGTGTGTCTGCGCGTGTGTTTGAAACCGCCCCCACTCGATCTGATTCCAGTTTATCCGCGGGTTTACTTTCAGTCCTGTGCAAATAGTATTGTGTTGCGGGCTGGAGTTATTGGCTTTTACAATCGTAAAATGAGGAATTTACTTTGTGATAAGGATGGGCACGGGGGTCAGGAGAGGGGGGGGCAATTATATATAGTTTTTCAAATTTTGATATTTTTATTCATCATGTTTGACATTTTTTAAAACTTTTTTTTGGGAATGGCTGGGAATTTTGATCCTTCTTTTTATGCCTTTCAAAAGTACAGTAAAACCCCTGTATAACTAATGGCTCAGGAACATAAAATTTGTGCGTTAAACATAATTTTTGCTATACAGTTCTTCCACTATAACGGGATTGTCTTTTTTTCATCAATGTAAACCTTGATTTAAAAAAAAAAGTCATGTACCGCTCGATCTAATCGTCTTATTTGACTCTCCCCCCTATGATGACAATTTGTTGAGTTTTAAAAACGCGCGCTCCTGGTATTGTTTGCTTTTTCAATGTCCAAGAGGTCAATAATCACCTGTTTGTAAACTTTTTCTTGTCAGTGTAACAAAACACTATACAAAACAAAGAGCATAAGCGCAACAATTTTGAGGTTATTTTGATAATATTAAACTTAACAAAACGACAAAAAGGTAATTTAAATTAGGAAAATTTTGCAAATGCAGCGAAACTCCTTGTAGTGTTAAGCATGAATTCAAAAAATTGTTATACAGGACTTTTTGTTAGGAAACTCCCGTATAACGAACAACTTTTGAATTGCCGTCTACCACTACACAGTGCATTTAAAACTCCTGTATAACGAAACTCGTTTATAACGAACAAATTTCAAGTCCTCCAGTGATTCGTTATACAAGAGTTCCACTGTACAAGCGTTTTACTTTATATTGATTTAGCGATGAACGTGCCTTTTCTTCTACAGGTTTTAAAAAAGTTACATTAAAAGTGGTTTTTAAAATTTGAAATTTTAGTAATATAAGGAACTACTTTTTTTTAAATTTTGTGTTTAGAAAAATAACGAGTTTTTTCAATTTGTACACAGTGTTTTAAGCAGGCTTGGAAGAGAGCATTGACGATTTGTCGTGCATTACTCTATGCCCTGCCATCTTATACAGAAAATTTCATTTTTGTGCTTTGTTCTGTGTCCAAGCTTGAAAGCAAATCAACATTAAAAAACACTTAATTTTTAAAAATAGAATGTACAGTGACACTCCTGCATAACAAAAAACAATATTTTCGATCAACGCTCTACAGTGAATTTAAAATTTTTCTATACTAAAAGTTTTTTAAAACAAACAAATTTAAAATTTACGATCTATTCCTTATATAATACAAGAGTTCCACTGTACTTTCATTCATTCCCACAAAGGCCAGTATCGATTACAAATCGGCTTTGCAGAAAAACAGTTATTTGCGCATGAATGTCCATTTGCTTCCCCTGTGTTCTTTGCCTTGAGGCGTTTTGATTCGGGATTTTATTCGTAAGATTAACAAAAGAAAAGACGATCGACAAAGGCCAGAGGCAAACGAAGACGCTGCTCGAAGGGTTTTCCGCGCGCATCGCACAAGTGTATACGATTCTCGAGGAAATTAAAACAAAAAAGTTGGCTGTGTAGATTAACTTCAAGTGTTGTTCGGCCAGCGCTACTGTCCCAGTATTTGGCTACTATTTCGTTATTTGGACTGTGATTTGTATTGTCATGAACTAATTGAGTTAAATTGACTTAAAGTTGGTGTAGCTTTAGTAAAAAGTTAAGAATTTTTGCTTTTTAAAGTTTCTAACTAGGACCTTACTAAAAGGTAACATACTACAATAAACGGTTTTTTTTCACATTATACGCTACAAAGAAATACTGTGTTCTAAAGCTGTATATATTCAAAAAACTTCTTAGAAAGTGTATATTATCATACTAAAGTAATTTTCTTTTGTATTTAAACTACTTTTTTTTAAAATTTATTTATTACTAATGCGTGTACTAGCCTAAAACCTCAAGATATATAAGCTAAAATATCTAAATTATGAGTCGTTGGGAGCAGAACACTTTTGGTCGTACTAGGCCACCGTTACAGCCGGTGTAAGTTAACTTATCCATAAGTTTCTTTTTCTAATTTGTTAGTTTTTTTACCTTAAGTTAAGTGTCTTTTTAAAGTTAGGCCCGGCATAGCTCGGCACCAACCCCAGGTTGTCCCAAATAAATTTGAAAAGATTGGGCTGGTTGTTCTGGTACGAAGGCCTAGCCTGAATAAGGCCTTACACGGACAGGCCGAAGCAAGTTTGAAAGCCTGCAAACGCCGTTTTGAAGGTCTTGTCCGGTCTTTTTATAGGTCTAGTTTTTATATAAAACTGGCATTTTTAGTTGTTTTTTTGTTTTTATAACTTTTGTATGTGACGTTTTTTCTTTTGTTATAATGATATTAAAAAAAAAATTTTTTTATAATTATAGTATTAAATTGTGATTTTAGACGCAACGACGCCGTCTTGATGTCTCAGAATGTTTTGGGCCTCGAACGTGAGGTGTATCAACATGGAAGCGTCGGCGACTTTTTGGGGTCTTCATTAGAAGGTAGGGGTGTTTACAATTCTAATCAGTTGACCTAAAAAGCCCTACTAGGCCGAGTCAAAGAAAGTTTTCGAATCCTGAGGGCTTTAGGGGTTCAGGTTAGGTCTCGAAAGGAAATATTTGACTTGCAAGAAGCGTTTTTTAATTTTTAAAGTTACTTTCCCGTAAAATACGTTGATTTTTTACAGAAATTTCGATAAAGAAATATTTATAGTTTTGACACATTTAAATTTTAAATTTTTATTCAAATTCAGGTGTTCAATCCGGGTTTATCAAATGCGTCTACACAGCGAAACATCAACCGAACAATACGGTGACATTGTTATGTGAGAAGGCCGAAGGTTGTTGCGAAGCATGGTGTTGTCCTAAAGATCAGTTTTGGTAAGATTTTTTGCTTTTCGCCGCAGGAAAAAAGGTTTTAATTTTTTTCATAAAAAGGTTTTTCTTAATTGCATTTTGAAAATCTAATAAAATACTGGAAACCTCTGTATAACGAGTCGCTCAAAAAAAAGTAGATCTTTATACAGAGGTTTTTTGAAAGGGACCCTTTAGGTTCGGCCTGGGGCCGTTCCAAGACATATCGTGCAGGCCTGAAGGCCGGGCTGAAAAATTGGGTCTAGTAGTCCTTTTACAGGTCTATGTATGGGACAGACTAAAATCTTTTTTGATTGGTATTAAGTGCCGACATAAAGAACCCGTCATATCTTTCCTGTAAGTTGCTTTAAAAATCGCGGGTTCTTTATGTCGGCACCTAATAACTACCCTATAAGTCCTTTAAATCTTTTAAACTTTTTTATTTTTAGGATGACAGGAGTGTTTGTACTGTTAGCCTTTGTATTGTTAGTATTTATTATTGGCGCTTGTGCCATAATCATTTGTTATCAACGCTCCAAAGTGCGACAACGACGAGAGGAAAAAGAAGTTTATGAATATGTGGAGAATCAGGTAGGTTTGATATTTTAAAGCTTTGCAAAATACGTTGATTGTAAAGTAATATAAAAAAGTTTTTGTATAGAGGATAACAAAGCCTGGGCTTTTGTAAAATACGGGAATAGTACTTTGGACTAAAAATGATTGATCAAATAATTTAAAAAGGTCAAAGTTAATGTCGATATATAATACAAAATTAAGTTGTAATTTAAAATTACTGTACATTTTATTGTAGTTGGCTAGCTATCCCGGCTCCACTCAGTCGATAATCAACAACGAAGGTCCTACGATGGGTTACTCTACCTACAACAATCATGCACACCGATACTGACTGCTCAAATATTGTACTTTATGGTTTTGAACGCTTAAACATATAATGCTTATTTTATATTAATAAAACATATTATTGTAGCTAGGATCGGAAGGGTCAAAAAGTGAAAAAATTTATAAAAAACTGGTATGAAACTGTTTTTGAGCTTATAACTTTGTTTATAAACAAAACTTTGATATAAAATGTAAGATAATAGTGTAATCACGTCATATTGCTAAGTTTGTCATTCAGCTACTGTAGTTGGAGCTACAGTCGTAGTATTGTTGTTCTTCTTACTCTTTGGCTTTTTAGTTGTAGTGGTTGTCTTTTCTTCTTCTTCTTCTTTTTCATTTTCTTTCTTTTCATCTTTTTCATCATCTTTCTTTTCTTCCTTTTCCTTATTTTTTTCGTTGTTCTTGGCATCTTCCTTACCTGCTTTTCCAAATTTACCTTTTGCTAATTCCGCAAATTCTTCACCTGGAAAAACATTGTGTAATATGTTTTTAAAAAATGACATTTTTTATATTCTTAAGTCATATTTTATGATTTATATTTTGTATTTATATATCTAGAACATTTTTAAACATATCGGACTATTAAGCGTATTGTAACTCGCTAGCCAAGTCCAGTTTGCCGTTTTTGAAAATAGTTTACAGGGTAACTTTTTATGCTCTTCTATCCTATAAAAGCTTTGTTCTAAAACCCTGAAGAAAATTTGGTGCGACTCTGTTATAAAACTAATAACCATAACAAAAAAGCATACACTTACTGGTCAATGTGTCAAAAATGGTTGGGAACACAAATTGAAGCTCATCCTGATCTTCTGGACTCAGCTTTTTAAATTCTTTTTCTAACTTGCTAGCGGTTTCTGTCACTTCTTCATCTGACAACTTGCCTTCTTTGGCATCCAAAGCTTTCATGACCTAAAATAACATTAAAAATATTTTTTTGAAGCAAAAATTTTAAAAAAAGTTTAGTATTGTATATGTGAGTGTTAGCAAATTTAAAACAAAATCTTACTTTTCTAACAAAATCATGAGTAGCATTTGGCAAAGAATTCATCTTGGTAATGATGTTGGCTACTAGAATAGTAGCTCGTTGAGCTAAATCGGGGTTCTGTTTTTCAATATTATGCAAATATTCTTTGACTCCAGTTGAGTCATCAGCACTGTCAATTACTTTCTGTTCTTCTGGAGTAAAGGTGTCCAAAAAGTTCAAAATATTGCTTGGCAACAGGCCTAAAATAGTCAATATTGTCTTTGAACTATTACTTTTGTAAGTTGTTCAAATAATTATGTGCTCCCTCTCAAAGCACACTTTTGGCGTTAAGAGGCACATAACTATTTTAACAACCTAATATATATAACTCACTTCGTAAAGCCGGATGAACATCATGAAATTTACATTGGCACACACTTAATAGTAACAATATGAACAGTAAAACTCTCATTTCGTCGAATGAAAAAAAGTTTGTAAAATAACCAAGAAGTAAATATCGAAGCGAAAAAGCAAGGTAATAAGTCATTTTTTAAACATTACTTCTCGGTAAAACAATAATGATAAAGCCATTAGTCATGGTTTTAAAATTATTGATATTTATATCCAAAACGCAGTAGTAATTTGTATAACATTGTATTTTACCCTATTTTACTCTACTCTACATTATTTAAGTTTACCTTTGCTAATTTTAGCCCTCTGCTTACTTTACCCTTTGTAGTCGTTTCTAATCTTAATTTTACACTACCGTACCTTTCTTTAAACTTTCCTGAGGCTTCACTACTTATAGCTCTACCTCATCCTATCTATGCTCAATCAAAATACTGTAAATTAATTATTATTTGCTCAAACACAATACTGTAAACAAAAATTTATAAAACTCGGATTAAACTGGCCTACTGTATCCGTGTGTTGTTGCACGTCTTAAGAACGCTGTACATTTTACAAAGTGCGCAAAAAGTTCTGTTACAAAACTTCATTCGTTGTTTTCTCTATGTTGCGGTTAAATAATTTGAAATTTTTTATTTTAGCTATCCTCCGTGTTTTTTTATTGCATAATCATGTATAAGAAATTGTAGGTTTTTGTTACTATAACCTTATTTCAAATACTTTTCATGCTTGTTTGTATGCTTTTAAATTATTCACCAAAGATTTTCTTCTAATTCAAGTCTTTAAATTATAAAATAATCAATTTCTTCTGCCAGTTTTCGTTAAAAAAGTTTTTATCTTGCCTGTTATGTCAACTTTGAAATTGATACATATTAATCTTTGTTGAGACGACATTTCCATCACTTTTGACATTGTCAAAATAGGTTTTTGTTGTTTTTGGGGTCAAGTTTCGTCTGCTGACATGTTTTCTTTGTTAATGTTTTATGCGTTTATTATTGAAAAAAATAATACAGTAGAACTGCTGTATACCAAGAATTTTAAAAATTTAAAATTTTTTTTGGTATGAAGGATTTTCATAGTGAAGGAGTTTGTTATACAAGAGTTTCACTGTATTCCAAGTTGAAAACATTCATTTTATAGAACGCTAACCTTGTTAAAACCTCTCATTGTGAACAATGTCTTTGTCTGGCTAATTTTTTACGAATATTGAGTTAAGTTTGTCCTGAAAGTTAGGTTTTAGTGTTTTGCACGAGTCCTTCTATTAAATTTGTTTACGGAATTAACTCGGTTTCGGCGGTTTTTGGCCGGTTTTTTATTTTTTTTAGAATATTTTTTGAGATTTTAGGTAATTTTTTAGGGCAGGGTAAATTTTAAGTTTGGGTAGGGTAAAATTAAAAAAAAATTTTTAAAGGAAGGGTAGTTTCTTTATTTTTGCAAGAATAGACCTTAATGGGGCTTCACTAGGACGGGCTGGGCCAGAATTTAAGGGCTAGAAAGCCTGGGATAAAAAAAACGCATCAGGAGCTCAATTTAGCTCTCGCGGCGAAAGGCCAAGTCTGATCGAAGGAAATTTAAAAGGAGCCGGGCCGGCAAATGTAAGTGCAAAAGCCGAGCGCAAACTAAGAACTGACCCTAAGCAAAAAGCTAAGTAGAGTTTAAAAAATTTTTGCTTGGCCCGGTTCCTTTACAAAGTTTCAAAAAAAAATTTTTTACACTCCCCTTCCTCCCCCGCCCCCCCCCCTCCCTTTAAACTAAAATTTTAGCCTACAAGGCCCCTAAAATTACCCATTTCTTAATTTATCCAAAAATGCTTCAAGCCATATTAAAGCCTCATTAAAATAGGTTTGATACTCACCACATTCCAGGGAGCAAACGAGTGCCTCCAATCCATCAAAGTCGCTATTAAAAATAAGGCCGGCGGCGGGGTGAGGATTTGGGGAGGAAATGATCGCTTTTTTACCCCCAAAAGTTTGAAAAAAAAACCCTGGGGCCGAGTTGTTTTTCGGTTCCAAATTGATTGGATTTAGGTTGGGGTTTCGTGTTTGTACTAGGTAGGTTATCATGGGTCTGGACTTGAGATAAGTTGTTATGATCTTTGGGATTTATATTTTATTTTTAAACAGCTTAAAAGTGTAGCCAGGGAAATCACTATAAATTTTTTTCAGGCAGGGGGGGGAAGGAAGACGTCTTCCGGAAGAAGGGTTTAGCAGAAGAGGTATATCTACCTCATTCACTGTCTACCTTTCCTCTAGCGACCTCTCTGTGTGTAGTATTTACTTATCCTATAGATTTTAGAAGCAAAATTGAAAAGTTGATAATGGCTGAGAAATTGATTAACGAGGTTGATAAATTACTTTTTTTAAAGTTTTGTTATATTGAGTTTGCTTTGTTTCTATTATACACAATGCAATGAAGACTTAACTTTTATAATTATACAATAAAAAAACACGGAGCATAAGCTAAAATAAAAAATTTTAAATAATTTAAAATCATAACCGGTAAAGTTTTGTAACAGAACTTTTGGCGCACCTTGTAGTATTGGGTGAATGACTTTGATCTGAGCTAAAGAGGTTGGGTACCCCGTAAAGGGGAGACCTACTATAGTCCGATTTGTGGACTGGGTTAAAAAATTAGGAGCGGCGCCTTTACAGAGTAGATAAGAGGAGCATAAACAATTTTATAATTTCAAGAAAAAATGGCGGTGCTAAAAATTAATTTGGGCATAATAAATGGCACGTTTTAAAAAATTTTCCATGCTTTAACGTTTAGCCAAGGAGCGTAAGGTTAATACAATTTAATACCTCCAAGCTTGAACTTCTTTCTTCTCGACTACAAATTTAAAACTTTTGAAAAAAATGAATTCAAATAAAAAATTATAATTTTTTGTAACATTCAAGTGTATTGTATGCTTTTTTATATAGCAAAGCAAAAACTTTGAAGAACTTGAAGGCATGGCTTAACAAGGATTAGAATTGTGACAAATAGTAGTAAACCCTTTCAAGTTTTGAACGTTTCTTATTTTTTTTTGTTTATAAAGCAAATATTTTAAAGTTTTAAAATCTTTTTACAGCTACAATTTTAAATTTTATAATTTTTAAGTAAAACTTTATCAAAATTGTCTATTTTTTGGTAAAATACGACTGGTAGATCTCTTAACAAATATTTTATTTTTTTAAAAATATCATTTTTTTACATTGAAATTCCAAAAAAAATTTTTTTTTAAATTTTTGATAAAAATAATTGTTTTTAAAAAAGATTTTCAATATTTATATTATGGCTTATGTCGTGTTACCCAAACCTTATTTAATAGCCAACTTTACAATGTTTTTTCGGCCATCTGGAGCCCATCGTATCTCCTCATACTTCTTATGACTTTAGGGCACAAAACGCAGCGTTTTGAATTTCTAATCTGTTTTTGAGTGGTTGGGTTGGTCGGAATTTAGGAAAACATGACAAAATTTGTTTTATGAATTTTTATCAGAATGAATTGTGTTATAATCTAAAGATAATGTATAGTAATATAATAGATTTATAGTCTTGTCGCGTGCAATGTTAAACGTGACTCATGTTATATTGATTATAATGTACTGTAACTGCCTTTATAGCATCTGTGCCTAATTTTGAATTGTTGTAGGAAGCCTAAAATACGAATTTCTTGTATTGAAAACGTCTAAAATACGCTTTTTTTGGTTTCCGAAAACCTAAGATACGATTTTTTTAGTTTCAGAACGCGTAAAATACGATGTAAACTGTCAGGTAGAGGAAAATTTTTGGAAGCTCTAATCCTAGCATGTCAGAGCTCTTAAAACTTTTTACAAAAATGGCTCTACCTTTCAAATTGGCTACATTCCACATTATTTTCTCAACTTTTCTATACTGTACAGTAACATGTTCTCCGCCAGAAAACCGATTATTAGCTGATTTGCTAAGAGGTTACGTAAAGGAAGAACGACCGGTCGTAGACAGTTCCCAACCTGTCGTGGTTAAACTTGGCGTTTCTTTACAACAAATCATTGATTTGGTATGATTTTGGGATGTTTTTTTGTAATCTTCAACAATAAGTGTTATAATAAAATTAAAGTTTGAAAATTTTTTAAAAAATTAAAATTTTTTTTGAAATTAACTTTTTAATTTTATATGTTTTTTTAAATATCTTGTCGTATTTTACTTTTCAAATTGTTTAGAATGAACGGAATGAACAATTATCAGTGAATATGTGGCTTACCTTCTCTTGGAAAGATGTCAATTTACAATGGGATCCAAGGGAGTATGAGTACGTTTTTAAAACTTTTTCATTAACCCTATCGTAAATTTTACTATTCTAATGTAAAAAATAATTTCAGAAACGTCACCGACCTCCGCTACCCCTCTGACATGCTTTGGCGTCCAGATATTCTTCTCTACAATTCGGTCGATTCGGCTTTCGACTCGACCTACAAGGTAAACATGGTTGGAGACTCAAATGGTATGATAACATGGATTCCCCCAGGCATTTTTACAATATCATGTAAACTAGACATTTACTATTGGCCTTGGGATGATCAGATTTGTTTTTTCAAATTTGGGTCATGGTCCTTCTCCGACCGGTATATTAATCTACAACCGGGGGATTTCGACGTGAGTACGTACATTGAGAACGGCGAATGGGTACTGATGAAGTACTGGGTGAATCGGACTGAGAAGTTTTATGAAGCTCTGCCAAATGATCCTTTTCCTTATATTACCTTCTTTCTGCATATTAGGAGGCGGACGTTGTAAGTTTTTAAGCAGTAATGAAGTTGAAATTTTAAAAATTTTAAAAATGATGACTTTTGAGGTCATTTTCATTTTAAAGATCTTAATTTCATCTTCGTTTTAAGCCCCAAAACATCCAAAAACCTCATTTTAGATATTACGCTTTCAACCTAATAATGCCATGTGTACTAACCATGATCTTAGTAGTACTAGGCTTTACATTGAATCCATTTTCTTGTGAAAAGATTGGTCTACAGATCTCTGTATCTTTGGCCATTTGTATCTTTATGACAATTATGGCCGAAATGACTCCACAGACTTCTGAAGCCGTACCCTTATTAGGCATCTTCTTCCAAAGTTGTATGGTAATCAGTGTGTTGGCTACGGCATTCACTGTCTATGTACAGAGTGTTCACTTCAGGTGTCATGGTGGCGGGCAGAGAATGGGCTTTTGGGTGGGTTTAGGGGTTGATACTGAAATGTTTTTTTATATTTGGATTCACAGTAATTTTATTAAGTTGCTCAATTAATTTTGTGCTCCTAAACTTCAAAAAATTGATTGTTTAAATAATTCTGTGCCTACCTTACCTTGAAAATTAGCTTTAAAGGTAGCTCAAAATTACTTGAACAACATAATAAGTTAAAAACAAACAAGGAAATTGTCATGGTAAAATACGAGGTGGTATTCTTTTATAAAATTATTTAATTTATATTGAAAAGGAAGTACTTTTAGATGAGATACGTTCTTCTCGAGTTGATGCCATGGTTGTTGAGGATTCAGCGGCCAAAACAGAAAGTTAATTTAAACACTTTAAAGGCTAGTCTACGGAAACGTAAAGAAGAAACTTTACTATCGGATGAAGAAAGAGTAGGTTGAGGGAAGTTGTAACCATAACGTTTTTTCTATTTAAAAATTCTAAATTAAAAAAAATATTTTTGATTTGTGGAAAAATCGTTAGCATCTTAGGCTTGTCTTTATGTTTAGAAGACTAAGCTTTACACTTTCAATTACAATTCAACCTACTTCTTTCAGGACGATCCAGAAGAATTCAGCAAGCAAATCGATCATTATGCCTATTCAATCAAAGGATCGAATTCATTTTTGGCCGGAAAATTGTATTCTCTCAACAAAATCTACGGACATATTAGGGTAAGATCATTTATTAAGCCTTTATAATTACTTTCAACTTTACTAAGCCAAGCCCAACTATTTATCTGGCCGAAGCAAATCAGCAAGCTGGTTCAGCGCACGTAAGCTTGAGAGCATGAGCTTGAAGCCAGGTTTGGCCTTTGTGCTGAGCCTAAAAAATGACTTCGGCCTCTTTAAACATGTCTCCTCTCCCCCAATATAAAATTTAAAATTAAAAAAAAATTAATTTTATAAAAAATTCTGAATTTTCAGACGATTCGCTGTGCCAACGATGACGCAGCCGAAGAGAATGAAATTCGATCGGAATGGCAGTTTGGAGCTGTAATCGTAGATCGGATCTGCTTGATTGTGTTCACTTTGCTTATTGTCATTACGGGTACCACTATTGCTGTTCAGGCACCTTATTTGGTGGCTTGAATGTTTGAGAATAAACGTAAATATAAACTTTGAGAGTAAATATTAAATTGTATAAAAAGTATTGAGCTACTCAACTCTACATATATTGGGAAATTTTTGAATTTTTAATTTGTTTTAAAAATTTTAACAAACTTTTATAAAAAAAGCTCTGTTCTGCCTGTCATATCACTTGAATTTATCAGATACAATTTAGCACGTACAAGCCCAATTCTTGAGTATGTTTTTTGATTTCCTATCCTCAGGCATATAAAATTTAATTTAAAAAATAAAAAGATTAATAAATTTGATTTTAAAAAGTACGTAAGTTGCAAAAACTTTGTTGTTATCCTCCACAACAAATGCACTTATTTGGGTAACAATGAAACTGTGTCCCAGATGCGAAATTCAATTAAACAGAGGTGGAAACAATGCAAAAGCACAAGTACATTAACTAAAAATGGCAAATTTGGTGAAAATTTTTTAAAATCTCAAGGTTTTTACATTTTGTGGTGGGGGGGGGGGGGGGGAGTATTTTAGGCTGTCCTAATCTACCATGGAATGTAGTGTGAAATATTATGCTTTTTTTCGTTTGCCCTCTAATGTTTAATATTTTGTGACGGTATTAACATAGTATGGTGTTTTTTGAATGAATTATACCGTTTTTATTGCTTGTCATATCACTTTCGTCGTGTGGTTGATTAACATAACCTTATGGTACATGACTATTATTATGCTACAGTCATTTTGTAAAGAAAAAACTGCAAAAATTTTAAAAATTATACTTTTCTCAATCTTACCCCATCTTATCTTACCCTACTCTAAATCACAACCCTCTTTCCTTACCTAATTTCAAAAAACTGTCTATGAAATCCCTTCAGCCACCTTCTTATCACTTTTATGTGTTATTTTTTGGCCGAATTCCTCTCGGCATGGCCATTTATCAGCTGGACTGGGTCTCGAAGAAGCGTCACTTTCTCACAAAAACTTTGTTTGTTGATATAAAGAGATATATATTCTTTGCACCCTCCCCCCCCCCGCCAAGGTGATAATCGTTTATAAGTGGGGTCAGGGAAGACATTGTTATTGTTTGGCGCTTCATTGCCTTCAGGCTGTTTTTTTTTTGGTATTTCGGGTTTTGGACCGTGTGAGTTTTGAGCGAGAAAATGACGGTAGGGAGGGGTGGGTAGAGTAGTTTGTCAATAAGATAGGGGGGAATGAAGGACAGTGAGAGGTAGAATAAAGAAAGGGGGTGAGGCAAGGAAAAGCAAGGCAAGGCAAGGCAAGGCAAGGCAAGGAAAAGCAAGGCAAGGCAAGGCAAGGCAAGGCAAGGCAAGGCAAGGCAAGGCAAGGCAAGGCAAGGCAAGGCAAGGCAAGGCAAGGCAAGGCAAGGCAAGGCAAGGCAAGGCAAGGCAAGGCAAGGCAAGGCAAGGCAAGGCAAGGCAAGGCAAGGCAAGGCAAGGCAAGGCAAGGCAAGGCAAGGCAAGGCAAGGCAAGGCAAGGCAAGGCAAGGCAAGGCAAGGCAAGGCAAGGCAAGGCAAGGCATTACCTTGCCAGTACGTTCACTTCTCAAATTACAGTAATTTAACCAAAAATCACAATTTACTATAGTACTATTGACACTTTTTAAGTACTGTGCCACTTTAAAAAACTACCAATTCTCTTTTGTAACTATAGCTCAGCCAAACCTTAATGCTATACCAACTTAAATTATCTATAAATCACGTTTTTCTGGCCGAACAGCTACTTTATGTAAACTCTTTGTAATGCCATAAAGCCGTAAAAAGTTCAAACAAAACCCTCAGGCGGCAGCATTAATCAACCTTTGTGCCCAATATTTCATTTGATCCGGCTTTTTCAATCAAACCTCGTTCCAAATAGCTGTTACTTCCTAATTAAACCTGGGGGCTTTTGGGTTGGGTTTTGGGTTGATAAGGGGGGAGTTGATTTGTTAGGGTTTTTGGTTTTGGGGGTGTTAATAAAAAATGAAAACTATTTTTATAAAGGGCTGTAGGTTTGGTTAGAAAACGGTAGAGAAGAAAAAAGTTACATTTTTATGTTATTGGTTTAGCAATGGGGTTGCACCAACTATTATAAAAACGTATTTTTTAATCAATATATTGTTTGGCAAGCCAAAATTTTTTGTCATTATGACAAAACCCCCAGATTGGTGCTTTAATCTATTCATTTTGCTCAAGACGAATAAGAAAGTTCAACGTCCTATGTAAAGGCTTTAGCCGCTAATATCTTGCTAGACTAAACCAGTTAGTAGTTTTTGAAAGTGGCTTTCTTGGTAACTTGTAATGCTTTTTATATCGGTTTTGTTTACCTCCCCCTTCCCAGAAAAAAATTTTCGAAGAAAGTTGAACGTGGTCCCCCCTGTGAGTATTTGAAAAAAATTTTTTTGACCGCCGCTCCCAGACTAAAAGTTCCTGTCAGCCTCTGGTTGTGGGGGTGTTTATAAGACTTGAAAAGTTTTTTTTTGACAAGCAGGTAGTTTTGATTAGAAAACGATAAGGAAATGATTTTGTTTAAAACGTTTTTTGTTGTCGGTCTTATTTCAATACAGTAGAACTTCTATATAGCGAACAACTTTTGAAACTCCAGGTAACACAATAAACTATAACTCCTGTATACTAACAAGAAACTTTCAAGTCCTCGAGCAGTTCACGTGACTATACAGAAACTTCTTGTATTTTACTTTCTTTCCTTTTACCCTCCAAGTTTACCCTTTTCTAGCCAAAATTAACCCAAGTTAACCCTTCAGCCACACTCTTTAATAGCTATGCCAATGTTTTTCTAACCTACCAAGAATCGGTCTGTTTGTGCAAATATTTTTCAATCATTTTTTATCACACCAACTGTTGCCAGATGATTTTTATGTGCTTTAATTTGCTTTTTTGATACTTTTTCGACACTTTCTAACGAGGTGACATCAAGGGTATTAATCTTGGTAATAAAACAGTTTATTGGATTTGTATGATTCGGTCGATTTTTTGAGATTGATGGTGATTTTAGGTAACAAAGTGTTAAGATTTGTTGGTTTTAAGACTTAAAATGTTGGAAAAATTTAATTTTAGGCTTGTTATTGAGTATAAAATGATAGTTGTTAATTTTTAAAACTTTCTTTTAAAGATTTTCAATTTAAAATTGCTTTAAATTTATCAGAAATCAACCTTCAGTTGACCTTGTTATCTAAAATAACAAGATTTTGTTTGTAGAACATCAAAAACAGGTGTCGCATTGGGAAAGTTGTCAGTTTTTGAGGAAAAATCTTGTTTTTGCAATGAATTACTTGTCAACTTTTTGAAATTTAAGATGAATTTTACCGCAGACGTGTTCCACCTAAAAAGTCATGACATGGCAGTGGTAATTGACATCATTTACCGTTATTTGATGCACCAGATGGCCAGTTAAAGTAGTACGATCTTTAGTGCTCAAAAGTGGGTTTTTGAATTGCATCTGAGGTTTGAAGCTTTAAGAAGTGATTTTTGGTTAAATGTGGATTAATATTACCTGTTCTGAGATCCTTTTTTTTATTATGCCTATAGGCCAGAGCTTGGCTTGGGTCCCAGTCGTTGGCCTTATGTGTACCGACTTGGCCGGGCCCCTTTCAAAGTTTTTTTGGCTTGGGCCGAGCAGAGCTGGACTAGGTTAGGGTGGGTGCTGGGCTAAGCTGAGGTGGGCTGAGCTGAGCAGGACTTAGCTGGGCTGAGGTGTGCTAGGCAGGGCAGAGCAGGGCAGGGCTAATATAAGCTGCTCTGGGCTGCGCTAATCTAGGCTGATTGGGTTTGGCTGGACTTATGTGGACTAGGCCGGATCGAGCTTAGTAGGACCTCTTTAGGTCTGATGCTGAAGGGTTGGGCTGTATTGTAGGGTATAATAGAAGGCTAAGGTAAGTTAGGGTAGAGTAGAGTAGGGTAAGTCAGGGTGAGGGTAAGTGAGGGTTGATGAGAGAAAAAAGCAACTTTTTTTAAGTTGTTAAAATAATTTTGTGCCCTCTTTTAAAGCAATTTTTTTGTTGTTATAGGCAGTGTTTTGCCGGACCGGACGGACCGAAACAAAAATTTTTGCGGACCGGACTCAAAAACCTGCGGACCCGGACCGAAGAAAAAGCTCCGGACCGGTCCGGAAGAAAAATTTTTTTTTATTTTAATAGAAATGATTTAAAAATTGCAAATGAAATGTATTTTTAAGAGTTTTTAAGCAAAAAGAAAGCAGTTTTAGCGCTCCTTGCTTTTTTTAAAAATAAAAAAAATTTTTTTGCGGACCGGGCCCAAAAATTTTGGGTTTGGACCGGACCGGATCCGAAAATCGCCGGACCAGACCGGTGAAAAACGCTCCGGACCGGTCCGGGCAAAACACTGGTTATAGGGCACTGAATTATATGAACAACCCAAGATATACTTTTTTGCATTTGGTAAAAACTTGGCCATTTTAAATCCTGTGGCCTATCTACCCTAATATATCCAACCCACCCCCACAAATGTGTAAATATAAACTTGGCGGATGAAAAACCTTTGCGGAACTGTGACAAAAATTAGATTACCCGCATGCTAATATCTTATAAATAATATCATGTCCAACGGTTTGATTACCCGCCGTCGGACCGCACACGAAGAGTCCGCCGAAACGTTACGTACGGGCGAAATTTCAATTTTTCGAAGTTTTCAAATGTTTTTCGATTACAAAGTTATGGAGTTTGCGGTGAGTATCAAATAAACTTGATGTTTACATGATTAGATGCGAGGAGGAACGGCTATTCGGGGTTATATTATGTGCAGTGTATTGCAGTGTAATATATTTTAAAGTAGTAGCTTTGTATTATAGGAATGTTTTTAGAATTGTACTATTATATAAATTACAATAAGAAATTGTTTAATATTGTACAATGAGATACTATAGGAAAGTTATAGAAAAGCGTTTAGTACCATACTATAAGGTACAATAAGAGAATGGTTAGTATTGTTCTACAAAAGACTAAACATAATGCTTTTAGTATTGTACTGTAAAGTAGCACAGGAACGTTTTCAATATTGTGTTATAAGGTACAATAGGAAAGTTTTTAGTATTGTACTATTAGGTACAAGAAGAATGAGTTTAGTATTGTGATATAAGGTAACATAAGCCAATTTTTAGTATGGTGCTATAAGGTACAGTGAAAAAGTGTTTAGTATCGTGCTATAAAGTAACATAAGAAAGTTTTTGGTATCGTACTATAAGCGTTTATAAGGCAGTTTTTAGTATTGTACTGTAAAATACTATAAAGAAATTTTCAGTATTGTACTATAAAAAACTATAGAAAGTTTTTAGTGTTGTAGTGTCAGGTACAATAAGAACGTGTTTAGTGTCTTAGTATACGGTACTATAGGAAAATGCGTAGTATCGTTCTATAAAGTATTAGAAAAAAATGACAAGATAAAAGAAATGTTAAGACTAGTATCCTGGCTCTAAATAGTACGTTTTTAACATAGCTAAACTAAGAAGCCTCTGCAAATTTAACTACGGAATAAATGAATGATTTAGCAAAATAATTTGTTTACTTTTCGCTAACTACAATTCTCAAGGGGCTGCTTCATATGTAAATATATTTTTTGTTTTCTCTAACTTTTTGATTCTCAATTTGTTTTAGGGTCTTTCTAACCTTATTGTGGTAGTATGGTACTGAACATATAGGCTGCAATCAAGATTCGGTGGTTAGTTAAACTGTGGGTGTTAACATCATGATTCTTTGTTGTTTTAGAAGTTTGTTTATACCATTGATTACCTCAATACCCTAGACCTTACAATTAAAAGGAGTTTACTAGTCCTAGCTTTTTCCACCCAAAAACCTATCAAAACTTTTAGAAACATGTTTATTTGCATAAAAAGCGTAGGCGCTTCAAAGAAACCGGCCCTCGAAGGAGGATTCCCTAAGCTCGTTACAGGCCATAATGAGAAGGAATTGGTTGGAGGGTCGATTCCAACTCTTTGTGTAGTAAGTACATGGATCTCTTTTTTCAACACGCTTCTGATTTTGTCTACGCTAAAAATAGGATTTTAAATTGGAGAGGGTTGATGAGTACGTGAGGATTTGAAGTCTGGAAAGGTCTTGCAAATCGTTGATGAAACAGTGTTGAGGTGCTTTGGTTTGAGTTTGAAAGAGCAGAATCTTCTGTTGAGAAGGGGAGAGTAGGGTTATTTGTATATAAATGTTGAGCTATTTACATTTTTTTGCCTTAAAATTAGAATTTGTTTGGCCATCATACTCTCTTGCCGTTTAGTCGTGCTTCTTCGTTCAAAAAGCTATTGCACTTGTGTTTACTATAAAATATTGCGCCAGAAGTTTAGTTGCGATGTTTTCTATCAAAAAATTCTAGCTAGGGTAAGAAAAGGGCAGGACCAGGCATAGATTTTAAGCTTAGACTAGTTTCGAGGCCAAACTTTCTGTCGATCGTTTTCATATTTTTTTAGGCCGGGCCTAGACGGTCCGTTTCTTAAACATTAAATCTTGCTTTAAGAGTTTTTAGGTAACACCACTAGAACTGTAAAGGGGCTGGATTGAATTTTTTGCTCTGGTCCACGGGCTGAGTCTCCGTTTTTGTCCCCGGTCCCACATGTGCCAGTCCGACCCGGTCTTATTTAAATTTCCTTAAACCCGGCTCTCCCTGATCCAGTGCACCCTCTTTCAGGTCTACCACCTCACTTTTCCAAAAAATAGTTTTTTTCTCAATTTTAAGGTTGATTATTACCCACACTACCCTCGCTCATGAGTAATATGTAATGTCACTTTACATTTTGACAAAAACCAATCTGTCGGCCTTAGGGCAAAGAGAATAAAAGTGAAAACTTGCTCGTCCTAATCCCTCCGAACCAATCGGCACGCGTTTTGTTTTCTTTTTTTTGGTTGTTGTAAGTAAATTTAGGCACGGCCAAGAATGTTTAATGTGCAAACTTTTCTGTTCTTAGAGCGTCAAGAGTTTAAGATTTTTTAAAAATTTTTGGAAAAAGATATGGTTTTTATATTGTTATAGTAAGGGTAGATTGAATGCGGAAATTGTTGCAGAATTAATTTGAGTTGTCTGTTAGAGATATCAAATTTACTGTTGATTACATTTTACATGTTTTCAGTTACGGTAATATGATAAAATTTTAAAAAAAAAGTTATAAACTTTTTCAAATTGAATTATAAGGTAGGGAGGGGCGTGGGGAGAGGGGTGAGCTGGACTAGACTGACTCAGATAGGCTAAGGCAGGCTGATATCTACTGGGATAGGCTGAAGTATCCTGAGGTAGGCTGGGGTATGTTGTGGTAAAATGAGGTATGCAGGGAGGCTGATGTTGTCTTAGGTAGGCCAGGGTAGCTAAGAGTAATAAACGAGCTATGCCAGCTTTGATCTAAATTTCGGCTGGGCCTGTTAAACAAGGCCCCGCCTGTGCCGAGAAGCCCGACCCGTTTGCACGTAAAAAAATCTGAGCCGGGCTGGGCCGGCCTTACGTAAAGATGAAAACGGGCCGAGCCCAAACATGGGGTTCGGCCCGTTTCTCACCCCTAAGGGTAGCTCAAAACTCCTTTCCATAAACTGAAAGACCGGCTTCCAAAACTTGATTACTTAAAAATGCTACAACCGCGGCGCTAACAATATTTGAAACTTGAGCCGAATGGTTAAACAACTAGTGCCATTCTTTAATGCTGTTGCAGTTTTCGTCTTTTTTATGCGCTTACGAATGGGTAACACGTTTTTTGGTGTTTGGCCAGGTTTTTTGTCAAAATTTTGAAATTTCTATAGAATATGACAGAAATGATGTATATCATCATGGTGAACATATTGTACTTGGTACAATTATTGATTTTTCATGTTTTTTAGGATATTAAGAGCAAAAACTTTTTTACTTTTTACATTTTGCTATATCGTGCCACTTTACCGTTGATTATACCCAAACTTCAATCAATATCACCCCACCTCTTAACCAAATGCCATTCCAGACCCCACTCCATCCCTAAATGGTGCAGAAGGACGTGGGAAGTCGGGAGAATCACGTGTAACCGCCTTCTGATTCTCGCCATGAAGCTGGCACGTCATTCGCATCGTGCCAAACGTGTGGCCAAGAAGCCGAATGTAATCAGCTTTTGTTTGTGCTTGACTTTTAGTATATCACTCTCGATGATACTGTGTGTAGATGGATCATTCCACGAGAGAAGGCTTTATGAAGATCTGATGAGGGACTATAATATACTGGAACGACCGGTCGCTAACCATTCACAGCCTGTTGTTGTCAAGTTGAAGGTATCGTTGCAACAATTGATTGATGTAGACGAGAAGAATCAGGTCGTCTATGTTAATGCTTGGCTGGATTATGTGAGTTGAAATTTATAAGTTACAGTAACATCACTTTTAGGTATAAGATGTTAATAATACAACATGTACAGTAACTTCTTGTTTTAGGCTTGGAATGACTACAAATTACGGTGGGACATAGGAGAGTATGGTAACATAACGGACGTACGCTTTCCCGTAGGTAAAATATGGAAACCTGGTAAGTTATGTCACTATACTTTGCTCTACCCTATCTTGCCTTACCCTACTCTATCCTACTTTACCTTATCGTACATTACCTTGACCTACTTTATCCTACCCTACTTCACCCTATCGTACCTTACCCTACCCTACCTTCATATATAACACTAAACTTTACTCCGCCCTACCCTTCTCTACAATAATATACCGTACTTTCAGACGTCCTACTGTACAACAGTGTAGACTCCAACTTTGACTCAACGTATCCCTCAAACATGATTGTCTACAATACGGGTGATGTGTCGTGGATCCCTCCGGGTATATTTAAGATATCGTGCAAGATTGACATCAAATGGTTTCCCTTCGATGAGCAACGTTGCTTCTTCAAGTTTGGTTCGTGGACGTACGGGGGGAGGATGGTGGACCTACAGCCGGCTGAAGGGGGATTTGATATCAGTGAATATCTGCCTAATGGTGAATGGGCTTTGCCTAGTAAGTTTGTATATAATAGTACTATTTTTTGAATTTTTACTGTATTCAACCCTAGCTACGGCTGTGAGAGTTGATTTTAAGCCTAGACAGTACCATTTTGAGCATGTATAGCAGTATTTTAAGCCGCTATATTACTTTATTAGGCCTATAACATCAATATAGTGTCAATCTATGCTTTGGCAGTACTATACTAAACCTAAAAAGCACTATTTAGAACCTAAAAAGTACTATTTTAAGCCTAAGAAGTATCATTTTGAAACTAGAAGGTATCATTTTAAGGCTAAGCAGTTCATTTTAAACCTAACAGTACAATTTTAAGCCTAAAAGGTATCATCTTTAACCTAAACAGTACTATTGTGAACTTTAATAGTACCATTTTAAAGCTAAAAAGTACCATTTTAAACATAAAGAGTACCATTTTTAGTCTAAAAGGTACTATTATAGGCCTAAACAGTACCATTTTAAGTTTAAACAGTACCACTTAAAACCTAAACAGTACCATTTTAAACCTAAATAATATCATTTTAAACCCAAAAAGTACCATTTTAATTCTGAAAAGTACCATTTCAGTGACGAGTGTATCGCGAACGGAAAAGTTCTACGAATGTTGCCCCGAGGAGCCATACCCCGATGTGACATTCTTTTTGCATATGCGACGACGCACACTTTACTACGGGTTCAATCTAATCATGCCATGTATATTAACAACAATGATGACACTACTCGGGTTCACGTTGCCGCCTGATGCTGGAGAGAAAATCACATTACGTAAGAGCTGATTATATTGTCTTAGATGCTATAGTGACTTACCGCGACGTATTTTACATTAAGAAAGGCTATGATAGAGGATAATGTGCTAACTAATTCACATTTAGAAATCACGGTGTTGCTGTCGATCTGTTTCTTCTTGAGCATGTTATCGGAGATGTCTCCGCCGACATCAGAAGCTGTACCTCTGCTTGGTATCTTCTTCTCATCGTGTATGATTGTGGTAACAGCATCTACAGTGTTCACAGTATATGTGCTGAATCTTCATTATCGTACTCCTGAGACTCATGAAATGTCGCCTATGGTAAGGAGCGTAAAACTATAAACTCGCTAGAACTGAGGGAGGGGTGGAGATGGAAGCGTAGGGAGACCATGCCCGCAAAAAAAATTTTAAAAATTTTGCAAGAAGAAAAAAAAAGGCCGTATTTTACCATTTCACAACCATTTTTTGTTTGATGTTATATCACTCAGTACCGTATGCCACTCAGTACTATTTTATGGTTAACTGCCCTACTTTCAGGCAAGAACAATCCTACTGTATTGGTTACCGTACTTTTTGAGAATCGAACGACCTGGCATCTACTTGACTTGGGAAACACTACCTTCCATATTACCTTGGTCAAAGCCAAAAAGACACAGTGAATCATTGATAAGGAATATAAAACAAGTTGAGGATGGTACACGGTACGTCAGACAATCAAGTACTTCAAGATAGACAAATAGTACATTACTAAAACAATTTTTTTGATTCAGTTAGTACTATATAGTACTACTTTTTACCTGCTACTCTACAGTAAAACCTTATCACATTACCAACTGGCATTAGAAATACAGTGATAAACTCAGCTAATACATCTTGTATCTTGCTCTTTTCAGAAACTCAATAGACATAGAACGGCACGTTGTAACGCAATTTTTCAACGTTCTTAGCAACGGTGGAATCAATGGTATTAAACCGATGAAGAATGGAGCACCAAGTACTCAGTTGAGTATGGAGAGTACCGCACTATCTTCGTCCCCAATATCAGATCAAGGAAATGCTGCTGTATTACAGCTACTACAACGAATTCACTCGGAATTAAAGGTAAAATACGCCTACTTTGATTAAGAGTTGTTTAGGACTCTAGTGAGGTACTATATAGCACTAAATGATGAGCATAGTTAAACCCAAAAATTTTTTATGAGAAGGGGCACAGAATTAGTTGAACATCCTAATATATAATACTAAAGTATCAATTACCACACCTAATTTTAGGTAATAACAAAGCGAATGATGGAAGAAGAGCGAGAAGAGAACCAGGCCACGAATTGGAAGTTCGCCGCCATGGTGGTAGATCGGCTATGTCTATACATATTCACAATATTCATTATAGCTACGTGTGTTGGTGTCATGATGGCTGCGCCCTACTTGATTGCATAATATATTTCATAGGTCTATGTTGTTATCAGGACTGGCAAGCAGTGAGGAAGAGAGGAGAGGTGGTTAAGCCTCCGTTAGAAGACAAAACAGAAGAACGACCAACACACTTACGCCATATACATTGCTATTATACTTATTGTAATCTGAACAAACTTATGTCTTTTCACTTTCAACGGGTTGACATTTGCTTACAATAATAAAATAAACGGTTCTATTAGTATCCAACATTGTTTACTGTTACCATAATATCAAATCAACAATATAAACGATAATACGTAGTTTACATAGAAAGTCAAAAATTTTTCCTTAGATCTAGCCCACCACCTAGCCTTCGGATTTCAGGTCTTGTGGATTTGTTTTCACAAATGCTACTGCATATTGTTGTAATTTCACAAGATATATGTAACCGATTTAGGAGAAAATATCAAAAACATCAAAAGTTTTATTTTTAGCTGTATGTCATACAAGTAAAGTTTTGTAACAGAACTTTTGGCACAACCTGAACTATTTACTGTTTGGTAGTTATGTTATAAAGCTTTTAAAAATATTTGCGTAGTGAATGAATACCTACATTATTATACCTATACTTTGCTTTAAAGGTAAGCTTTCATACGATAATCACCTATTACCTACATATGATTAATACGCACCTATTACCTATATATGATTAATATTATGTATATACTGGGTTGTCCAAATATGGGTGAGCCTTTCGAACCAAAAAACTTTGATCTTTTTGAGTATCATACAATAGCTACATCGTATCATTGGAATGCATTGTATCCTCTACAAAATATTCAAAAAAATAAAGCAATCTCTTTTTCAAAATTTTTTTTAGCTCATCCATATTTGGACATACTGATAGTAACGTTAAACTTTAAAACTGTGAAACACTTCAAAATTTGAAACAAAATGAAAGTGCTATAACAATATAATTTTCGCTTTTGTTTGAACAGTTTTAGAAATAACGTAAATTTTATAATTGTGTAGTGTTTAGACATTCTCTTCTCACCCACGTAAAATTAAAATTATCAAATACTGATGTCCTACAGTGCTAAATTATAATACATGATCTAACGTGTTTATATCTCAGTGTTAAATTTATGCAAAACCTTATCAGTCTACACTACTATGAGTTGTTGAAACGAACATCAATCATTACGTTTTGAAAATTTCTTTTTTAAATTTAAAAAAAAGATTTAAAATTAGGGTTTTCCAAATTTTTGGTCGTTTAGCTAATGTTTAAGTGAAGATATTATTCTTGTATTACCTACTTTATCATTTATACTATACTCCAAATAGTCTGAACAAAAAAGTTGTATCAAATATCCCTGAGGGTTTTAGAACAAGTTTTTTATTTTAGGGTAAAATAAGCTAGCAGAAGCTTCGATGCTTCGTATAAAGTTCAGTCATGTGGTACTACTAGGTCTCAACTGTATATTAGCTCTACTATTCTTGTCCCAGTTCAGTGTGAAACCTGTTTTCAATGCCATAAGAGAGGTAAGTTGATATGATAGGTTGTTCAAATAATTCTGTTCCCCTAATTCCAAAAATTTATTTTGAAAGGCGGCGCAGAATTGTTTGAACAACCAAATACTACAGTTTTGTTAAAGGTACTATTAAAGCTACTAATGTAATATTTAACCCCCTTAAAGATAGCACTATTATTAATATAAACATCCTCAAATCAACCATTGATATACCAAGTAGACCAAACCATTACTTTCAGCAATCAAATGACTTGTTAATGAACTTCAACCAAGAAAATTATCAAAATAAGGCAGAAATAGAATCCCAGAATCCTCAAAGTCATCAAGTCAATCCAGCAATCTCACAAAACTACAATAATTTAGGTAACAATGTAAAACAAGAAGGTCATAAAGAACAACAGGACAACCCGGAAAAGCTCCAAGGATCTGAAATTCAACCAGCAAACCAAATAAACCACAAAGAAGACCTTGGTCGAGTTCAACATCAACAAAAAGCTGACCTAAATACACTAGTTCACCACCTTTCCGAACAGTTCAAAGCTTATCAGAACAGCAAGAACAATAGCATATCAGCGAAAAAGCCTTCAGATATTGTAATACCCGTCCATTTACCTAACCAATCTCAACCACTCAGTGCTCTAACTCAACCAAAAATAGCCAATCTACCAAATCAACCAGTCGATATTCCAAAGCAAGAGAAAACATCAGCAGGCTTTGACAAAAATAAAAGAACATTGAAGTCACATAACTACAAAGGAGGATATTGTGTTATGTTCGACCACTGGAAGGCTGACCCCAAGTACAACCAGTCGATTACCTATGTTATCCATGCTTCAATGCCTTTTATGCATTACATTGAACCATTGGCTGAGGTCTGGGATGGGCCCATCTCGGTTGGAGTATATGTACCAGCACCGGATTTTCAGTACGAAGCTGGTGCAGCACAGAACTATGGTTTTATGGTTGGTTTTTAATATTGAAAAAATTATTTGTTACCTAAAATTATAAAAAAAATAGTTTTTGTTACCTAAAATATCAAAAAACTCATTTTTATTACCTAAAATATCAAATAATTTATTTTTGTTACCTAAAATTATTAAAAAATAGTTTTTGTTACCTATAATATCAGAAAACTAATGTTTGTTACCTAAAAAACAAAACCCTCGATTCCAGGAATCCCTAGCCAAACTAGAAACCTTTAAAGCAGCCAAAGCCTCAGGCAAAGTTTCAATTCATCTATTATTCGACGAACCAGAACGAGGCTGCGAATACTTTGTTTACAACGAAAGTCAATTAACTACTGATTATGAATACCTCAAACACATGTACGATCACGCTAGCCATATCCCCAACTATCCCTGTCAACAATTGAGAAACCTGGCCAGAATTGCCATGAAGACGAGGTTATTTGTGGCTTCGGACATTGAAAACATTCCTAATGAGAGATACGTTGAGAGAATGTTACCTCTGGCTCAGAAGTTGTTGATTGAGTAAGTTATAGAAGGTAAAGTAGCTCAATATACCCATGAATAAGTTTTTAAAAGAGTTTTTGATATAAAGATAACTTTGCCATAACTAAAACACCAAAATACAGATAAACAACTTACGTTATAGAGAAGCAAGACCGATGGTTCTAGTTCATCGACGATTTGAAGTGTCCGAAGTTGTTCCTTTGCCAAAAACCAAAACTGAACTGAAGGTACGTTTAATTCAGTACCTGAAAAACATAATTTACCGCTATTTCATACCTAATTTTATCAACTTTTAGCCTATAATCACTGCAAAAGTCCTAAAATCGACCTTCCTCAATATTATCCTTCCCTTTTTTGTTAAAAAATAATGAAAAATACCATCTTGGATCTACTATAAGATAGAAAATAATATAGATAAATAGGTAAAATAAAAGATAAAGAACTTACTGATCATCTTCCAGGCCTTATACGACCAACAAAAAGCCGTCGAATTTCACAAAATATTCTACGCTGCAGGCCATAGTATACCATACCTGGACGAGTGGTTTAATGTACCTGAAGATCCAAAAAAAGCATCTGTGTTTAAAGTAAGTTAACTTTTTTACTTTTACCAATGTTGTTTTACTACAACTTTTCTAATATTTTTACTTTTTTTGTTGTATTTCAAGTTTTCGTTGTGGGACCCGACTGAGGACAAAGTTTTCGAGCAGTGAGTTGAATAAGAAGCCAAAAAAGGGTGGAAATAGTATAATGGTAACCAGATTTATATCTTTTTTCTATATGTTTACACTTTCATTTTTCAAATTTTTATTTCCAGACAGTACCATACACAAACGGTCAATGGGAACCTCAATTCGTGGCCGATTCTTACAGTATTCCATTGCACGACGAAACGTTTCCATACCCTCATCGTGGACATACTGAACTTGGTTATGAAGTTTGTAGAGCTGGGTTTGAGTTTGCGGTTGTAAACGACATGTTTACTATGCATAAAGGCATCAAAACGAAAGCTTCGAAAGGAGAAACTCAAGGAGTTGAAGAAGCTAGGAATAATTACAATACTGTAAGTTATTTTACTGGAGATTTCGTATTGTTTTTGGTATTTTTAGCTCTAGGCGGGTGTATAATAAATATAAACTAAGGTAGAGCAGGATAAGGAAGGTACAGTAGGGTAAGTTAGGGCAGGATAATTTAGAGTAGGGTAGAGTTGGGTATGGTAAAGTATGGTAGGGTAGGGCAGGTACATAAACATTCTAAACCCGAAATGGTTTTAGGTAGTGTATAACTACAAAAAGCGAATAGACTATACTTACTGGCAAACTCGAGGCAAATGTGGTACCTTTAGGCCGTAGAAGTTGGCCTACGGCTTGTTTACTTCAATATTTATATTACTGTAGCTATAATTTATAAGTTGTTGTTAATAGAGATAATTATTAAATTTTTTTTACTATTTGAAAAAAAAATTTTTTAACTTTTCCTTCTCCTCCCCCTCTCTTTTGTCTTAAAAGGTCATTTTTACTTTGGCTAAAGCCTCCAGGGCTCTAGTTTTGAGTTTGTTGTAGTAGTTTTTAAAATTCACATTTTTTCAAAATATTTCAAAAACTATTTGCCAAACATGACACACAACATCAAGAAACATGATGTTGTTATAGATGAAAAGCAATAATATTTGCGTTCAAAATACATTTTTCCAAATAATTGTGAGAATTAATGTACAGCTGGTTAAACAGTCACAATACGTCTGCTTTTACTTTGTTTTGTCCGTTCAATTCTTTATGTTTCATTTGTCAAACAAATCGAATTCTAATCTAAATTTTACGGGTTTTGGGCAGGGAGAAAGGTGTATTTTTACATTAGGGTTTGGTTTGAAATGGCAGTTATTAAACAGAAAATCATTAATAAAAACATTTATTAATATATTTTTGATCGTATTTTACCTAAATTTTTTAGATTTTTTGTTGTTTTTTTGTTATCACTAGCATCCCAAACAAAGTAGCCTCTGTTTACTATTCAAAATTAAGTGCAAACCATTTTTATGATGATATTAAACTGAATGTAAAAGAGCGGTTCTTCTTTACACTGTTATTGTAGTTTAGCTTGATGGAGTTATTGTGTATAAGCATTCTTCAAACTGTTATTGAGCAAAGAAGGCTTATAAATAACAAAAGCTTATTCGAATTTTATTTTTCTTTGAATTTTCTTTACAAAACGGTTTTTGAGTGATCAAAGTTGACACGATTCTATGGTCATGAAGTGAAATTTGAATTCCGTACACTGTTCGGTTTGAATTTTCTTGAAAATCTTGTAAAATAACTTTTGTTTTAGTAAAAATGACCTTAAAGGGCACAATAAATGTTGCGGTTTTTGAAAAATTCAAAAAAGTTCAAGAATTTTAATTTTAAGTAATGGTTACCTAAAAAGTAGTGTCTTTAAAAGGAAAATTAAATTTAAAAGCTGTGGTTTGATTTAAATTAAACTTAAACTTTTAAAAAATTGCTTTCTAACAAGTTTATGGTTATCAATGGTTACATTACTTTAAGTTTCTCTTGCTTATTCTGTCTTTAAATTAGGTAAACATGGTTATTTTACATTTGCATGAAGTAGAAGTTATCATTTTACTTTTTTCATTAGATAGCGATGCTTATTGTACCTTCATAATAGATAGAAATGCTTACTTTACCCTTACATTAGGCAGAAGTAGAGACGGAAGTTATGACTTTACAGCCGATCACTTTCAAATGTTAGCCTCGCTCCAATGATCCAGCCTTTTTTCAATCATTTTTCGAGGGAATTGTGAGTTACGACGGATATGACTTTTACAACTTTCGGGTTTCGAGCTGTTTTTTGTTTACTTTACCTCATATTTATGTTGTGGTTTGTAAGATCAAAAAATATGTTTCTATGAATTTGGTTTAAATAGAAGGTAAGTTGTAAAGGTGGCAGGGGTAGGTAAATTAGTGCAGGGTATCAGCTTAGGAGTAAAGTTAAGGAGCGAGCTTGGCCTAGGAAAGAGCTTAGGCTAGGGCTTAGGCTAAGGCAAGGGCTTAGGCTAGGGCTTAGGCTAGAGCTTAGGCTAGGGCTTAGGCTAGAGCTTAGGCTATGGCTTAGGCTAGGGCTTAGGCTATGGCTTAGGTTATGGCTTAGGCTAGGGCTTAGGCTAGGGTTTAGTCTAAGGCTTAGGCTAGGGTTTAAGCTAAGGATTAGGCTAGGGCTTTGGCTAGGGCTTTGGCTAGGGCTTTGGCTAGGGCTTTGGCTAGGGCTTAGGCTAGGGCTTAAACTGGGGCTAGGACTTACAACTTTTTGTTAGGTTAGGGCTTCGGGCAGGGTTAGAGTTAGAGCTAGGACTAAAGCTAGGGTTAAGGCTAAGGCGAGAGCAATGGCTACGCTGAGCCTGAGGCTACAGTTTAACCTAAGTCAACGCTAACGGTAAAACTAAGACCGCAGTTAAGGCTAGGTTTGGCTTTAGGCTAAACTGTAAGCTAAAGCAGGGCTGGTGCTAAGACTAACAGGCGAGTACGAAGGCTAAGCTAGTCTTTAGGCTAAAGGTTATAATCTAAGACAAAGTAACTTATATTAGAAGAGAGTATAAATGACTCTACCTCAAAGTACCTTTGCCCCAAAACAGTCAAAAGTATATTAATAACCTTGATAAATTGCTGACGTATAATTTATACAAACGTGTTATGTTGTTGTTAGACATAACAACACAATAGTTGAGATAATCCCGCCATGAATTTATATCAGATGAACTCGGGAGCGAAACTGTTCACTTACTTTTGAGACGGGTTCTGCCTGCGGATACCAACTTGCAGTTGTATTTTAATTGTGTACGCTAGCTGTACCTAATGGTTGTGTTGTGTTTTACAACGTAACTTTGCTAGTTGTATACATATTAAAGTAAATTTTAATTAATTTTTAAAATATCAAAGTGTACTTTACTATATTATATATTGATTGTTACTAGCTACTATTGTAGTTCTAAAATAGTGCTTATTGTTACCTAAAACAAAGTGTTTTGTTGAAAATTGTTGAAAATAATGGATGCCAACGTTGTAAGTTGAAGTTTAGACTAGTTGAGGGTTGTTTGAAAAGATTGGTGATTTAAAAAAAAAACGAATTGGACCAGTATTTGGGTTAGGTGGCTGTATGTTTCTCTTTATTGGCCGTAATCTTCAAATAGCAATGGTTACCTTACTATACTTTGCCTTAAATTATCTCGTAGCAGCTTTACTCTTACCCTATTTTGCCGTGCTTAACTTTACTCTGTTTTACCCTACCTTAACTCGCTCTACTTTACTCGATTCTAACTTACTTTATCCTATCTTACACTACTTTACTTTACCTTATATTTTCTTTCTTTACTCCACCCTGATATACCTTACTTTACCCTACCCGACTCTACCCTACTTTATCTTACCCTACTGACCTGATCTTTCTTGTTCTATTTTACAGTATCCTCTTTTACTCATATCTGTTCTATCTGAACTTGGTCTACTCTTCTCTATTCTATCTTGTACGTTAGCCTACTTCATCTTACCTCAGCTTGATCAAATTTTTTTTCTACTCAAGTCTACCTTAGCCCTAACCTAATCCACTTCTAAAAATAACCTACCGGCTCTCCCTATATGCTCAATTGTGATATTAATAAACACGATCTTTGGCATAATTCCTCGTGTGTTTAAACGATATCCGCATTATATTACAGTACTTTAAGGACACTCGATTTTTACAAAAAGTTCGTAAACCGATTATCGGAAAAAGACACACACCGGAAGTTGGCAATATATAAATTAAGCAAATTGATGTGCTAAATGTGTGCTATTAAAGAGTCGATTTAGGGATATAAACAAGTGCTATGATGTGATATGATATTGGGAAAAGGGGGTTGTAAAAGGCTTTAGAGTTTGCACGGGTTTTAGGAAGAGAAGGGGATTTGTAGTATTTTTTTTTATTTTTTCGAAAGTTGGGGTTACTGTAACATATAATGATTGACTATTTGAATTCAAAAAGCAGTGGCTTATCTTAATTGACTCTCTTCAGCCCAATTCTATCTTATCTTACCTTATCCTCCTCAACTTTATCCTTCTCTAATCTAGCATAGCTTATCCTACTCTACCGTATCTTACTCTACCCTACTATTTGAATACAATATAAAGGTAACGTTATTCTTAATTAAATAGTTTTAACAACAGAGTTGTTTTACACTTCTTGCAAGTCAAATCTTTCGTTGCGGGACCTACGCTAAGCTCATGGAAACTTGATTTTGACCCGGACTAGAGTTGCCGCCCAGTCACTTTCCATTTTGATTCAGTTTTGCCTTGTAGTCTATCTTTTAAGCTTATTTTGACACTAGATCCAAGACACTGCAACTCGGGCTAATTCTCACGCCCAGAAAACTGCATGAATTTGAACCTTGAAATCTGTCCTAGAAACATAATTAGCAGACAGAATAATCTTTTTAATCATTATTTGAATAGGTTATTCTTCAAGTTTTCGAACTGTGTTTAATCCCTTTGAGTCATACAGTCGTTTCCTCTCAGCGGGCCGGGTTCATGATAAAACGAGCGGCCGCCTGGTTTTGTACTCTATTGGCAGCGGGATTTGTGGCGTTGACGTGCTGCGTCTATACTTGACAAATGTCATTATATTTTTATTACTATGCATACAAGCTGTGATGCTATGCGTACATAGTGTAACATTTACTAGGCCTACAAGTTTTGATACTATCTAAAAGTGTAATACTATAAATATTCGTATTGCGTATCAAGCGGTAATGCTTTTACTGGGTAAAAGTTAATTGCTGACGTGTTTATGTACAAACTTGCTAATTGTAGGCACTAAGTTACGGTTATGCAGTTAATCGTTAATATGTACAATTTTACCGTAGTAAAAAACGTAGTGTAATACAAAAGCTTCTTACTGTAAAAGTAAAATTATTTTCTAAAGTAAAAAAAAGCGTTTACTGTAGTAAAAACCTTAACACACAATTGTTTACCCGTACTGGTTAATCTTGTTACTTTACACCACACAAAAGTCTTTTTCGTACAGTACGATGCTATTATAGTATGTTGATGTTACGCTACAAAACATATGCTGTTACAGTCATGTCAACTACATAAGATAAAAAACGTTCTACTTAGCATATTAATAACAGGTCACAAGTTACAGGCAAAAGATGTTTGTATATGTTTCTGACGGTAATTGCGACGTCATTAGCACAGGCTATAAAATGTTCGATTACTATGTGCTGTGACGTACAATAATTATAAGGTTGGTGCAAACAAAAGTATATAAACACGTCTGCAATACGAACGTACTGACTGTGCATTATTGTACTTGTTTTTAAGTTGATATTAGCACTAATAGCACTTTCTGCTAATTATGTGTACTTATTGTAAAGCATGAGCTTGTACTAACTATATTAGCTTATTTTTACTTTCTACTGTATTTAATATGTTACTGATAATATTTTATGATAGACGGCGTAAATCTCGAAGATTAGGCTGATTACAGTGGTTAATGTAGCTAATCAATTAGAAGTTACTTTAGCCATTGTAATTGAATTAATCTCAAGATAAAATGGCACTTGGTAAGGCTGTAATTATCTACGAAGAAGCTTAATTGGCATGTATAAAATCATGTGAAAAAGCAATTGCCTAAAACACAGACTACTACAGTAGTCAAGGGATCAGTAAATTCAGACTTAGTTTTAGTTGTCGTCTTTTTCATAGTTTACAGTTCTGTTTTTAGTACTTTAATGTTAAACTGCCTCTAGCTTAGAGCTCTAGCATACATCCCTAGCCTAGAACACTAGCTCAGACCCCTAGACCAGAGACCTAGCCTAGAGCCCTAGCCTAGAGCCTTAGCCCAGAGACCTAGCCCAGATCCCTATCTCTTGGGCTTGCTTTAGCCTTAACCTTATACTGAGCCTTAGCCTTAGACTTAGTCTTAAACTTATCCTGAGTTTTAGCTCTAGCCTTGGCCTTAACCTTAGTTTCATTTTTGTTCCTAACCCTTGTCCTTGCCCTGATATAGTCACAACTCGAGCCAATCATTGATTATATTGCCCATACTTTGATCCTAACATTAACTCAAACTCTAAATATAATAGTTGCAAAAAGTTCAAAAAGGAACTGCGCAGTTAAGTGAAGATAGTCATGCACTTGCAACTGATCGCACGTCACATTCCGTTAATGAGCGTTCTTTTTGGTTTTGAACTGACAAAAGGCGGGAATCGGTGACTAAGTTTAAGCAATTATTTACATTATTGTGTTCTTGAGACAGTAATTAATGAGACTAAAGAGTAAATTTGATATCAATCGTATTTCACGTACTAGTGTTTGTTTTATTTTGACGTATTTTAGCTACTAAACTAATTTTAAAATTTTTCCTTGGCTAGCGTTGGCTGCAGTACTACTTAGTACTTAAAAAATTTAAAAAAATTTTATTTTGTAGTACTAAGGATTCTACTACCTTATAATAGTACTATAAATTTTTTACTACTGTACTATAGTACCAAAAGCATAGCACTAACTTTTTATAGTACTCATAATATTACCATCTGTTAAGCATCAAAAACAAAGCTAATCCCACCGATTATTAGCTGTTGTTTTACAATTTAACACCCAAAAATACTTTGGCACTATTCTGCATTACAGAGTAACTTTGGTGTTTAAATGTGTGGTAAGGGAAGAGAGTTTAAACTCTTTACAAGTTTTTTCTAAATTTTAACGCCAAATGCTCATAAAATACATTTGCTTGGTATAGGGAAGTTAATACATATATTATATATATTATAGTTTAAGATAGGATGAGGAGAAGTATAGTAAGATAGGTATGGATAGATTAAAATTAGGCAATAGTAGAGCTGCAGTAAGATTAGAATAGAGTAAAGAAGCATGGTAGGCCTGTTTCCCATGGCTAACTAGAACTATAGAAAGCCTGGGGCAAGGCTAAAACAGAGCTAAAGAAGAGCTAGAGTGAAGCTGTCTGTTACATTTTTTTTAGTCTAAATTATTGTAAAATACTTATTTTAAAAGTCAAAAGCTTCCACTTTGTCGCAATGTCACAATGACCTCAAAAACACCAAAGTATTCTGAACTGCTTAGCAATAAAGCAAGGCTTTAATCGGGTAGTTTAAACAAACAATTAAAGCGGAATTGAACAAGAGCAAGAATAATATGTATTGTGTTGTTTGCTGAACCTTATCCCACTGCATGCAACCGCTCTTATGAGCCCTCAGGGTTTGGTGGGATTATAACATTAATTAGTTGGGTTTAGCTAATTTTACTTTACAACGTTTTAATGGTGGTAATGTAATGTTTTTTGAGCTTCAACTTAAGTTTGTGATGTCATACTTGAACTTTTTTGATATTTTTGAGTTTTTGAGGTAAAACAGATTATTTTTATTGACTACCATGAGTTTATATTTGTAAATATAGAATATAATAACACCTTGAAACATACGTCAACAGTGGTAAATATTTACTGTCTTCTGACGTAGTTAAAGATCAATGTAAAGCCATGTTTGTATCATATTTTAACCATTAAAAGTTGAGCTGATTTAAATCAGTTTAAAGTTTTTTAGTGCCTCTGGGGTTTGACTATTATAAAAATTGAAGTTTTTAGTATATTTTATTCATACTGTAAGGAAAAATATTTTTTAAGTCACATATTAAAAGATAATAAAAAGGTTCAACTGTAGTATTGCTTTGACAAACCTTTACTTTGAAAAAACATGACTTATTTTGTTTACTGAAACAGTAATGCGCTTACATGTTGTTTTTGTAAGCTTTGTCTGTAAAGGTCAAACTTAACTTATTGATATTTCTGATTTTAAAATGTAGAGTTCTGTAAACTGTATACTGTAAAAATTGGTAATTTATCATTTGTATATTGTAGTTAGTTTAAAAATTTTGTTGGACTAGGGTTACAGTAATATTACGGTAAAGTTAAGGTAGGACTTGGTTAGATACTACGGTGAAAAAAGTCTATAGAAGAGCTAAATTGAGGTTAGGGTAGGGCTAGGGTAGGGTTAGAGTGGGAATAGAATATGGCTAAGGTAAGACAAAGATAGACTTAGATAGAGCTTGAGTAGATCTAAGCAAAGGCTACAATAAGTCTCAAGCAAGATTAGAGTAGGGTTAAAGCACGGCTAGCGTAGAACAAGAGTAGGTTTAAAATAAGGCTAGGATAGACTGAGAGCAAAGCTAATGTAGGGTTAAGCATGGCTAAAGTTAGAAAAAAAAACCTTCATAAAGCGTTGAACTTTTAAAATTTTTTCTGTTTTTTAAACTTACTAACACCATTCTATAAAAACCTTTTTAACAGTATAAAACTATCACAAAACCAAAGACTGTTTTATGGTTTCAAACACTTGAAAGCCTGTGGGGATAGATCTCCGGCGCAATTCAAAAAACCTTTTTATGTGACTTTTTGGGGTCGCTCGTCAAATAACTTTATTTACTATCAGTTATTGTTAGCGGCGAGAAAGAACGTATTTGAAATATTGCTTGTAACATTTTCGAGCTTACAAATCTATCATCTGTTGCTCTAGCAACTGGATCCTAATATTTTGTAAAATACGGTATTTCAGATTAGGCTTTGAAAAATTGTACTAGGCTACTGTAATATTGTAAAATTAAGCTTAAACTTCTAAAAAGTATAAGCAACAAAGCTAAAATTTTTAATCATACTATGTCTAACAATAGTACCACGTGTACCAAGTGAATGTAAAAAAAGCAGTTGGCGTTAAAATTTGAAAAAAGATTGTGTTTACAGTTGAAGGTCGCAAATGATAATTGTACTAAAATATTAATGCTACTAAACAATGTTTTTATTGGCTTCAATTACTAATGATCTTCTACAGTATGGCCATGAACGGTCATGGAGAAGTGTAGGTTTGTTTGTCAATTGTATTGTCTTAATTTCAAAAAATTGTTTTATCTTTTGGATGTTGTGGTACCTGTTACATGTGACATTCGTTTAGGGTAGAGGTGTGGTAAGGCAAGGATAGGGAATAAAGCAAAAATGTGAAAAAGATAGATCCCGCATAAAAAGAGTAAAGCAAGGGTACGGCGGATATAAGACAATATTGAGAGAATGGCTGCAGCAACGTTAAGGTATGGCTAAGGTAGGACAAAGATTCGACAAGAATAGGTCCAGTATGACTAGGGTAAGGTAAAGGTAGACCAGAGACAATAAAAACTTATTATAGGTTTTGGATATGAAAAAGCTAGATAAGGCAAAGATAGGGAATGGTAAAGATAGGGCGAGTGTAAATTGACGATAGGGCAAAGGTACAGCAAGGAGATGGCAAAACAAAGCTAAAGCAAAGTAAAACAATGCCACAGTAAGGCTAGTATGAGACTAATGTATAAGCCTTAAAAAATCAGGTCACTTCAAATTCATCAAAAACATATTATTGATAAACATTTCTTATTGTAGCCTTGAAAACGCAATGTATTAATTTCTACATGACTTCTAAATCCAGGGTCATTTATTATGGGTTACGCGACAATAACATGAATCGGAACGCTATTCCAAAGACTTTCAGTTAACGGTTTGGTTCAGTCAGAACGGTTTCATGAGTTTTATTTGGTTTCAATTTTTATTAGAGTTTGAATTTGGTTAGACTAGCTTTTACATCACATTTGTTTTACCATTTTTGCAAGTCAATTCCTTCGTTGCGGGACCTAAAGTAGGCGTTGAAGGGTGAGACTTTGGCTGGGGCTGAAACAGGCTTAGTGCGTCTTCTTTTAGGTCTTATTGTAAGAACTAAGCTAATAAGGAAACAATAATGTAAAATACTATTTAATATGTAGTCTTTTCAAAATTATAGTAAAGCATTATTATAATAAGCCATTTTCAAACAACACTATAAATTTTAATGTGGTATATTATAGTTTTGAATTAGTCACGTGTAAATATTTACATTCTGGCCATTTGCTATGTTTTTACTTACAAACAAGACATGAGTTATTGCGTGTTAATAGTTCAATTACTTAACCAATTAACTGACTAGTAGATATTTCAATGAAAAGGTTAATTAAGTCTTATACTTCAACTGTTTTTTTCATTTTTATTTACAAATTTGACTTGCTTTTAAGTTAGGCGGGTTAAAGTTCTGGGCTTGAATATCAATATTACACCTGCAGTAATCGCTGAATCAAAAAGCCTTGAAAATATTTATTTTGAAATGTGAACGGTCTCAAAGTTGTCTTTGATCTCTCAACGCAGGTTACAAAGGAAAACGATCATGGTTTACTTGCAAGTTTGCGTTTGACCAATTTATAGCTATTTGTTTGGGAAATAAAGTCTTATTCAAGTTGTAAGGACAGGGAGATCACGTCAGTCAGATCAAGGTAAGAAGGGTAGGGTAGGGTAGGGTAGGGTAGGGTAGGGTAGGGTAGGGTAGGGTAGGGTAGGGTATAATTTAAAGAAACAACATCACTACTATCTAACTACCCAATTACTAACAATATAATCGTTTACTTTACAAATTACCAACTAGTAATAGTAAGCGATTGAAAACAAACCTTCTTCCCCTTCCGTTCGACTCAATAACATACATCAATGTTGTGTTTTTTTCGTCTAACCGTTGACGGAGTTTTAAAACATTCCCTAACATGAGTTTTGTCTTTAAAGGTATTTCGGTTTTACAATGTTTGCTTAACGAGTAGAACGACTTAGAGTTGAATTACGCAACAAATTGAGGGTTTTTGATAGGTTTTGTGTATTCTGTAGTAAATTGGTTGAAATTGAAGTTTTGAAACTTATTTTGACATTTTTATTATGTTTATATTATACTTATAATTTCATGACGTATGTATGATTTGTCATGGCACTAGAGTTTAAATGAGAAAATGAGGTTTAGGTAAGAGAGGGGTGGTCAGTACTGCTCGGAATGTAAGGGCAGGGTAGTCAGTGCTGTTTAGAAAGAGAAGTAACGGAAGGAATAAGTAACTGAAGACCTGTTCGAGGAATAGGTAAAGACATATTGTATTAATAATATAGTTTTAAAGTTAGGTTTTATTCGTTGAATTTGACGAAAAATAACTATATTGTTCAGCAAATAGGTTTGCATTTTTGTTATTTGTAGCTGGTATCGATTTTCTTATTAACATCAGTTTGACAATTTCTGTTAGATACAGGTCTGTTCAGCAAATATCTTTACATTTTTGCAAGCATCAAGTCCTTATAAGTTTTGAAATGTTATCTCTAACTTAATTAATGTCAGTCCTTAGTACTTAGGTATTTTTTAAAACTGCATTTATTCTTAGTATCTCTGAGCCATACCTCGTATTTTACATTTTCCTCTGAATTCAATTTTTATTTTCAAAAAAGACCTTTAATTTTTTCAGCTTGGCCGTCGCCATTCCGCCGTTGACTACGCGCCCTCCTGTTCCTGGTCCGAATTCACCGACGATCCCAATTGGCTAGTCCATCGAATGGAACCGCTGAAAAACTGGCATTCACAGCACTTGGATAACAATTCAAATATGAAGAGCACATCAAGTGTGTTGGCCAAACGAGCACAGAACTTGTTGGCCAATAGGGAGCTAGCCAAAACATACAGAGAAGTTTATGAAGATCACTGGAATCTGGAACAGAATCCTCAGGTAAAATACGGTGACAATAAGGTTGAAGAAGAGTCGGAACTATTAGGTTGTTCAAATAATCCTGAGCCTTCAAATTCCAAAAATTTGGTTTAAAAGGGAGCACAGAATTATTTGAACAACCCAATATAAACAGTTTAGTTAATTAGCAGTAGATTATTTAAAAATTTTTAAATTGTTTTTAGGGTAAAATCAACTTGTGCACGGCCGAGAACACGTTATGTGAAGATCTTTTGGTAGAAAAGGTAACAATTTTATTAATGTTTGAAATTGAAAAGAAACCCCTTGATTTTAAAAAGTATACATTATGATTTAAATTTTCAGATAAACGACCCAAAAATCTGGCACAACTTATTCCCCACAATACATCATTATCAGCCTTCGGGTGGACTGGAATGGTATGTCATAATGATTTTTATGTTTTAGTGTCAATTTGGTACCTTTGCTCCAGGAAGAGTTTCACTTTGAAATTTTAATATCTTGCCCTAGGACGAAAAATATTGTTAAGTTGTTCAAATAATAATGTGCCCCAAACCCCATAAATTTTTTGAGTGAGGGCACAGAATTATACTAACAACCAAATCATAAAAAAAATATTTTATAAATTTGAAAAGATGTGACGAAGTAGAAAAAAATTGCATTTTCAGGGTGAAAACGGCGGCGGCAGATTACATCGACAAGTTCGTGTCCATCAATGGGGACCCAAGTGTGGCCAAAGAGAACCTTGTCATTGTCCCTGGCTGCGCGGCGGCGTACGACATGATTGGATGTTGTTTATTCGAAGCGAACGGTAAGAATTAAATCAATTTTTGAATTTTTCCTTAATTTTTATTTGTATTTTCTTTAAAATTTGGATTGTTGAGATAAATACAGATATTTTTTAATTAAAATAGGATCTTGTTTGAGGTAAAATACGAATATTTATTAGTTTTGAGGTCATTTTAAGCTTGAAATTTAAAAAAAATTTTGTTTTTAAAATTTGAATATGTAAATGATTTCAGAAGCAGTATTGGCACCAGTGCCATTTTACGTACGATTGGCTGATAACTGGGGCGAGCGAGCTCATGTCAGGGTTATGCCAGTTTTATATGTAAGTGTTTTTTTTATTTTGATAAATGTATGTTCTATAGTGTATTGTACAACAATATATTGCTGTATTTCTATAACAATATACTACTGTGTTTCTAATAAAGATTTTTGTGATTTACGTTATTAAGTTATTCAAATAATTCTGTGCTCCCTCTCAAAGCAAATTTCCCGAGTTAGGAGGCACAGAATTATTTGAAAAAACTAATATTATATATTATTTACGTTTTATTGCTTTAGAACGATCTAAACAAGCCAACACTCCGGCCAGAGCTCTTTCAAGCGGCGTTAGGCGAAGCGACACTTAAGGCAAGTTAATACTTTTGTTATTTTAAAAACTTTAAATTACTGCTTTTGTAACTGGAGTAAGTTTAAAGGTTACTTTACCTATTTTTATTTGTAAAATACGACAGAATTGCAAATTCCCTTTTTTGACAGCATTAACAGTATAATTTCAGGGTATTAAAGTAAAAGCGATCTCATTAATTAATCCGAATAATCCATTAGGTCATGTCTTTCCGGAAAAAGACGTTTTCGACGTTTGTAAGTGGGCGGTCAGGTAAGTACTATTGTATTTTAACTATAAAATTTTTGTCAAAACACTAATATATTAGAAAAGTCACTGGAAATGTAAAATTTATCAGTAAAAAACCAAATTCTTACTAAAAAATAAAATTTAATAATTGTAAAATACGATGCATTCCTGTTTTTTTAATTTTAATCTTATTTTAAATTAAATATTTCAGCAATGATTTATTCATCATAGCGGATGAAGTCTTTGCTTCGACCACTGAATATGCTCAACGTTTCCGATCGATGCTTTCACTACGACATCAGCTAGGTGTCAAACATAGGAAAAAAGTCATATGGATGTGGGGCGTTTCTAAGGTAAGATCCAAAGTGGCAATGCAAAAAATAATGTCATTTTTTTAAATATAATGGCATACTTTTAATTTGAGTTTAAAAACCCAACCTTTTCATTTAAATTTATGTCCAAACTATAAGCTCTAAAGCTCAAGCTTAACCTTTTCAGGATCTCTGCCTACCAGGTGCCCGATTCGCAATAGTACACACAGAGCTAGAGGACCTACAAAAAGGTCTTCGTCGTCTCGAAATTCTTCAACCCTGTTCTCCAATAGCTCAACATTTAATAGGCCATCTGCTTCGTGACCACACCTGGATTCAGAAGTTTCATGTCACGAAGAATCAACGGTTAGAAGAGAATCGAAAGTTTGCTTGTAAAAAACTAGAAGACTACGGTATTCAATATCTGCCAACTGATTCTGGACTGTTTTTGTTCATCGACTTCAGGGAGTATATCAAGGATGACACATTTGAAGCCGAGAATGTGTTGTGGAAGAGGTTTACACGATCTGGAGTTTATATGAATCCAGGCAGCTTCATGGGCAGTGTGGAGCCGGGATGGTTCAGATTGGTTATTAGTTGTGCTAGAAGCGAGCTTGAAGAAGGTAAATTACTTTTATGATTTTTCACTTTACTGTGTATAGCTTTTTACGTATTTGCAATCTAAAAAAATTTCATTTTTTCTTCTAAAAAGACCTAAAAGTCAAAGTTTAACGCCTTTCATAGCCAATAATATTAACCATAAAACTAAAAAACATAAATTTTTAGGACTCCGACGTCTCCACGACATTCTTCTAATAATCGAAAAACGCCAAATCGATCGGCCAAAATCAGCTGTACCTACAGAATTAAAGAACGATCAATCATTCATCAGAATCCAATCAGGAGACGACCTTATGAGTAAAGTCTTCGGACTCCCTCTACCAGTATTCGGCGCATTAAGCACATCTACCGATCATATCGAAGCTGAATATCAAAAGATTGATAAAACTCACATCGACAATACACCATTCAACATCTTGGACTACGTGAAGCCACAGAAGAAGGACGACACGGCCGAAGCTTTCGGAGATTCGTTAAATTCCGAAGAAGAACCTGATTTTAATTCTGGTGATTTGAAGGAGAAAAATTCAGAAGGTTATGGAAAACATCATGAAGGCAAACATAATCACAGCCGAACATCAGAGCTGACGATTGACATTACTACAACATCGGAAAAACAAAAACCAGAACTTCTGTCAGACACAATCTACAACACTATCTTCGCCAGTCCGACCACTACCGTGCAAGGCGGTGTAGCCAAGTCAGACAATGTTGTACAACAAACCAGCTTTACCTCATCAACTAGTCCAGTCCAGAAGGAGCGCTTCTCCTTGTCTAAACAATACTTTATCAGTAAAGGAGTCACAGATCCGGAAATGAGTGAATCCACGGAATCCAAAGATACTGAAGACACGATGAATCAACTCTATAATGAGTTCCAGATTCCTATCCCAAAACAGAAGTCAACAGTCTCTGTACAACACAGTAAAGCGGTCAATTTGAGCGATGAACGGTCACCTAGCATAACCGAAGTTTTGGCTAGGATAAGCCCACCAGCTAGCGAGCCAACAAGTCTTGACTTTGAAGTAGATGGAGATAAGGCTTCAGAATTGACTGTAAATAAAAAGGATGAGAAAAGCATTGAAGATAATTATGGAAAACCTTCAAAAGAAGCTCATTATAATGAAGATCAAAATGAATATTCTGTGGAAGGTAAAGAACAAAGTAAATACTTTGTAGAAGAAGCTGATGACCAGAGTGAATATCCGTTAGAAACCCACGATAAATACGATAACGACCACCGAACCCATCAACATATCCAATACAGTAACTCTCTACTGTCCCCTACAATAACATCAAGCCAAGTATCACCATCAACATCGGTAATCACAGATGAAGAGTACGAAAGAATCTTCACGCCCCATGAAGCTCTACTACAACATAACGCAGTTAAAAAATCGTACAGTGCCAAGACAAACAACAATAATATTATAACAGACACATCTGTATTCTTGAAGCACCAAGATGCTAATGTACAACAAAAGATGGAAGCTACGTTAAGTAAAGAAATATATCAAAAGATATTTTCGCAACGTGTGTCTTCGGCTGATGAAGTAGAAGGTAGGGAAGAAAGTCTGGACGACATATTGGCTGATGGTTACAAAGATAAAGATGAAGATATTGATAAAGTAGAAGAAATTACAGACATTACAAAAGACGATGAAGACACTTCAGAGATTAAAAAAGACAGTGAAAAAATTGTTAAAGGAAACAATTTTGACTCTGTTGAATTGAAAGAACCACAAAAGGATAATCAACAACTAGAAGATAGCCAAGACAACAGTCTTGTCGAAGACGCGCAAGGTATTCCAGAAAAGCCATCAGAATCTTCAGAAGCCTCGAATGATCATAATGTTTCATCCTTACAAAACTCTGAAGCAAACCAGTCCAGCCTCAAAGAAATCCAGCCTAACGACCCCTACTACGTAGTAATCCACAACCAAAACCGTAGACACGAGATGGACCCAGAGCTGTGGGAAAACGTTTTTAACCCTCCCACAACCAGCATAACAACAACTCGGAAGGTTCAAAAAACAGCCGACGATTCGAAAATAACAACAGATTTGGCTGCCTTCTCTCGACAACAACATGAACAACATAAGAGAAACATCGGAAAACCAACGTTAACTGATGACCAGTTGGCCAAAGTGTTCGGCATTGATAAGAAGGAAAGTGATTACTATACCAGTGTAGTTAACCACAGTCTTGACGAGGCTAGTCTGGCACCAGATAATAAACCTGATTTGTCAGGTTTGGCAGTAGATGTAAGAGAAGAGAAAGAAAATAATGATAAAGTACAGCACGATGGATATCAAGCTAAACCGGAACCACAAAATTATCAAAATAAGTCTTCAGAAGACAAAAGCAATACTGAAGAAGCTGCAATTCTTACTGATGCCAAAGAAACTACTGTAACTACATACAGACAATTATCAGGCTTTACAGAAAGTCACGACTTGATCAAAGCAGTGTTTTCTCCAATACAGCATCAAAAATCAGAAGAACAACCTAAAAAGACGTATAAATTGGCGGACGATAGTAATATCTCCACCGATTTGTCAGCCTTTTCAAGAAGCCAGCACGAAAATGTCAAGCGACAAATTGGCTCACCAACGTTAACCGATCAAGAACTGTCTGCAGTTTTTGCTACACAAAGTGCTACTGATGATAAATTGAAACCTGAAGCTACAAAAGACCATGAAGAGCATCGAAACGATGCTAAAGTAGATTATCGAACTCATTATGAAGCCGAAGCTGTAAGAAAGGATGAAGACAAAGGAGAAAAAGAAGCCAACCCCAAAGATAGTAATAAAGAAAAACACAAACAGTCAGAAGTCGTCAGTGAAAACATAGAAAACGACCAACTTTTGCACCAAGTCTTCTCTCCTGTAGCTTCAACAAAAACCGAAGTTACAAGTAAAAAACTACAGAAACCGATCGACGATTCTAAGATCAGTACAGATTTATCAGCGTTTTCAAAACACAAAAACGAAGAGTCAAGGAAGGCGTTAGGACAGCCAACCTTCACTGATGAAGAAATTGACAGAATATTTAAAGATCAAGAAAGAGAAGGCCAACAAGTGGAGGTAACAGCAGAAAACAAAACTGTTGTTGAAGATACAGAAGCAGAAAAAGATATGATGCCCGTGGAACAAGAAACCCACGATGAGCATAAAAAGAAGAAGATAGAAAAAACGCCAGCACAGATTCAAGAATCAGAAAAGCCAAACGAACTTTTACATCAAGTCTTCTCACCTATTCCAACATCACACTCAGAGAGTACAACACAGGTTAAAAAGCTTCAAAAACCGGTTGATGACTCCAAAATAACCACTGATCTATCAGCTTTTTCGAAAAGACAACATGAAGATGTAAAACGATCGGTTGGATCACCAACTCTCACTGACCAACAACTTGCTGAAATTTTTGAACAAAAACAGGCAGGTCATGACCAATGCGATAGCAATGAGAAAGCAAAAGTGGCAAAAACAACATATAATTCTGAGAGAGATGTTATATCTGAAGATCACGTTGGTAAAGACCAAGAAGGTAAAGACACACGAGAAGTAAGTGAAGTTAGTGAAAGAATACCATCAGAAGAAGAAGCCGAATACAACCTTCAGAGAGGTCAAATAACTCCAGAAGAGAAAGTGGCTGAAGAAATTGTTAACCACGCCTTTTCTGAGAAACTAGAAGACAATTTGTCAACATTAGATAAGTCAAACGTTTCTACAGAAAACAATAAGACAAGTACAGAAGAATTACCAAAAGAAGAAGCTCACAAAGTTCCAATTCCAGAAGAATCACCCCTTTCTAAACCAAGTTATGTCCAATTAAGCCTGAACCTAGATGACGTGTTCAAACCAGAACAGTCTTATACATATGAAGAACTTAAAAAAGCCCAACAAATTGCCAAATACGATAGCACCAAAGATTCTGCCATAACATTAGACACAAGAGTATTTAACAGAAAAACTGAAGAAGAACATCACGCTCTTCAGCCTACTTTAAGCGATGACAAAATTCACGAAATTTTGTACCCAAGGTATGTACCGTTGGGTACAATTAAGGAATATTCTAAAGAAACCGACGACAGTAACGTCATTCATAAAGAAGACCAAAAATCGCAAGATGACATGGCATTTGGTTCATTTGAAAACCCAATATTAGATTCAAAAGAAAATCAATATTTGAAAGACGCTAACAAATCGTACTTCGAAGACCTGATAGCTCATCCACCGTTAACACTACCGAAGCACATACTACAACCAAAAGAATCCGTGTCCGATCGCCAGTCCGTCTCCTCCAACGAGCACTTCAAATCCGACGTTTCTGAAACTACGGAACACGTCCGTAACGAAGACTTTGAAGAGGCTCTAGAGCGGATTCACAAGCTCAGCGATTCAGAACAAAAACATCTGAACGAATACTCGAGCATTGATATTATGAACGAAGTGTTTGAGTACAAACCAGATCCGTATTTTGCTGAGCGCCACAACACCAGTATTCAGAAGACTGTCACGGCCAAAACCAATCCCGAGTTGAGTGATGGAACCAACTTCCCTCGACATGAAGTAAAGGAAGCCAGAGAGAAGGTCGTGTCACCAACACTGACCGACGATGAATACCGTTTGATTTTCGAAGAGCCGAATTTAGTTGTGGCGCCAAAAAGCGAGGCTCAATATTACGATAAAGTAAAGAAAGAAGAGGATTATAATCAAGAAAAAAATGAAAGAAATACCAGGCCTACAAATATATCAATACCAAGAACAATTGAAACACCAAAAGAAGAAAAAAATTATATAAAAGAAGACCAAACCCACAGCAACAAACAACAGAAGGATGAAGAAAAGGAAGATCAAAACAACAAGAAAGAAGAAAAACAAACCGTAACCTTCGGCGACGAAAAGATACACCATGATGACCTGCCTTTAACCCCCTTACCTGGCCGTCGGTATACCGACTCCATGTTTGATGACAACGTGTTCGAATTGTCTCAAGAAGATCTGGACAAGTACGGAAAATTCATAGATCACAATCAAGATAGTGATAATGACTTTGATTACCCGTACAGTCAAGAACTCACAGACATTGATGAAAAAGGTGAAAGTGACACTGAAGAACGCAAACTTTCCCCAAGCTTACAAAGCTTTGAAAAAACAGAATTGGCTGTACGACAATCTGTCATTTCTGACGATGTTTTCCATTCGGAACAACATGATCAAAAGGGTCATATTGATACCGTCACAGGCGAATTGAAGCCACATCCCAAATCGCCTCGTCGACACAAAATCGTTGGTTCTGAAGACATTCTTGATGACCGTACGAGCAAGCAAACAGAAAATGTTACAACAGAAGGTACAGAAAATAGTACAGAAGGTAAATCAGACGAATTGCCACAAAACAAGTCAGAAAACCCCACAGTAGATCAAAACACAGAAGTCAAACAAGAAGTTAACAATGCAAAACTTCAAAAACAAGACCAACCAAGTCCGTCAGAAAACAAAACTTTGTCCACAAAGCTAAAGGAAGGTCTGTCTAATATTTTTACGTCCAAAAAAGACAAGAAGCCTGACTCCGCAGAGGAAGATGACGACGTTACTTACAAGCGTATGGAATCAATTGATCGTACAGCTGTAATCGAAGAACAAAACTCCACGTCATCTGACGCTCAGTCACCGTCAGAATACATCGACAAGATTTTCGAGTCGACATTCCGAAATCAAGAATCACTTTCTGACGATGAAGCGTTGAATCATCAAAGCAAAGATATTGTAGATGAGGCTATAAGAAACGTTGAAGGAGAATATACAAGGCAAAGAGCAGAAAACAAGGACAATATGAGGCAAAACGTAGAGGAAAAAGAGAATAAGAGACAGAATCTTGATGAACAAGGCCATTTACATCTAGAAAGCCTCGTAGATTCAGAAAGTGAAGGCCGACAGTATAGAATTACTAACGTTATGCACAGTCCTTCACAAAACCGTGGCACAGTACACCAACATTCTAATGAAAATAGTTCCTCTGGTCAAGAAAGGTCCTCTGAAGCTTATCAAACTCATACACAAGGCGGTAATGGTCAAACTAGAGATCAAGACCCTAAAGAACTTAATTATCAAAGTAAAAACCAACGACAAAACCATAAAACTTCACAAGACGATTCCGAAGACCACAACGTGAGAGTAAAAGATGCTATAAAAAAGTTGAACAAGGCCGAAAAACACGCAACTTTCTCCGGAAACACAACGTCACATTACGTTAAGTCATCTAAACATCATCAATCAAGCCCCGCTAACAGTCAACAAAGCAATAACGTTAGTCGTATGTCTTCGCCTCCAATGTCGCCGCTTCACGTTGATACGAACTATCAACCGTTATCATCATCCACATTGAAGCGTCAAGACTACCGTGAACGCCGTCTCAATGATTCTGGAATTGGTATGGACAGCTATCATGCTCCTAACGCCATTACCGTAGAGTTTCCGCTAATTGTTACTAGTCCAAAAGAAGGTTTGGTTGATATTAAGGAAAGTAGAGAACAAGAACAAACTATTGATGATCAAACTGGACGATATGGAGATGATACACACCATGATAATGGCATTAAGATTGTGTCAAACAAAACTACCGAGTTTCTAAAGCCGAAGAACGAAGATTCAGCTTTCAGTACGTCGATGCATTCAGAGCTACGTGACCATCTAGATCACACAATGACTGATGATTCACTAGAGCATAAAAAGAGAAGGTACGTAAAGAAACGAGAGTACCACAAAGGCCAGTACCACTCACCAACTGATCGCTACTACTACAGAAATATGAATGAATACAGCGACAGTGACCATCTCTACACGGACGCCTCATTTGAACCATTAAGTCCAGAACAAACGAAACCAGTGTACCATTTCCGACCGGTCGACTTTGACGTAACCATTAGGTCCAATAGTCCTAAAGTGCGATCAAGATCTCAAGAAACAGTTAGTTTTAAAGATGATTCCCTCGGCAATTCGTTTGAAAATGAATTTGGCACGAAAGTCTTCCCTCAAAGGTCAAAAGAATACGACTTTTCTCATCGAGCACAAGCAGTACCAGTGTACCACCTTCGCCAATCCAAGTCATCTAGTGCTTTGGAGGGCAGCCACGACTTTGCCTCAATCATAGAAGACTATAATCAACATCTGAACAGAAAACGAGCCCATTCTCCAACAGTATCTGTCACTACACACAATCGACCGTACTCACAGAATCAACAATTCCATCAAGTACATCATGATTTGTATCTGGAGCGACGTCCAGGTACCTATTACTCAACTTCACGAGTCGGAAGTGTTGTAGTCGAGCATACAAACGTGACCGAGATTGTTCATGACAAGAAAGATGAAAGGAAAAGCCGAGCTGAGTTGGTCAAGACCAAGACGACTACACGAGTAGAGAGCTTGGAACCTCGAGAGCTTCTAGATACATTGGTGTTTGAGGGTGAACCTGGACTACATAGAAATGAGCGGGCTGAAAAGTATGTGGAATATAGACATAGAAGATCAAGGTAAGAACTTTGATTATTCATACCTATTATTGACCATTTTTCACCTTACTATATAATTTTCGAAACAATATAAAACTCTTTCATTTTCCAGGGCTCCAAACACAACAGCAACAAGAATCTCAAACTACGTTGTCCACCAACGGGACACGACAGAAGAATCCGATAGCGACATTACCGACTTTCAACGCACAAGCAGCGGCCGCTATCAACGAGGAGTTCAGACCAAAGAAACAATTGATTTGTGCTGTAGAATGAGACTGATTAAGGCTGTTCATCAAGGAGACAACGGCCCTGAGCAAGCTGAATATGTTATGTGTAGAAATCCCAATCACGCTGACAAACACGACCACTGTAATCCGAAAAGATTGTATGCTGTAAAACGTAGCACCATCCCTAGGACTCAAAAACGTATGTTAGACTTTAATTGCTTTTGATAAAATTTTAACTTTATTTGAAAATAATTACGGTGATTTTTTCAAAATTTTTGAAACCAAATTTACGAAAAAATAAAAATTTTCACTCTGGATACCTACTACAATATAATTCAATTTCAGCTAAACAATACACGATTGGAAATGGAAATGACAAAATTACAATCACCACAACCGCTGACTTTGGAAACTCAATCGACAGGATTTCAAGCAAGTTAATTTTCGAAAAAATTTTAACTTTTTCCACTACCCCTTCCTCAAAAACCTTATCATCGAGTCCTCAACCGAGGCCCAAAAAAATTGTCCAGCCCTCAAAATGCCCAAAAGTTGAAAAATATTAATTTTAAAATTTCAGTGAGAAGATCCCCGAATCAAACATGGTTAGTATCGTCTGTACAAACTACGAACAAGTACAATACGATAGAACGCGACCATTTTGCATCTAGTTCGGAAACTGATGCTTCTGTCGCTAAAATACGCTCGAAACTTTATTAGGATTGTTAAATTTGTCACCTTTTTTATCATACTATTAATAGCGCGCAACGATATACCGTATTTTACCTTACCGTAATATAACTAAACGTAACGTACAACGTTAAAAAGTATGGTACCTTTAAAGGCCTTTTCATGTCTACTTGAATTTTTCCCTTATCCATTTTGTATATAACCCTCTCTAGGTGCATATAAGTCTTTTATCGTACTTATTGCTATCAGAAAATGCATATATCTTTAGCAATGCATATTAAAGTCAATTGATTCATACGTGTTCTTTCTTATACTATATTGTGGCCTTTACATTACAATTAACATATGTTTATAGTTTTAACATTACAGTACCTTATTATCACATTTAATATCTTGTAAATTATATTTTTAGATCAGAAAGTGAATAAATATTTTTTAAAACTTCAGAAAAGTTACATTGATTTTTTAAAAAAATTTTAAATTAACATAGGTTAAGATATACAAACAAAGTTACAGTACAATAAACATAACAAAAAATTAAAAAAGCAAGTACAGCACACTACACAAGTAATACATGTTCAAAACACATTAATCACCAACCAAAAATATTCAATAAACTTTACTGATCTTCAAATATAACTATATTTTCTCAATATAACTGAATATTATTAACTTAATTAAGATATTTGTTGTAGTTGACCCAAGCAGACGTAGTAAAACGTCACAGAGTGTGCAATTGACCCAGTCAGTTGCAGTAAATATTCATCCACTGCGTTTGTACCTCAATCAGCCGTAGTACAACTTCGTATTAGCGTATTACCAGCAGATGAGAATAATCGACCGTTCTTTTGACTTTTCCGAAATCGAAACACGTTCTGGTCGAATGGAGTAAACTTTTCGATATGTAGTTGTGTGCTTTGTATTGTGCCTCTGATGTCATTGAGTAGTTGCTGTCGATCTGTGTTGGCTAGGTATACCTAAAACAAAAACATATTTTTTAGACCTTTAAAATAATAGTTTAAATTGAAAATAGTATGAAGGTAATTGGTTGTGTTAGTTGTAGTCTTTTTTATAGTTGAAAGCGCAAAATAAAATTTTTGTAACGCTTCTTAATAAGTTAAAGCAATTTTTCACACAACTGTTTCGCTTTTACCACATAAACCCCCCAATCATACCCCCTCCATCTCACCTGTACAATATTATCATCGATAAATTCCGCATCAATCATCTCCTCATTTTCATAAACCCTCCATGCCACCCTTTTAAAGCTTTTTTCCTTTGATATCGTCCCTTGATGTAAGATAATACCGGCTGTTGTCGGATAATTGACCACGGCATAATGCACCGGATCTTGTGGTACAACATCTGTCGTTGCTGTCGAGAATCCGTTCGGTGATGTTGGTTCTTTGACTGGAGTAAGAACGGTGTCGAAAATTGATTCTAAAATCACCGTTTCCCAACTTTTTTCCTTTATTGGCTTCGGCGAAAAAGAGAATTTAAAGTTTGGTTGTTCAGCTCCAAGGATAAGTTCATGAAGCGGATGTCGTTGTGACCCTGAAAAGAACAAACTTTATTTATAGAGTCCAAATATAACCTAATCATTAAAAATGAGTTTATAATACTACTGAGAAAACTAATTAAATGAGCAAACAAAACGTTATGCAATATCACTATATTGATCCCTCCTCCAGCCTTTATGATAACTTACCTTATAAACAGCCTTCAAAAACAATATTTCACTGTGATCAAATTGAAATATGGATTTCAAAGTTTGTGTTACAAAAGTTTCTAAACCAGGAAAAGTGTCCCGAGTTTGATCTGCATTCAAATACTCAATGGCATAAGGATCTCCACTTCTTGATGCTGTTAGAAAAGTATTACTCGGCTCCACAATCGCTAGCGTCGCTGAAATAAAAAGACGGGTGTGCTTGAAATGTTAACCAATTATTTTATATATCCCACTGACTTATTTGCATTAAAAACGTCCTTCAAACCTTCGTTTAACAACAAATTACAAGATTCATTACCAAAAACCGATTAAATTATTAATTTTTAATCTGCCACGTACCATAACTTTTTTAAATAAGCTTTTTCTAATTTTTTGTTACCTAAAATAACCAAAAACACATCAAATCCTTACCATAAAGACCAGTTTTTGTTGAGAACATAACCACAACTTCTTGGCCGTCTTGAATACATTCTTCCGCCAATATTTGAGCCGGTTTTATGTTTCCTCCAGTCTGTCTTACAACCATTTCCTAAAATTTCAAAACTCAAAGTTTTTAAAAGCCGTTATTGCCCTAAAAGCAGACTTTACCCAGACTAGCCCAGAAAAACACCTACAACAATATAAATCTTACTTATAAGACAAAATAAATCTAAAATAACAAATTAAATTTAAATAAACAAAAAATAAACCTACCTTAAGATACTCGTTGAACTCGTCTCCATTGTAGATAATTCTCAACCCGCTGTACCCGTAAAGCAGATTCTTTTGAGGTCGGACAACAATTGGGTATTTCCCCAAATTACTCGTAGCATGATCCACCCATTGCTCTAAATGAGCTTGAATTGAGCCTAATGAACATAGTCTGAAAGTAGTTACAAGTTTTTATGGTATATAAAGTCAGATTTTGGGTCGAATGGTAAATAAAACAAAGAAAAAGTCGAAAACAAGAAAATGATAAACAGGTTTTAGCGTATAATTTTGGCCCGCAGGCTGCAACACAGTAAATAAGGGCGCAGCTCATTTGATGAAATAGGTTTTACAAGCTCTAAAGTTGTTTTTTAGGTAATATAGGTCACGTTAGATATATTTAAACTTTTTTACTAATATTATCCTAATTTTTTAACTTTCTAACACTATATTATCCATGATATATACTACGCCTTACTTTGCGGACGGAACGCTTCCCTTTTTGCACAAGTTTTTGATTTCTTTCCGGTTGAACAGCGAGACGTATTCCTTGTGTTTGAGGCCCTCTAAACTGAGTTCCGTTCTTATTTGAGCAACTTCCTGTTGTAATGCCTTCTCGAACGTAATCAGACGACATCTTGTGGTACCTAAACTGGCACACAGCTCGAGGGTTTTTTGAATGATTGGCGAATAGTTGTTGTCTTGTTTGCCGATTGGTCCGTCTATGTAGTGAAATGTGTCAATACTAAAACAATTTTTCATTTTTTGAAAATTATAGTTGGTTAGGGTATGTTACGGGGGGGGGGGGGGGGGCGGTGTAAGGTTTCGTAGGGCAGAGTATGGTAAGGTAGGGTATGCTAGAGTAAAGTAAAAGCAATGAGGATGTGGTATATTTTAAAACCTACTTATTCTCCCCATGAATCATGGACTTCGGCCCAACCACAATCAGTCGCTGATCGAAGGGTTTGTGTAGCAGTGACAAGTCTAGTGGATGCTTCCATACGGCTATAATCGCGACGCACCTTGTCATCGAACTAAAAACATAACATTCGGCTTATGTGGAAAAACAGAACACGCTCAAAAACAACATGACATGACCCGGTTACTGGTGAAATACTTTTGCATAAAATGGCTTCGGAATAATATTTTAATTGGCATGGACGTTAGGTCTTCTTTTTGTGATACTACGTTAGAGTATACTCCGTGGTGTAATAAAAGAGAGCAGAAGAGTTTAATTGTCGTTGTTAGTAGTGCATATGTCATTGTAATTGACGTAAAATTTCAAAAGATTGTTGCAATAAAAATTTACTTTAAGCAGTAAAAGCTCGGTAAACAAAGCTTCGTTATAAAAGCCACGTTATAGTACATCGTCCAATAAGTAAGTCTAGTATGACTAATACAAAACATTTACAATGAAGTACACAAAGTATTACTCAGGTTACATAAAACACTTTCCTGTTACACATGAAGCCCCCTATTACACCCTCTTGTGAAACTGAACTCGCTCTACTCCTGCACGCAATTTAAATAGTTAAATTTGAAAGAAAATTAAACTAAATATGTCTAGTAGACAGAGTGTAAAGAATGAAAGTCAAAGTTGAACTTGGGTTATAAAAAACTTCCTTTGAAGTCGTACTAAAGTAGTTGAAAACAACCAACATAAACTGTCTACTCTACTTTACATTAACCTACCCTACCCTACACTTACCTATCCTACAATACCCAGCAATTTAACTTCGACACCTGCCCGGTTAATTGTAAAAAGTTGATATGTTAGATTTACTTTGCTCTAATAGTGCAGTAAAAAAACCAATTTCAAAAACGGTAACTTGTAAACTACGCCCTCTGTGATTTTTTAAAAGTTTGCACTTTACTTCCAAAAACACTCCTAAAACCATTTAAATTTTTAGCAATGTTTTCTTACATTAGGCTTTGTTATTATATTATCATAAGCACATAATCTGCTATTACAAGGAAAACCAATAAAATTTCAAAACAAAATTTTCTCTTCGGGATAAATGAAAAATAACACGTGAAAAGGAGCTTTGAACTTTCTTCAAAATTCATTTTCTTTCAAATTTTGAAAGTTTTTACTCATTCAAAACCCTACTCTACACAGTAAATAGTAAAATATTCACAAAAATTAATTCAATCCAAAAAAATAATTTCAATAACAGACCATTCGAACAAAACCCTCAGTCCGTGACATTTTATTGCTATGAAAGCGAGGGATCTTGACCACCCCCAAAACATTCCATTTGCAGTACTGCTGGAGGGGAAGAAAGCCGAAAAAGATTCCTTTTTGAAATAAAAACGGATTTGCACTCAGAATACTTTGGGGCGAATCTTCAACATGTCGCGAGTAATTATATGTGCTGCGAAACATGTTTATAACATAAGTCCTGGCGTTTCCAAGCAACAACATGACATTTTTTCATTTTTTTAAATTGTATTGGGTAATAGCTACAAATGTTTCTGCAATACACATGATACTTATGGTGTAGGGTATTGTACTTTGCTTTAAAATGTTCAAAAAGCAAGTGTTTTAAATTTATAAAGTTAAAACGAAGGAGGAGAGACTTGTAAAACCAAACTAGAACATCATAAGGATAGTGCCTGGCTTGCTTTGCATCAAGAATTATCCTGTTAGGCAATCCAGCCAGAAAAATAGAAAAGCAATCCTTAAAATCAACACAGTATCTGACCTTCCCCTAAAGATATCTTATTCTATCCTTAATCTTGAGAAAACTTACGTAAAAGTCTTTCATACCAAAATTTTACTCTCTTTTCATACTTTTTTTCAAAATATAATACGTTTTTTCATCAAAACCCATTTAACTTCTTTCAAAAATGTACCATAAATAAGCCGGAGTAACTTTAAAACAACACCCGATGCTGGCTTCTTAACCCGAAATTGAATTTTCGTTAATTCGAAGTAAGGAAATAACAAAAGTGGTCCTTCAAAGAGCCAATTTAATGCTCTTGTGGGAAATAAAAGTCATGCTAAAAGTGTGTACTAATTATTATAACCGAACAATATATGGTTTGTACTTAAAGAAAATTTTTTTAATCTTAAAGGTATTATAATAATATGAAAGGAGAGTATTATAGTTTGACAATAGGTAGTCTTTACGCGCATTTAATTTTAATGTACAACTCGAATGTTTATAAACGTAGTATTGCAATACCAACCCTACCTTACATACCATATTCTAACCCGCTCAACTTTATCGTAGCCTAACCTATCCTACACTGCCCTACCTTACCTTACTCTCCTCGTTATAGCCTAAAAGCACTTCCTGTGAATTTCTGTTAACGGGATTTGCTAAACTTGAAAACAACATTACAATAACATGTTATAACCGTTCACACCTACATATATACACCTACCAAACTCTTCCAACATCCAATATTTAAGGAAGTAAAATGCCAAATGTAATTTCCTTAATTTCATAAAGATACAGAACGTGGTGTCAACTTTCAATGATTTTGTATTCATTATCCCACCCACTAAAAACAATAAATTGACTATGCAAAACTACAAAAAATAGAAAAAAACGGCTTTGCAATTCACAAACGCCATAATTTTAAGACACAAACAACGAGTAAATTACTTTTAAAGCAGTTAAATCTTGATTTAGTGTTGTTGGTGACGTCAAATAAACGTGTCATGCTAAATGAACGTCCTAAATATGCGTGAAAAACAAGGTTTACATTGTGTTTAATGTTAAAAATATGTACATGAGTACGCGAGAATACAAGTTTGTGACGTATAATGACGCAGTAAGGGATGTTGATTAGTGTTACTTTACTACAAAGTTGGGTTCAAGTTAGAATAGGGTTGTAAGAAACATAAAAACTAGAGTTTACCGTAGTAAAATTTCCATTTTCTAAGAAAAAACCTTAAAATTATGCAGAAAATACACTTGCTAAACAATTTCTTTGACTATCCTATAATATTGTTTCCAACCTCCTGGCAAACAATATCACAGTTACAAACCTGATCGTATGCCACTTTAACATCACTATTTACATTTCCACATTTGCAACATATAAAGGAGCAAGAGCTCAAATCGTCATGAAATCTATTCCACATTAAGTGTAGCAAAGGCCATGTTTGCGAGTATCTCTTTACATTCAGGAAAACAAAAGGGCACGCTTTTTGTCTTTATCTATACATAAGTAATGGGTGCGAGACACTTTAAGCAGGATCATGCCAAGAATTAGGGCTAGCCGCCGGGTTATAGTTTGAAACCAAAGGGGTCAAAGTATAAGCTTCAAAAGCTAAGTAAAGTGTTGAAAAGTTAAAGTATAACATTGAAAATCTAAAAAAGTAATAGTGATATGCCAAAGTTTAATACCCGTTAACAGTATTTTTGAAAATTTTAAAAGTAATGTCGAAGAATAGTGAAGGAAACACCATATATAATTCTTTATATTACCTATCACACTTTCCTATTAAGAATTTATTACTAATAAACACATAATTACAGTCAAAGTTTTTTTTTAATACTAAACTAAAAAAATTTCATTTATTAAAAATCTTATTACAAAAAGACCAAAATATTTCGAAAAAGTATTAAAAACAAAATTTTAGGTAACAAAACAATATACCCGCATTGTTGTTTTATAAGGTAAAAAAATCAACAAAAAATGATTTAAAATTTTTAAAAGACAATATAGCCCACAATGTGAAGCTCTCTACGTAGCTAGGCCTTTTTTCAGCAAACTACAACAAAACAGCTATAATTCGTTGCAGCTGGGAGATTCAATACATCAATTTGATCCAACAAGGTCAAGCAATCTCTCAACAAACTAAAACCTACTGCTACTACTACAAAACCCGTCGATAACAGCTCGCATCTTCTCCCTATCAGTCACACAAGTCTCCTGTTCATCCTTCATATCCATGCCTCTGTCCATCGAGCGAACCAGTGGTCCCATTCCATCATCCATGTTTATCTCCGTTGCCAGTTCACGATACATTTTGTATTGCTTCAACTGTTTTTCGTCGAAATTGCCAGCTTCAATTTGTTGTTCCGCATTCTTCATATAATGTTGCGCTGCATCTCTGACCGACAATACCACTTTGCACGGCTCCAGATTGAGGTTTGAATTCGGCGCCAATTCAATACTTTCCAATCTGACACGACTAACATCCTTCACTTGTAGATTAAACATTTCACGAAGCCGAAAGATAGTCCAGTCTTGAAAACGCTTGATTTTCTCATCTCTTTTGTTCATAATTGCCATTACCTACAAAATTTATATTTAATGCTTTGATAAAAAAACTTTAATAATTTTTTAGGTTTTAATTAAACTGATAAAACTCCTAGTTCAACAAAAAGAACAAAACATGAACTGACCTTATTTTAGGTAACAAGCTTACCTTGACTGGACGATCATTAATCTTGAAGTTCCTCAATCTAGCCGATTTCATCAAAACCAGTTCAGCAAGCTTCTTACTAGAGAATTCAACCTTAGTAAACCGACCATGGGGCGTAATACGCCTAATATCGTCCGGTCTGATCGTATCCGCCAATCCCAAACCTTCATCAATAACTTGGTAGATCAAGACAAAAGAACTGGCTCCTCTCCGTTGAAATTTACCATTGAACAACACGGCATATGCGTTTGATTCATAATCATGACTGGCATAAAAATCATTCTTCAGAAAAGTGTCAGTCGGATTATATTCTCCTTGATTCGGCGGCTCCATTTCGTTGATATCTAAAATGTTCAAAAAACGATTTTAAAAAATTGCAAAGAAAAGCTAGCTAACTAATATAGACAAACTGTGTCTAAAATTCTATAATGTTCAGACTTTACACAAAAGTAAAAGGAAAAACATCAAAAAATGGCAAAAAGCGACAACGAAACATGACTAAAATAACGTAAACTTTTGATACAAACGTGCTATAGACGCTTTTGACGGTACTTTTAATATAACTGATCAAAAACATACCAAAATCACATAAAAAATAAAATTTGGCCGAATTTACAAAATTTCGAAATAATTTACCGCCAATTGCGGAAAATCTTATTTTTTGGCAACTGTTTGTTTTCGCTGTGGGACCCAATTACAAGTCAATGTTAAGGTATTTAATGCTGTATATCAGCTTATACTAATTGAATTTGACTAAAAATTTGTTTATGGATTGTTTATTTTATAGTCAACATTGGTGCAAAATTTTGATCACAATAATGCACTTTAAAAAAATTGCGTTTAACAATAAAATGAGTTGAGATTGTCAAAACGGTATTTTTAAAAGTTATTGTTTCAGATGTAAAGAAATAGTGCATCAAATTATAATCAAAATCAGTGTTTATTCAATCAGAAACAACATTTGCAAAGACAACAAAAGCAGAGCGTGATGGCAATGATGAAGATGCACCAGATGGCCAATGGAGCATTGATGATAAGCCATTGATCGTAGGAGTCAGGTCGATTCAATGCGCTCTCAACTGGAGCGTTATTGTCCGTGTTGTGCTGAAGATCCATTAGAGCGGTATCAATGCTGGCAGTGCGAATGTGGAAGGAATCGCGACCAGTAAATGTGACCAGTGACCAGACCTTGCTCGCGGTACTTTGCATGAATCCTCCGACATCGTTGACTATGGTTTTCAAACTGAAAATGTAGTTATATCTGGCTGGAAATTAGATTCATTTTAATTTTTTTAAATTTTAACTCTTTTGAGGTTTTCTGCCATTATTTTATAGATAAACTTACGATTTTTTAAACCGTTTTACGCAAAAATGAACTAATTACTAATTACTTTTAATTTTTGACCTTTAAAAGCCTTGATTTCTCGTGAATTCAACTCAAAAAGAAACTTTTAGATCTTGTGGTAGATCGCTTACTCCTCCACGGCGCTCTCATTCCTCTGACCATCTGGCTTCGTGGTTCTAATGGATGTGTTTCCAATGGGCTCGCCAGATTCCATGATGGCGCGAGCGGCCAAGTACGGCATTCCATAGCTACAGATGACTAGAAAACCGAAAATTAGTAAAGTCAATCTCATTGCAACCCCAACCAGTCGATTCAATCAGAAAATAACTAAAATTAAAAACTCATAAAAATAACGTTTTTATATTATAAAAATATTTATGGAAATTACGATGTATTTTCTTTATACTTTTGTAGTGTAAGCAGTAAACTTTTCTAATTATAAAATTATGTTTTTTACTCGTTTTTTTTTATTTGCATTACCACGTATCGATTCTATGTCAGTATGTCGGGGCGAAACGGGTTATCTCAATTTTAGCCATTAGTAATCTACGAAGTTTTAAAAGTGCGTTGAGGGAAATAGTCGAATTGTTGCAGTTGATAGTTATCTAAAACAACATCTTGGCATAATGGATATCTGCCGGACATCAGCAGAATGTATTATAGAATTTCTTGAACCGAAATTGCGTTTGTTGAAATATCTTACATCTTGACATTGTGTTTGCAAGTTTGTTTCTTTATTAAGGAAGTTGTTGCAAATAAAATAGTTTAGCTAAATAGGTTTGTGATTATTGTACTACTCGAATTTCTTACTATAACTTAATATTACATTTATACAATTAGAGTATAGTGCGTTCATTAGCACTAAGGTACAACTATACTAAAAATACTTATATTTTAAGCCTATCATAAGCCTGCATATACCTACATGTACATTCTGTGACACATAAGACAAATTTTATCAACCTTAATAACAACATATTTACACAAACCATGTTAGTAGAATACGAACCTCTAAATAAAATCTCTAAATATTCACAGTCAAGTGTCATATATGCTACAGTATCTGTAATCATTTTCACAGTGCTATTTTACACAACATTTATACAAGATCCTATACCTAATCCTCCAGTATCATATGGTAAATCACTTCTACCACAAGTTGTAGTTGAGAAAAAAGTGGACAACTTTGATCATAATAGGACTGATATACTGCCTAAAACAGGAGTAAATGCAATTAATGCTCTACCACCGTTCTTACAAAGCACGACACATTTACTGGTGAGATAAAACATTATTTTTTACTTTACTAAATTGGTAAAAAAGCTTATTCTGTTGCTTGTCCTTAATTTAAAAAAATAATTTTAGTTTGCACAACAGTTCAAAGTGGGAGCATGTTTACTGCCTAAGGTTATGTCAACCATCATGACTGGTGTGATGTGTTACCTACACAATCCAAACAATTTTACGTCTCATGGAAGAACAATTCCTACTGAAACTTATGTTACAAGGTATGCTAAACAACTAGAAGAAAAGATTAGAGAGTAAAAATAGAGAAGAAAAGGGGTAGTAAGTAAAAGCCAGCGTGAAGTAATAAGAAGAAAAACTAGTAAAAAAACTTTTTACTTTTCTAGGTTTTGTCGTGGAGATGTGGAAAGAGGCAACGTTACTTCATGGTACAACCAATTCAATAAAAACAACGACTACAGTGTCTTCACGGTTGTTCGAGACCCAATTGATCGGTTCATATCGGCCTATGTAGACAAGTGTTACATGTAAGTGACACTTTGATCACACGTCAAACCTTTTATGCCATAAAAAATCTATTCTAAAAATTTGTCTTTGTTTTTAAATACTTTGAGGTTGTGAAGTAAGGAGGAAAAATTTTCAGAGAACACCGCACAAAACCAAGAAACTTACACATTGGCTGTTATGGCTGTTCTGAAGATATGAATTGTTTCATACGAAGAATGAAGGATCGGTTATGGAAATACGTAGCCGATACTACAATAATATTGAGCATGATGGACATACACATTATTCCACAGACATGGTATGTAATATTTATATCTTATGCACTTTTTAATATATAAAATTAAGTTTTTTTTTAGTTTTTATTACAACTTTGTTTTTTAAAAACTTTTTATTTTATAACAATAGATTTAAATTTTAGGCACTGCGAGATGAAAGAATACATGAAAAGGTTTAAAATCTTCCGGTACGTGTCAAGTTCATCTCAAGAATACGAAATCTTCCTCACTGAACTCACTGATATGCTAAAATCACATAACGTGCCACAAGAGAATATTGATTATGTTCTTCATGGTCTTACTGGTGGTCATTCCCCTCATACAACCACCAACTCAACGATTAGAGCTAAATACAAAAAACAGTTAATGTCGGATCCAGAGCTGTTAAAAATAATAGTAGATTTGTATTACTATGACTATGTTACGTTCGGTTTTCCTTTTCCATCACTTGAGTAACTGTGTTTATGTAGTCTACCATTGTTCAGAAAACGTGTATATTACACCAGGATAACGTTGATCAACGTGTATTGTATTAGACTTGTCATTTTCTTTGTTTTATATTTATGTATTTACTTTCTTAATATTATAATATAATTTGGTAATATATCATTATCCTATAACTACAATGTAAAATGTAATTTTTTAAATTTAGACTTTCTATTAAAAATAGTGTGAAGCGGCAAATTTTTCTGTTAGATTAGCATAAATTTTTATTTATGATGTGTTTACAAGCTTAATACCTATGTTCCAAACGTGGCTTCAACAAAGATCAAATCGTCAGCCACTTTATAAGCTGTAGACCATAAAATCAGTTATTTTGCTCAGTGCTTTATAGTCAGTTCTTTCTGTTTTTACATCAGAATAAAAAGTTGTAATGTTGTAAAGTCTAAAACATTGTATTTTGAAAATTTTTTTCTACTCTAAACTAGTAACATCAACCTGTATACATTAATATTGCCGTAAAAACGCTGTCGTAGTATCTTCACTCAAAAATATAGAGAGATTAACATCAATTCACATAGTTCTACAGAAGTTATGAAAACTTATAACCCAGTAGAAAAAAGTAGTCGATCAAGTAAAGTAAAATATGTTTTTATTGCCATAGCTGTTTGTTTAATATTATTATATCTGAGCTTCGAAAACGTAGTAAAAAATCCGTTGGAAATTTACGGATTGTCGATGCCAAACTACGCTTGTTCACAAAAAGTAGCTTATTTCGAATCAAACAGAACTGACCTAATTCCCAAGACAGGTTATAATGGTCTTGCTGCTCTACCACCGTTTCTTAGCACTGACACTCATATGATCGTAAGTTGGAAGGGTTTGAATATTCCCTTCTAACTTTTAATAAATGTTACATACTATATAGTTTGAGTTCTCCTAATTTAAAAGCAAGTTTTAAAACATAACAATTTATTAATATTGTTTTAGTTTTCAACCCGCTATAAAATTGGAGCCTGTTTGATACCAAAAGTAATGTCGACTATAATGACTGCCGTTCTCTGTTACCTACAAGACTCTGAAGCGTTTATCAAAAATAATAGAACTATTCCCACAGAAACTTATGCTACAAGGTAAGCAATCGTTTTGCATAAAACCGACAGCCGCATATTGATCTGAAGTACTATTATCCAAACATTAAATTCAGATTTTGCCATGACAGTATCGAAAACCGGCACATGGACGAATGGACTAGACGATACAATCGACATGGTGAATATACGACTTTTACGTTTGTTAGAGAACCAATCGATCGTTTCCTTTCAGCTTTTGTTGATAAATGTGTTGTGTAAGTGCTTTACCTAATACTTTTAGTTACATAAAACATTAGAGAACACAGAGAAAAAGAAGAAAGATTTCATTTGGATTGTTATGGATGTAGTGAAGATGTCGCATGTTTTATTTACAAAATGAAAGATCGTATTTGGAAGTACGTAGAAGGGAAACATTCGTTGAGTGTCATGGATATACATGTCATTCCACAAACTTGGTAAGATAACTTTTTTAATCATTTTTAATTTTTTATATATATCCATATTTTCATTATGTTATAAAGACGTTGTACTTTTTTTTAAAAAACCTTTTATAAGACTACTCCTGAAATTTAGGCACTGCAAAATGAAGTACTACATGCACGACTTTACTATTTTCCGATATGTGTCTACTTCATCGGATGATTACAAAGTGTACCTGACGGAATTGACTGACATATTGATGAAACAAAATGTACCACAAGATCAGATATATTATGTTATGAGTGGCTTGACTGGAGGACATTCTCCACATTCAACTTCTAACTCATCTGTTAGGTCAGACTACAGAAAAAAATTAATGTCTCGACCAGATTTGTTAAAAATTTTAGTTGACTTATATTACTATGACTTTGTGACGTTTGGATTTCCATTTCCAAATTTGGAAAAGTAGCCTTTATAGTGTAATTTAAACTTTATAAAACTTAATAAAATGACAATACAATAAGGTTTATAAGAATTTTTTAAATAATAAAATTAATCAATTAAAACTACTGTTGCAGTGAAAACTTAGTCCACATGCTTTAGGCTACTTTACGTAGTAGTCTATGGGTTTAAAATCCCAACTTTGCTCTTTTCTAAAAGCTCAACATAAAATTTGCATTTTGCGTTGTTCACAGGTTTAATATCAGTTTGTCAGACTAAGTTCTATGAAAAATGATATGTCGGCTACTTTAAAAGCTAAACACAGTATTATTAACCTTTTTAGTGTTTGCTGTGATTACGTTTATCTAATACATTTTAATCCTTGACATTAGGTCTATAGTCTCGACAGATTTACCTACACTATATTGTAAATTTTGTTTTACAATTCTGATCGGAAAATATCACAAGGAAATTCCAGTATTCTATCTAGTAACATCGAACTATGAAAACACATAATCCTGTGGAAAAATCTAGTGCACCCACTAGGCTAAAATATGTTTTCATTTTTATAGCTATTTGTCTAATAATACTCTACCTCAGCTTTCAAAATATTGTACTAAACCCTCTAGAAATTTATGGGTTGTCATTGCCAAACTACGCTTGTTCAAAAAAAGTTGCTTATTTTGAAACAAACAGAACTGACCTTATACCTAAAACAGGGTACAATGGTTTGGCTGCTTTGCCACCGTTTGTTACCACTGATACGCGAGTAATCGTAAGTTTTATAAATTATCGTAGCTATTTTTATGACTATTATATACAACATTGGAAAAATTTATTTTTGTATTTGTATTGCTTTAGTTTACATCTCGCTACAAAATTGGATCTTGTTTAATTCCAAAAGTCATGTCAACCATAATGACCGCAGTTCTTTGTTACCTTCAAGATTCTGAAGCGTTTATCAAAAATAATAGAACAATTCCTACAGAAACTTACGATACAAGGTAAAATAAAACTGTGATCTTATTGTTTAGTGTAATAACATCTGAGACAAAAAAAATCATTACTTCAAATGACAATTTTTAATTATACATATATATATATATATTTAGATTTTGCAATGAAAGTATCGAACAATGGCGTATTGATGAATGGACAGAACAGCACAACCAACAAGGTGAATATACGTTGTTTACCTTTGTCAGGGAGCCAATTAACCGGTTTCTTTCTGCGTTTGTCAATAAATGTGTGGTGTAAGTCCTTACCTAGTAATTATTTTCAAAACAACTACAGTGGAACTCCTGTATAACGAACTCCTCTATAACGAAAATCCCGTATAACGAACAACTTTTGAATCCCCGTCTATCACTGCACAGTGCATTTAAAACTCCTGTATAACGAAGCTCCTTTATAACGAACAAATTTCTAATCCCCGAGCAATTCGTTATACGGAGTTCCACTGTATTTATTTATAAATTTTTGATCTTGTAAAAAATGCTGATTTACTTTTTAAACGCATAATTCTTATATTTTTTTTTCGTTACGGTTAAAAATTTTAGTGAAAAAATTTTGGACTGTTATGATTGTGGTGAAGATGTGGAGTGTTTTATCTATAAATTGAGAGATCGTATGTGGAAGTACCTTGAAGGAAAACATACGTTAAGTGTTATGGACAGACATGTTATTCCACAAACTTGGTAAGTCAACGTTTTTTACATTTTTTTGCAGTTTTATATCTTTAAAACCATCATTAAGACATCAAACACATTAAAATGTTCTAGTTTTTAAACATATCTCAAATTTAGGCACTGTAAAATGAGGTACTACTTAAACGAGTTTACAATCTTCCGATACGTATCTACATCCTCGACTGAATATAAAATTTACCTGACAGAATTGACTGACATTTTAATGAAACGGAACGTACCACAAGATCAGATATCGTATGTTATGAGAGGCCTGACTGGAGGACATTCTCCACATTCAACTTCTAACTCATCAGCTAGATCAGACTACAAGAGCCAACTGATGTCTCGACCGGATTTGTTAAAAATTTTAGTTGACTTATATTACTACGATTTTGTTACGTTTGGATTTCCGTTTCCCGACCAATTGTGGTTATAGACCCCTAAAGAATAATAAGCATATATGCGACCTACATTAATAGTAACGAAAAAGTCAAAAAATTAAAATTTGATTTTTAATTTAGTACCCTCGTTGTAGTAATTCATCAAATGCGCAATTTTTAATTTATATATATTAAAATTGCATGTCTGCCTTTTTAGACGATTCCTATCTCCAAAATGGGAATAGAAATACTTACGGCAAACATTCTAAATCATTAAATTCATTACCTAACTTTTCGAATTAAGGACTAGTAGGCGAGCTATGTCTGAAAATGTTCAAATTTAAAAATCTTAAACATTTATTAACTAATAATAAACTCTACAATGAAGCTAATAAAGCAAAGCCTTCCAAACAAGATAAATCACTACAAGCTAATCAAAGATATTAGTGCTATTCTTGTTGTTATTATCTTTACTGTATTAGTCTATATCAATAATATTCAAAACCCAGTTCAAATACCTATAAATTACAGTATACCTATAGTTTCTAAAACACCGTGTGAAAAACAGCCAGACAATTTCGACTAAGCGACCATAACCAAACAGATATTGTGCCAAAAACAGGAATAAACGCTATCAAGGCGTTACCTCCGTTTATTGACGTTGTTTCCCATATGATCGTAAGCTACCTAAAAAATTATTTTGTATTAAAGACTTTTATTAACAATATATCCCTAACGTTAACCATTTTTACAAATTTCCTTAAAGAAGAAATTCACGTCAATTTAAGAACTTTACGACATTTTAGTTTTCTACCCGGTACAAGTTCGGAGCTTGCATGATTCCAAAAGTAATGTCAACAATAATGACTGCTGTCATATGTTACCTACAAGAAGATAAAGCGTTTATTGAACATCACAGGACAATTCCTACAGAATCTTATACAACAAGGTAAGATTGTATATTATTAGTCGCAAATTAAAAACTAAAACAATATTAAAATGAGAAAGAAAAAACGATTTTTTTCAAAACTTTTTTTAAATTAAAAACCAATGCTCGAAGATTTAGGTTTTGTAAGCAAACAATTGAACGACGTAAGATGAGTAGCTGGACTAAAGAGTTCAATCAAGACAACGAATACAAGACATTTAGTTTCGTCAGAGAACCAATCGACCGTTTACTTTCTGCTTTTGTCGACAAGTGCGTCGTGTAAGTATAGAACATCATAAAACAATAAAGCTAAAAATGCAGTCTATTCTAATTCAGTCCTAAATCGCGATGTCTAAATTTTTTACCAAACTAAATGATAAGCACCAATAAAAAAATTGTTATATTATATGTATTTATCTTTTTGGTTCCGCAAATATCCAATTTTAGTGAACACCGAGAAAAACCAAAGAAGTTCCACTTGGATTGTTATGGTTGTAAAGAAGATATAGAATGTTTCATCTACAAAATGAAAAACCGTTTATGGAAATACATTGAGGGACAACATACCCTAAGCATCATGGATAAACATGTAATCCCTCAAACTTGGTAAGACATACCTTTCTTCAAAAACTTTAGAAGATATTTTAACTGTTGAGGACCAGACACCTTTCATTTAGGCTTTAAAAAACTTCATAAGACTCTTTATTTAACTTTCAAAGTCAATAAAAATATGATTACGTATAAAATAAAGTTTTAGGCACTGTGAAATGAAAGAAAACATCCAAAAATACAGAATATTTCGATATGTTTCAAGCTCTTCGACTGAATACCCCACTTTTCTTGACGATCTTTCGCTGATTCTAAAAGACCAGAATGTGCCACAAAAACACATTTCTTATGTTATTGATAGCCTTATTAGTGGAGTCTCTCCGCATTCAACTTCAACGTCCTATGTTAGACGACAATACAAGACAAAACTAACGTCAAGACCTGACTTGATCAAAATATTGGTCGACTTATACTATTACGATTTTGTGACTTTTGGATTTACTGTTCCGAATTTTAAAGGTTTATAAAAAGTGAAGAACATTATTTATGTTGTTTTGGCCCATTTTTATACAAAAATAAAACATCTTCAAAATACAGAACCAGAAATTGTTACCTAAATTAATAAAAACAAAAACCACAAAACAATAAAACGGGCCGAGCCTAGAAATTTTCTGACCGGGCCGGACCGTCCTGAGAAAGAAATGAAAACGGGCCGGGCCTAAACGTTGAGACCCGGGCCTAGACCGTAAAATGTTAGCCCGGCCCGGCTCTTTTCTCACCCCTAGTTTTTGGGCCGTCGGTTATAGATGAGGAACGGGCCGGGCCTGAAATCTTTGAAATACAGTAACTTTGTTTTACATTAATTAAAGCTAAAAATTATCTTAACGTATCTTTTTGCTTTTGAAGAGGACATTCGGTCAGCAAGTTTGGCTTTGCACGGTGCTTTTCGAAAAAAAAACAGCCCGAAATTTAAATAATTTTATAGGAATTAAAGTATTTTTAGAAGTTTGGTCGTTTGTCTTGCTGTTGGTTCGGAATACTGAAGCATTTTACTCTAGAATTAAATTTGCTGTGTTACACCGACTTAAGATCTCTCTTCAGATAGCTAGTTTATTGGTTCATCCGCCTTTGAAACAATTGTGTTTATACCATTATGATCAGTTATAGAAACAGGTTAATAAAAACTGTTGGCAAATCACCGTATACAAAAACCCAAAAATTTATTTTATGAAAATTGATATTCATATACAGTTTTTCAAACACTTTGATATATATTTGATATGAACATTCATTACATTGAGTATAAAGTTTTGGTTCTTGAAATATTGTTGCAGTTAGGTGCCGCCTATGCAAATAGGCCAGCGCAAATATGATAAGATTATAATTTAGGCTCTAGCTCAAATGCCTCTGATCACCAGTTGAGTGAGAGTTCGAAGCTATGGACTAGTTGGTCTTTAGCACTAGGGTTTTTAGATAGGTCTTTATAACCGTCTGTATTTTTTATGATTTATATTGTAATGTCCCATAACAGTAACTAAGTTACATGTCAATTTTATATCTTAAGACGACAATAAATGTACGTGTAAAATTCAAGACGTTTTTAATATTTAACTTCTTAATTAATGATAGCAAGAAGTTTACTCTGCTTATTGCCTGATGCGGATGAATATAATGTTTAACATGGGGATCAGGAATTTTGTGGGTACACCTATTTGGGGGTGCTCACATTCGGGGAGGATAAATTTGGGGACGGGGATTTTGGGGGAGGTTACGTAATATTCCCAAAATAGTAAAAATCAATCCAGAAACAGTCCGAGAGCGCCAAGAATAATAAAAAATTTTGTAATTACTTTTTTTTTAACTTTATTTTCTACTTTTGGTTAAAAAACTTCTGTTTTGAAGAAACCCTGATTAAATCACAAACGGACTGAATCACATAATTATTAAAAATTTAGTTAATGTGATCGGGGTTGTAAATCGGTAAGCAATACTAAAAAACCAAATCTACGGGAAAAGTGTTTAAAAATATCTTTCTTACGCGGTGCTAAAAATGTAGTATTATAAACTCGTGAACGATGCGAAAAAAATATAATTAAAAGTTTCATTACTTAAACTGTTTCATGGGTAAATAAAACAGTTTAAGTAATGATGTAAATGTAAGGCCGTATGTTAGATAGAATACTGTGAATGTTATCGTACCGTGCCGTAAATATTTTAGTGTTACAGCTTTTGAGTTGAAAGCTCTATCTTCAGCTTTAATGAAGCAATATACTTTGGAACATATAATAATTTTCCCCAAGGGTTCAGATCCCAATTAAGATATAAAAGAGTTTCTTTGATTTATCTATTTTGAAACAAATAAGCATTTTTTGGCATATAAGATTATGATCAGCTCTAGGGGAAGTAAATAATTTAAAATAGGAAATTATAATTTGCTGACAGCATTGCTCAATTTGCAGCATTATTGAAGCTTTCTATTCATTACATCCATTTTTTAACCTAGACTATAAAAGGGTCCCTGTAGAAAAAACCTATTATGTTAACCACGTACCGGTTTAAGCCCAAACCTAAGTACGGTTTTTTGAATCTGAAATATCTAACATTTTTCTTGATATTGTTGCTACTGTACCAAATATTTTCACAAAAAAGAGTGTCGCTACTTTTTTCCAAGATTTTTAAAGACAAATGTAAAAGTAGTAGCGACAATTTTGACCATTGTAAAACGCATGTTGAACCTAAAACAGGAATAAATGGCATTAACGCTCTGCCACCGTTTGTTGATGTTGTTTCACATATGATTGCAAGTTTTTATCTCGTTCTGTGTATAAGCTTTTACATAAAAATATTGTATTAGGTTGTTCAAATAATTCTGCACTCTTAAACCAGAACATTTGCTTTAAGAGGGGGCACAGAATAATTAGAACGATCTAAACGTATCGTGTTCATAAAGCTCAAGAAAACCAGGAAGTTGCTATAGACTTTCAAATTCATTTTGTTTAGTATACTAGCCGCTATAAGGTAGGAACATGTTTATTACCAAAAGTAATGTCTACCATAATGACTGCAGTTATGTGCTACTTACAAAACCCTGAAGAATTTATACGTAATAACAAAACGATACCTACAGAGACTTTCACTACAAGGTAATATTTGTATTTGTTTACACTTTTTTGATAGAGGGACCAACTTTTTAAAATTTTTGGTTTTTTTTTGACAAAAATACAGGGTGTTCCGAGTAATAATTCATAACTTTGCAACTATGCATCTTAAAAATGCCAAATATGGCACAAATGTAGAACAGACTTATACATTTTTTGATGGAAAATTTTGAGTTTTAAAAGTAAAAATTACCGTCATCGTGAATTTTTAAAAATCAGCTTTTTACACCGAAATTCCACATATTTTGGTTGTAAATGAACAGTTTTCGTCAACTCTTGACATTTTTTGATTTTTTTTTGGAAAACCGCGTTTTCTGTGTCTGCGAAGACTCGGCGGAAGACCGGCGGACGTAGCCGAGTATCGGCGAAAGCTATAACTTGGTTCAAATTTGTCGTAGCGACATGAAAAAAAACTAACTTCCAAATTTAGAGGACTCTGTTTTTGAATTATATTTTAATTAAAAATGTACATAAATTGTATAAATAAAATAATTCAAATAATTTTCCATAAAAATGTACAGGTCTGTTCTACAAATGTGCTAAATTTGGCATTTTTAGGATGCATAGTTTGCAAAGTTATGAATTATTGCTAGCGACCAAATTTCTCGGAACACCCTGTAATAATGATATTTATATTATCAGTATATTATCTTATCCTATGTAACAGATTTTGTAACGATTCAATAGAAAGCAAAAATATGACGGAATGGACGAAACATCTGAATCCAGATGGTAGTTATACGACTTTTACCTTCGTCCGAGATCCAGTGCAACGTTTTCTCTCAGCCTATGTTGATAAATGTGTCATGTAAGTCATTTCAAGTTTTAGAACACACCTTTAAAATAAAAGAAAATCTAAGTAAGATTTTACTTTGTATTTTCGTTGGAAGTATTAAAATAAGTGCGATAATTATACAATAGTAAAAAAGAGTACATTTAGAGAACCTGCAAAAACCCATATTCAAGCGTTAGATTGCTACGATTGTGGTAGTAATATGGAATGCTTTATTCATACATTACATAATCGTTTATGGAAATTCATGAATGGAACTTATTCCTTAAGCGTTATGGACAAGCATGTTATTCCACAAACTTGGTATGTTCCAAAATGTTTTAAGTAAAGAAAGCAAGTTGTTACAAAAAATTATAATAATTTTAAAAACTTTTGCAAAGCAGTATTACTAACTCCAATTTAGGCATTGCCAAATGAAAGACTACATGCGTGCTTATAAAATCTTCCGCTATGTGTCAACAACTTCAGATGAGTACAATATTTTTGTTAAGGCATTGGCCGAGATTCTAGAGTCCCACAATGTTCCTCAAAAACATATTGCTTATGTTATAGACGGTTTAACCAGTGGTGAATCGCCGCACACAACATCTAAATCTACAGTTAGGTCAGAGTACGAAAAACAGCTTTTTGAAAGACCAGACTTACTCAAAATGCTGGTAGATTTCTATTATTATGATTATGTAATTTTTGGGTTTAGCATGCCTAGTTTTTAAAAATTTTATTTTATTAACAGAAAATAATAATAAACTAGTTAGTGTACACTGAATTGCTGTTAATTTAAAAGTAGGTTTAAAGAGAAATTATAGACTTGAATGTTTATAAGAAATAATTGATCGAAAGTCCATTATTGACTGTTATGTGTGTCATTTGGTGTATCTCAAGTTAAAAAATGACGAAAGCATTATTCTATGAGTTACAGAATCAAACCAACTCCAAATTCTTGTAAGATATAATGAGCTTTTTCAATTTATCTGCTTTTAAAAAAACCGTCTTTTCCTCGTTCATACGATAAAGATCAGTTATACGGGAAGCAATATTGTAAATTTTTAAAATTTCCTCTTATTTGTGCTAATTGAGGGTTAAAGTAATGTTAACAAACTACTTTTTTAAGGGCAATTATAGCAAGTACTTCCTTTATTTAAAGTATTTTATCATTTTTACGATAATATTTCTAATGTGTAAAATTGTCACACAAAACAAAATTCCAAATCTACTTGTGGTACATGAACCGGCGCCACCTGTTGAAGTAGACAAATGTAAACGAAACGGTGACAATTTCAATCACTGCAACCCATTTATTGACCCCAAGACGGGAATGAATGGTATCAATGCGCTGCCGCCGTTTGTAGATGCTCTATCACACATGATTGTTAGTTTTTTTTTAACTTTTTCTTACTTTTTGCCACTTTTGGCCTATCGTGATATTGTTTCTTAAAATCTTCATACTCTTGACTTGTAAGTGACACTCAAATGAGCTTTTTTAGTTTACTACCCGCTACAAAATAGGAGCATGCTTACTTCCAAAAGCAATGTCAACCATAATGACCGCAGTTATGTGTTATCTCCAAAAAGATGAAGAATTTATTCGTAATAACAGAACAATTTCTACTGAAATCTACGATACAAGGTAAGTCAATAGTTGGATATTGTTATAGCCTTTCAGTGCCTTCCATGGTTAACTACTGACTATCTGTTTGCTTTATTAAAGGTAAAATACAGTTTATGGTCAAGTTACCTATAATTAGTGAGTATACTACTCTCTTAGTTCCCCCATAGCTACCAACTCACTCGTACAGTCTAACGGGTGGTGTTCAAGATTTTTTTTACTAAAAAAACATCAAACTTTTTTTTAATTACTAATCAATTGTAATTTTAGATATTGCCAAGAAGAAATCGAGCGATTGAGTGTGGACGAATGGACTATACAATTTAATCAACCACATGATTATACCGTTTTTACTGTTGTCCGAGATCCAATCGAGCGTTTTATTTCGGCTTTTGTTGATAAGTGTGTCTTGTAAGTTCTAACTCCAGACCTGTTTTAGGTAATATTATTTTAAGTATTAAAACACACAATTTTAGATCTCAAGAACTAAATGGCGCTCCGTATATATGCTATGGCTGTGCAAACGATTTCAAATGTTTTATCCATAAAGTACATAAGCGTCTTTGGAGGTATCTTAAGGCACCTTATCAATTAACTTTCGTGGACGTGCACATCATACCGCAAACTTGGTAGGATACTAAAATACATTCGTCATATATGGCTGGGGACTTACACTTCAAATTTTTTTTCCTCAAAAATATTTTTTTTCTCAGTGAGAATTAAAAAATGGCGCAGAAAAATACAGAATCCTGCGCCATTTGAAAAAAATATCGTTTGAAAGAGAGAGAGTCTTTTCTCTAGTGTCTCTCGTTTTATTGTGCTCTCTTTTTAAAACGGCGCGCAATTTTGTATTTTCCTGCGCCATTTTTTGGTTTTCACTGAGAAAAAAAATATTTTTGAGAAAAAAAATTTGAAGTATCAGTCTCCAGCCATATATGCTGAATAGAATATTCATCATAACTTATTATTTTTGCTTTTTAAAAAGTTTTAAGACTTTTTCTTGTTTAGTAAAAAAATCCATTGGATTAACGTTAGCTGACTTTAGGAACTGCCAGATGAAAGACTACATGCATAACTACAAAATCCTCCGATATGTGTCTGCGTCTTCAGATGAATACAAAAATTTTGTTAAAGCATTAACAGAAATTTTAGAGTCCCAGAATGTTCCTGAAAAACATATTGCTTATGTTGTAGAGGGTCTAACTAGTGGCGAATCGCCACACACAACATCTAAATCTACAGTTAGGTCAAAATACGTAAAACAGCTTTTTGAAAGACCAGATCTGCTCAAAATGGTAGTTGACTTCTATTACTACGATTATGTCACGTTTGGTTTTACTTTGCCTAATGTATAAAATAGTTTAATATAAAATTTACAAATGATTTATGCATTTCATTTACATTGCGATTATATTGTAATTACAAGTAAAAACACTACGGACGGCACCAAAAGAGTACAGAAACAGAACACGTTTAATCGTTATTTTAATCGTTTTTAAGTTTTTGCATAAATATGAATAGGTATCTGAACAAACGAAATCACCAAACGTTTACTTTTAAAAATAAAATACTAATACTACCTCTCTTGTTACACAACTGCAGTATTAAAATTTCTTATTTTACGGCAAAATATTAGTATTATTAAGTTAATAAACTACTAGCTAAAGTTCACGTAAAAAATGACAACTTATCAACCCATGGACATTAACAGATGTGTCATAATTAACCGAAAGTACCTTATTGTCATTACAGTTGTGTGTCTTTTGTTGCTCTACCTGAGTTTTGTCCAAAATAAAACAATTTTAGAAGCTAATCGTACTAAAACAACATCAAATCAAACATTAATACAACCAAGTACGGGATATAACGCTTTGTATGCATTACCGCCGTTTCACAATGTTGATGCACATATGATAGTAAGTTATAAAATTATCGTGGCTTCGTTTTATTCCTGACGTGGAACTCTTGTCCAATCATAATTGTAAAGATCCTCAATGAGCGCGAATTACCAAAGGATTGAATTTCTAAACCATATTGTTTTAGTACGTTGACCGCTACAAATTAGGCGCATGTTTATTACCCAAATGTATGTCAACCATTATGACCGGCGTTCTATGTTACTTGTACGATGATAAAGCTTTTACAAACGCAAATCGATCAATTGCCACAGAAGCATTTGTAGACAGGTCAGTTAATTTTAATTAAAAATCAGTTTTACTCCACAAAAACCTAGCTCATTTTTAAAAACTACCAATAAAAGAATAAGGATAACCCAATAGCCTAATAAAGCTCCTATTAGAAATTCCAAAATAATAATTAAAAGAATTTCAGATTTTGTGGAGACACTATAGACAGCAGAGACATGAAACAATGGACATCAAGATACAATAGGCAGCGAGATTACACTGTTTTGACATTTGTTAGAGACCCAATCGACAGGTTTTTATCAGCTTTTGTCGATAAATGTGATATGTAAGTATTATTGAATCTAATCAGTGCTATGCCAGAATTTTTAAAAATTGTAGGCTTTATACTTGTTTTATTTTAGTGAACAAAACCATCCGGAAGAATGGCGTCATTTGGATTGTTATGGTTGTGAACGGAATGTTGAATGCTTTATTCGCAAACTCAAAGACAGGTTATGGAATCACCTTAACGGAAAACACGGTCTGACCATGATGGACATTCATGTCGTTCCTCAAACATGGTATGTTCCTTGAACATTGTCAATGATCCTTTACCTGTCACAAACAATTTCAAATAATCCATATAGGTGTTGGCTATTAAGTCACCTATTTTCGTAAAATAATACAATCATTTATTTGATTAACTTCAATTTTTTCAGGCACTGCAGTATGAAAACGTACATGTCTTATTACAAAGTGTTTCGTTACGTATCATCCAAATCTGATGAATATCAAGTGTTCCTCTCAGAACTCAAAGCCATATTCGAAGACCGCAACATACCACAAGAACAAATATCTTATGTTATGAAAGAACTGAACGTTGGTCATTCCCACCACAGTACTTCAAACTCGTCGGTCAGTTCGATATATAGGAATGAATTAATGTCAAAGCCGGAACTCATCAAAATATTGGTCGATCTTTATTACTATGACTATGTCACTTTCGGACTTCCTTTTCCAAAGTTTTAAATGAAGTTATATTTTTAATCGTTAAAACTTATTAGTTCATGAAGTTTTTAAGTAATAAAATCTATATATAGTAAATAAAAATAATCTTTCAAAAAGTGTTCCTTATGTTTCATCGAAAACGTTATTTTTTCGATTTAATTCTTCAATATAGGTATAACAATAACAGCCAACAATATAGATTTTAAAAGAATTTTAAATAAACTTATTTGATCCGCTTGAAGTTATCCATGATTTTTGATCCTGGGCCGTCTAACTGACTAAAATCTGCATCACTAAAGATCGATGAAAACTCTTCCTTCTTCTTCTTTTGTCCACCTCGTTTTATAACATCTAAAATAACATAAAACAAATATTAATTTATATTACACATTCACTAAAACTATACTTATTATAAAATCATTAAAAACAATTTAGAACTTTTAGGTACATTAAAATCAGTACAAATACTGTCAACATTAACAACAATTAAATTACTAATAATAGCAAATTAATAAAACTTACTTTTAAGGTCCCTTCGTTTAGCAATAGCTTCCTTCTTTTGCAGTGTCCTAACCCTGTCCTTTTCTGTAATTCTGTTGATGATTCCTTGATCAATTTGAGCTTGTTCAACAAACTCCAGGTATCTCAAATTCCTTGCTTCAATGTCTTTTGGTTTATTGTCACGGTATTGATCAACCAATGAGTATCCCTAAAAATCTCTTTATTTATCAAGCTGGGCATAAAATTAGTTGACAAAAAAATTGTTTGACAAACGAATATGTTAAAAAACAAAAATCTTTGTTTCAGAGTCACAAAGAACACCAAATTAATCGAAACTAATTTTAGCCAATATCAACATCCATAAATCCAAACCAACTTCTTAAATCTGTCGAAAACATCCTAGAAACCGAAGAAAAAGTTAAATCTTACTTTTTTAGCCATAGCTACGCTCATTTTCTCTTGTTTTATCTTCCTGGCCGCAATCCTCGCCTTTGTTGATTTCTTTTTCAGATCTCCAGACTCCCAATCTAGCTGATACAAATCTCCATTTGTCTTCAACATTTCCTTTTCCTGCTCAACGACATTGTGCCTCCGTTGCTTTGAGTTTAGTTTGAATTTGACGCTGTTTTCTGCAAAAAGTGTATAAAACAAAGTAAATCAACCAAATTAATTTGAAAAAATAATTTACAAACTATAACACACCATCTTCATCTAGTTTTAATGTCTTCTGAAGCAAAGCCGACGACATTTGTGCAAAAAATGTAGAAAAATCTTCAAATGGGAAAATAAATTATTTTTGTTAAGGTGCTTTATGCCACACAACTTAGCAGTTCATTGATTTCGTTTCGGGACGCAAAATAAAATACAATGTAATCATAAAAAATTTTATTTTTACAAAAAAATTAAAGCATTTTTGAAAGACTAGTTATTTCCGTGATCTTTGACTATACGAAATTCTTCTGGAGCAAAATTCGTTGTAGCCAAAGCGCGACGAAGATCCTTGAAAGCCGATTCGGCTTGGTCCCAGTTGATTATCTAAAACAATAGTTTTCGAGATGTGATTGGCCATTAAGAATTGGAAAAAAGGTGAGATTTTTGTTTTATTGTTAGTTTACTTGAAATATATTTTATTTATGTCAATTTTTTGAAATGTCAACCAACTTACCCTAAAAACGAACTTGGTGAAGGCGGCGTTGTCGTTGGCGTTCTTCAACGTCGCGTACGGCAGCGCCAGACGTAGAGAATGGACATGGTCGGGTGGTTCGATGGCGTGTGGTCCGCGTAGCAGCTCGGCCACGTCGGGCTTATCGGAGATGTCCACCAACTCATGGCTCTCGGTAAGAAAGTCTGGCTGAACTTTGGTGGTACTTGTTGTTTTTGTTTTCAGCTTTATCGCGATCTGGGTTTGATTGATTTTGGGACGTGGGATTAGACGAACGTACGTCTGGCGGTGATAATCGTTTGCAACTTGAAATTAAGCTTGTTTTTAAAGGTTTTATTGATAATGGCGTTCTTGATGGGTGATTGACACTAATGGAGAGTTATTTTTGGCAAAAAGTTAAGGAAAAGTGCATGGTTTATGACTTTGTTCTATAGTCAGGTTTATATTTTAAAGTTGTTATGATAATGAATAAGGCTAGTGAAAAGAAACTGAAAAGGTTGTTGAAACTGTGTTTACCTTCTTGTGATCCAGCTCCGGAAGATTCGTGTGATTCGGCGTTAACACTAACATATAGGATAGATGGTATAAGTAGTAACAAGCTCATTATTAAAAAAACTGACAATAATATTAAAAAGTGTGTTATAAAAATATTGTAAGAAAAAGGATGATTGCTGTTCAATTTATACGAACTTTTGATGGGTTTTCCAGTTTTGTGTTGATCAAACGGTTTTCTGGATTTTCGGATGATCCGATATGATTAACTTACTGTTTTTATCACGTATGATTACAATAGAAGAAACAGCGAAAGTTTTCAGCAAAGACTAAGAAAATTTTTGAGCTTAACATCTTTCATTCTGGAACTAGGTACTAAAACCTAATAAAACATGAAGGATGTTAAGAGATCAAACCACTTTTGATAACAACATGCACGTTTATTTTCTCGCGTTAATGGCACGGGAATCTTTTGACAAATGTCAATTACAAACCAAAAAACAGTTGATTTGGCGGCCGAAGATCCGCATTTGTCGAGATTTGCGGCGTTTTACGTGAACATTCCACGTTTAATGCCACTGGTCACTCGGCTCTGTTAATGGTTTTTTATGCGACTTCAAGCTATGTTTAAGGTTTTTTTGAAAATACCATGCATTTAGGATAGAAAATAAGTTTTGAGTATAGGATGGATGATTTAGGTATAAACTTTTACAAAATTATTTAAATTTTAAGTAAAATTTAGTCGAGATAAATTAAGTTTATTAGCAATAAATACTAATATCAGTTTTCAAATTATTTACATTAACATTCAATGTTTGTAGCTTTATCAGTAGTATTGTTGTCTAAACCCACCATAGTTAAAAAGTTTTAGTATAATAAAAAGATTTAACAATTTGATAACTAATAATTTTACTTTTTGACTCCACTTATTCCACTCATCATAGTATCAAAACCAGTAGGGTAATTTCTGTGAATATATCTTTGACCAAACTGGTTGTTGCTATCCATCTGACAGTTATTATTACAGTTGTTTTTGACTGTGTATGTAACTTTCTTGTCTGTAGGCTTACCGAATAAAGCACTTATGGGAATGTTTAAAGTTATTGGTTTTGAAAGAATAGTACCAATATCATTGTTAACATTGTTGTTGCTACATGGTAGACTGCTTGGACTCATCATGACTTTGTAGGTGTTGGGGCTGTTTGGAAATTGGTTAGAGTTTCCAAATGGCATTACAATGCTTTTGCTGATACCACCATTGAACTGGAATTTGTTGGTTTGGAAGGGATTCTTGAACTTTAGCGTAGGTAAATAGGCAGGGTGATCGTTGAGAATGTTTGATTGGAAGTTTGAGTAGCCTGAAGGATTTGAAAAGCTGTTCTGAGTATTTGAGTAGGACGACTGAGGATTGGTGTAGCTATTTTGTAAGTTACTGTAGCTGTTTTGACTAGTTGATAAGCTATTTTGACCGTTAGAGAACCCAAATTGGCTATTTCCGGTATTATAGTTGAAATTAGGAGCATTGTTCATAAAGTTTGATAACTGTTGATTAGCTTGGCCAATTTGGTTACTTTGGCTTATTTGAGACTGGCTTGGGTTGTAAGTTGTTGTTCTGGCCATTTGAGCAGCCGGAGTCTTTGGGCCTCCGTAGAACATAAATGGAGATTCTTGAGTCCACTGTTCGTTCATACCTGGATATCCTTCAGCTGACATGCTGGAGATGGGATGGTGATAGGCTGTGAAGTAGTTGGGTTCTTCTCTGAAATTTTATTTTTAATTGTGTTTTTTTAGTGATAACCTCAAGGTTTGATCACTATGTTCTACTGCCACCTTTCAATATTTTTAAAATTTATTAATTTTCAATTTATCTACAATAATATTATTAGGTTTATAAATACTACTACTATTCTACAATAAAATTAAAAAGAAAACTAATCTACAATAATATTATCAGTTGTGTCCTAGTCGCATTGCGGGATGGGTTTTGAGTTCGGGGATGGCCAGAGGGATTGTTCCCATTCGGCAGTGCAGGGAGCAGCTCGGATGGGTTGACTAGGTGGCAATGGGTGTAGGGCGCGGCGGAGGAGGCTTCTAAAAATAAATCATTATAGTTTTTGGCAGCGGGAAGCGGGGGACCTACTTGCAAGCGATTGGTGTTATTTTGGCACGGACTGATGTCCTAATGTTGTTTAAGCCGTTGTAACGTTAGCTGGCATTTGTAGCGCAGCTTTTTAAATTTTAAAGCTTTTTTAGTTGCAAAAAAGTAGGCTTATTTTCGTTAAATAAGTTATATTTAATTGTCAAATACGCCAAAATAAAGCGCTTTTTAAAATTTAAAAGTCAGTTTGTCGTTTTTAGGCACTTTAAAAGTGTAGATCAGACAGCTCATAGTTACACATCGTGGTTTTCTTCCAATGGTCGTTAGCTTTACAATATGCTCTTTATAAGTCTTCTTTCTCTGTATACTACCACTCTTAATCATTCCATTCTTGTTGTTATTATTACTTGTAGAAGTAGCTGATCGTTTTGTAGGCATGCCTAATACTAGCTTGTGTTTCATTGGCGGTTTATAATGTGAAGTCGCTGGAAGTTGTAAGGAACTTGTTGATGGTAGAGTAAGTATTATTCTTTTTGTTACTGTAGTTGTTTTGTTGGGTGTCAAGGGAACTAGTAGGTGAACTATATTTTGCGAGACATTTGTTAATTTTGCTGAAGTCAATTTTGGCGATTTCGGAGCCACATCTCTTTTCACTGTGTTGAACAAGTTTTGTGTTTCAAACATAGTTTTTCGTGTCTTCTGATTACTGATAGGCATAACAACGTAATGAAACGTTCTTGAAGCTCCAATTTTGTTCATAGTTAGTCCAGATCGTGTTGATCTACCGGTAAATGCATGAGATTGAAGGTTTAATGACTGTATCGTTGGTGATGACATTCTGTTAAAAATTGGAGTCGATCTTCGGTTGATTGTAGGCACAATTTTGAAGATAATTCCACTTTTTTTGTGAACATTTACTTTGTAAGGATCTTCCTTTTTCTGTTTTAAACTGTGAGATACTCTGGAAGTTTATAATGCACTGCAAAGTGTATTAGTATCGTTAAGCTTAATTTTATAGGTTTGTTAAATTCTTAATGCTTTGAAGTTGAAAGCTTAAATTTAAAAAAATGGTTTTTAAGTAGTATGTTTTAAAGTTAGTTGTATTATTGAAAGATGGCAGCAGGCATAGAAAAGCTGATATTACATTTTATAATATTAAATAAATTAAAAAAAGCATTAAATGCTGACAAAATATAAAGGAAGCAAGCAGAACTTACCCTGGGAAGCTTTGCACACTTTGTGGTACAGTACCATAAACATTGTACCTTCCATTGCCCCTGTTGGCAGTGTACTGATGATTAGTTAAAGTTTTCATTCGTCTTCTTGTAATCAATGTGCCTTTGTAGATTGATCTAACTGGCCGTTGAGCCATGGTCAATGTAATAAGCAGTAAAAACAAGGACACAATGAGAGAAAACTTCATTGTAAATGTAAATAAAATTAGACAAGGCTAGGCAAAATTATGAAAACCAAACAAAAAATTAATAAATAATCGAATAAACCCAATAAATACCGCTGAATGACGTGAAGCCCCCTCCGGCTATTCACTTTATATACCTATTGGTTATTCGGTGTTTGAACGGGTTGATCCGCTTATAACATAATTGTCTTGTCGCGTGAGAAAAATGGACACACAGTTAGCCAGAAGCGAGATTTTCATCGCGCAAAGACTATTTTTTCATACAATAGAAGGGATTAATGACAGTTGATAGGTGAAATGAATACAACCTTTGATAGGGTTGATTACAGGGGGTGTGTGGATTGATTTGGTACGTACTTAACTGTACTGATATACTGTTGTTTATAGTTATTATTGGAAAGAAAGGTGACTTGATTTGTAAAAAAATAAGAAACGGTTTAAGCGGATTACTCATGGAATTTAATGTAATTTTTGGCGACTGCGCAAGTGTTTTGAGGATTATGAGCGTTTACGTGAATATTTTTTGTTTGATTTTTTAAATTTTTACTTTTTTTTTAAATTCAAAAAAGTTAAACGCCGGAAAACATTTTTCTCAAACTGATAGCTTACAACGCACTAAAAATACAGACAAAAATTTAAAAAACAGAATTTTGAACGTGTTTTAAGTTTCATCCATCTTTGTTTACCCGTACTTTGAGACAAAAATGTTTTTAACAGTTTAACAACATTAAATGCTACTCTTATCAGCTGTAATTTCAAGTGTCTTCAACAGAAAACGTTCGAGTCATCACATTTCAAATGAAGAAAACAAAATTTTGGAACGGAAAAAACAGATGGAACGTTTTGAAAATCCGGGGCAAAAGCTGATTTTATAGACTTTCCTTTGGGTTTTTGGCCAAGTTTTTGTTTGTTTGCTTGGAAAAGTTATATAAAAGTTTGTTTCTGTGTTTAGAAAATTAATTTTTAATGTGATTTTTTGTTTTTTTTTATCTGTTTGGACTTGCTATTTTATCTAAAATTATAAGCTTATAATAAGTTATATATCTTACTCACTTAACTTAGTTTACTAGTAAAGTCAATATTATTTTAAAAGTTTTGGAATTGCTAAATTTAATTCCTAGATCCTGTTAATCATGTTGACTTTACACTATAAAGAAAAATTTTTTTTTCAGTTTTCAAAATGACCTTTTGTTTAAAACAATGGCCAAGATTTGTGTTTTTACATGTAATTAATCTAAAAAAAAAGTCAGCTATGTCTGAGAGACTTTACTTCCTTATCATCAAATCTTGCGTTGTGGAATCAGGTTGTACATAAATTCGTATTTTAGCATGACAATATATTTTTTTTAAATTTAATGGTCTTTTATGAAAACTTTTTCTGAAAAACTGAGGGTATCAGCTTTATTTATAAAATCCTTAGTCTTATATCACTGTCAAAGTCTTATATTACTATCTTTTATCATTAAATTGCAAATTCGTAGATCAACGACACTTTCCCATCCGAACATTGCAAATTAGTTATTTACGTGAAAACGGGCATTATATACTACTCAGTTTGTTCCGATCTCTCGCTTAATACCTTTGCGAACTTTTGGCCGGACGCCTGCCCTCGGGGCGAAAAAAAGTCGGAGGTTAAATAGTTGTGGCGCCACGGCTGTCGCCATTGTTCGGCGGATGTGATTACTTGTGTTTGATCGAGGGAAAGCCTCAAAAATATTATAGAACCCATTATTACTGCTCGAATTAGGCTAACTAGTGCTACTTAAATTGTTTTTTTTAAATTGTCTATTGAAAGTGGCAAGTATATTATAAGTTAGTTATTTTATAATTTATGTTTTTCTAAACATAAGATATCTACTGTATTTTTAATTGGCTGTAAATAAATTTTTTGCACAAAATGACTGCTGGACCACTTATTCATATTGACAGGCCAAGGTAAAAAATATTTTTGTCATTTTTTGAGCAGTTTCTTCTATTTCTTACAGTACTAATTTTAAGTAAGATGCTAGGTCATAGAAGGTTTTTTTATGTAAATATTAACTTTATTGAAAAATATCTTGTCTTACATGGCTACTTAAAAAGTCATTTCGCTGTTTTACACTAAAATATAAGTGAATTAAGGACAATAATTCTTTTGACATCCTAGCTTTATGAAGTAAGTTTTTTGTATGTACTATTGATTTTACTTACTCTTTGAAATTTTTTTGGTTTAAAACATGACTTTGAAACTTTTTTTCATTTTTCTGTGGCATTTCATAAATTTATAGTTCAGCTTCCTTGTCAAGACTTTTTGACAGGAAAAAGTGTTTTATGTAGGTGGGATTTTTCTTATAATGATTAGACTATCGTGATTAATGACATTTTTGAGAAACATTTCTTGAGTTTAGAACGGCCGTTTGTCTTTTTATAAAAACGTAGTCTTGGTTATGATATATGTGTAGTTTTTACTAATTCTTTTTTAGTTTAGTCTACGTTTCTATCTGTATCATTGTTTTGACATTTTTTCATATTTTAAGTTTATCGGTTATACTTTTTTCTATTACATATTATCTATAATTGAATACAAATATGGTCTTTAAACTTCAAACTTAAGCTTATAAATTTAGCCCGGTTGTAATCAGTAGAAAAGTTACTGTTCATCCCACTGTTAGTGTTACCGGTTTTCGTCGACGTCGCTTTTACATAAACAAATCTTGCTCAACATACCGCGAATCTTTCACGATAAGAATGTCCGGCACTGAAGAGATTCACGAACAGCCAAAGGTTGAAGAAATCACTCCAGAAGACCCACCTAAACCAGACCTGAGCGAAGGTAAGACTTATTTTATGGCAAAGTACGCTTTAACACTAACAGCTCATAATCATGTTTTCAAGTGATTATGAGCTGGTTTTTTTCAGTTCCTTAAGAACTTAGTTATACTGTACGATTTGGGAAAATAGGTAGTAAGAAAATAAGTAACATATGAATGCATGGTAATAGAAAATCTTAAATATAGTTTCTAAACCGCGTCGTCGTATAAAATTCGTTCCTGTTGTGAGTCCGCGAAGTATATTTACTTATTCTATTCAAATTCAGAATGGTGTGCAAAAAGGTAAATTTAATGCTAATATACATTGCGTATTTTTTTAAAACACGTTTTTTGTAAAGCTCGAGCCAGGGCCAATTGCACTGGCGACGTCAAATTTCAAACATTTTTTAAAAATCTGAAATTTTTATCATGAAGGTTTTAGACAATGCTGAGTACAAAAATACAACTTTTTTTATTTTTGGTTATTGTATTGTGGAGTACTGTAAGGTTACGGTAGAATTTATATCTCCATAACGAATAGTCGTAGAGACATGGCGTCTTCACTATCGTGTAGTACGACCACAATACAGTATTTCTTATGTTAGAATCAAAGTTCCATGTATAAGTTTACCATGGTAAAAATTCGTATCTTGTGTTGTAATTACAGTAACCCACAAATAATAAAAAAACGGTTTGAGATACCTCTCTTCTTTATTTTAAATTATTACTCTACATGTTATTGCGGTTCGAATGATAAATAATTCAAAAAAATTTTTTGACACATCTGGGGTCAAAGGTCAAGTTGAAGTTGGTCGACCCTATATGTATTTTGAAAAAAAAATTTAAAACTAAGTAAAAACTAACTGGTGAAAGGCACACCAGCAAAAAAAAACGGCTGCCCATACCTATGGGCGCGTTTTTTTCAAGTCCATCCCTGACCTTTTCACTCCTACCTGACCCTACTCCTGACCTTCTTGGCCCTATCCGACCCTACCCCTGGTCTTTTTGGCCCTACCTGACCATACCCTTGATCTTTTTGGCCCTACCTGACCATACCCTTGATCTTTTTGGCCCTACCCGACCCTACCCTTCACTTTTTTGGCCTTACCTGATGCTACCCCTGACCCTTTTAGCCCTACCCAACTTCACCCCTGACTCTATTAGCCTTACCCAAACCTGACTCCGCCTTTTTTAGCCTGCCCAATATTCAATACCGTACTCTATCCTACTTATTATGCTATACCATATCATATTATATCTTATGTTCTTTACTATTCTCTACCTTACCTACCATATCATACTCTATACTACATAATATATCGTACCCATCCTATGTGATATACCATACTCTACCATACCGTATTATATTATATCTATTATACCATATGCTCCCTACTATACCATAACTTACCTACCTACTATACCATGCCATACCATATTCTACCTACCACTTCATACCATACTATATCATACCATACTATACCCTATACTCAGGGCCGGGCGGGGACTTTTGGTCTGGGGGCAGGGGTCCAAAAAATCGGCACATGTATTAATAGCTAGCTACCTGTGCCGATTTTTTGCAACATTTTTTTTCCGAAAATCCACAGGGGGACCACGTTCAACTTTTTTCAAAAAAAATTTTTTTTGGGGGGGTACTCTCCCCCCCCTCGCGCCCGGCCCTGCCTATACTACCTACCATTCCGCACCATACTATATCATACCATGACATATCATACCCTATCTTACCTACAATACTATTCTATATTAGTTTATTAAACCACATATCTTGCCTTACTTACCCAACATGAACTTTTACCAATGGATAAATATTATAGTATACTATAATCAGTGGTAGAGTCAGGTAAGGCCAAAAAGGTAAAGGGTAGGGTCGGGTGGGGCCAAAAAGGTCAAGGGTGGACTTGAAAAAAAATCGCCCATAGGTATGGGCAGCCGTTTTTTTTGCTGGTGTGCCTTTCACCAGTTAGTTTTTACTTAGTTTTGAATTTTTTTTTCAAAATACATATAGGGTCGACCAACTTCAACTTGACCTTTGACCCCAGATGTGTCAAAAAATTTTTTTGAATTATATATCATTCGAACCGCAATAACATGTAGAGTAATAATTTAAAATAAAAAAGAGAGGTATCTCAAACCGTTTTTTTATTATTTGTGGGTTACTGTAATCACGACACAAGATACGTACTTTTACTACGGTAAGTGACAAAGTAAACTTAAAGTAATAATAAAAAATGCGTTTTAGTAACTCTACTACTTCACCAGTTAGTTTTTACTTAGTTTTAAATTTTTTTTTCAAAATACATATAGGGTCGACCAACTTCAACTTGACCTTTGACCCCAGATGTGTCAAAAAATTTTTTTGAATTATATATCATTCGAACCGCAATAACATGTAGAGTAATAATTTAAAATAAAGAAGAGAGGTATCTCAAACCGTTTTTTTATTATTTGTGGGTTACTGTAATTACAACACAAGATACGAATTTTTACCATGGTAAACTTATACATGGAACTTTGATCCTAACATAAGAAATACTGTATTGTGGTCGTACTACACGATAGTGAAGACGCCATGTCTCTACAACTATTCGTTATGGAGATATAAATTCTACCGTAACCTTACAGTACTCCACAATACAATAACCAAAAATAAAAAAGTTGTATTTTTGTACTCAGCATTGTCTAAAACCTTCATGATAAAAATTTCAGATTTTTAAAAAATGTTTGAAATTTGACGTCGCCAGTGGGATCACGATTTATAAAAAACGTGTTTTAAATGGTTTAGTAGTTGATGTTAATTTACTTTTAAATAAAACATAAGTTGATGTTATTGTTTTACATATAATTGAGCTTTTGACTTCACCTTGTGAACCTTGAGTATGTAATTTGAGCTTTTCAAGGTGCCAAACATCAGTTGGCGTGTCAAATTTTTTTATTTTCAATTAGGTTGAACTTAAAATATTAGAAACGTATGGTTATAGCATGTAGCTTGAAGTTGTTTTTAAATATTTTATCAATGTGAGTACCCTAGGTTGTACTACATAGCCTCAAAACTTGAAGAAAAAGCAATTTTAAAAAGCAAACAAAAATTAATAATAAATTTTGAAATGAAATTTAATCAATGTCTTGTAGAATCCGAGCCATTACTGCCAAACAAAACTGATTCCCACGAATCGTCAGAGACTGAAAACGACATTGTTCATGTTGACGATCAAGCCGAAACAGTTGACTCCCAGCCAAAAACAACTGAAGTAGTTGATCTTAAATTCGAAAACATTGAGCCAGCTGCCGACCAGTCGGAGGCTACGTTAAAGGTACTAAATTTTGCTTTATATTACACTTACGAATCCCAAACATGAAAAACTTACTTACTAATATTATTCAAACAGTCATAATTTTTCGTTTAAAAATTTAATCATGTAAACATACTTATCGAATTTTACGTTACAGTCGCCAGTCTTGGCTCCCACAACTCGTCGTGATTTCAAAGAAACCGACTATGACACTATTGAGCCTGCTATTCAGGTGGACGACACTACTATGCTCACTGAAAAAGACAAGGCATTTTACACCAAGAGAGCATTGTTCATCGGCGCAGTGGGTAGCGCCGTTGTTGGAGCTTTAATTTACTTGAAATTACATTAACTATGTATTGCTAAACATATTTGTATAAAACTAGAAATAAATACAGATTTTATTGTTGTAGCGTCATTAAAGTTTTTGCGGATTTTTGAATTGTTTTCCATTGAGGAAACACGCTAGGTTTTGGAATTGATGGTAGTCGGTTGGGGCAAAGTTCGGTAATTACGAAGGATGATTCAAGACAGCCCAACTACTTGAGCTTTGCCACAGTCTTTTTTGTAACGTGGAATGTTGTTTCGAATAATCATTGGACTCATCTTCTGATCATTATTGTAGGATTGTGTCTCAGCTTGTCTATCTGACAATAGTAGGTGTCAGCCATATTAGTTTGACCAAAATTTTATTGTAATAGCTATCAACTCTGTGATATTTTGACCAGGTTTCATAACCGCCTACATGATCACTTTTGCGCTAAACCACCAGGCAGTTACAATCAGCTTCTTTCTGCGCAATCCTTAGAGTTGTGACGTGCTTTGGAGCGGCACCACGCTTAAACCAACTTGATCTTCTTCTATTATTGTTAAAGAGATCCACTTCAACCGTAAAAATCCTGCTTATAACATCGTCGTTTTTGCTTTGTTGCAGAAGCTTTTCTGAAGCGCGTCGTCGCTTGGCCGTTTGATCATTGGTCAACTCACGAGGCATTCATTTGTCCAGTTTTTGACCATTCCCATTGCTTTCAAATGGTTTTTAATACAACGTTGGATGTCAAAGGAGTTCCTGAAATAAAAACAAAAATCCGACAGACTTTGTAGTACTTATCAACAAGTATTACTGTTTATTTCACAAAACATAAAAAAGTAATTGTTATATACGTTCAAATCAGGTTGTTTTGTTGTGTAATGTAGGCATAAGTGTGGAAAAGACGATGTAGATTTTGATCGTTAGTTTGACATCAGGTGTTTGACTTCAGATTTCGAGTTATTGAAGATTTGATAGTTTTATTTATTTTATAATTGCGGCTTAGCCATACTTTATTGTCATTATTGTTCCTAGTTGAAGTTGAAATCCAAGTATAGTTCCAAGTATATTACAATCCAATATTAATCTGTTGTCGCGATAGCACTAAATGTAGTTAATCTAAAAATAGAAATCCAGGCTTCTCGGCCCTTCAATATTATTTTATGGCAAGATTAAAACGATTAATAAAAAAAGTTAAAAATTACCTTCCACATAAGCTTGTTTCATTATGGAATGAGCTATTTCATATTGGTCGATCTTTAACGCAAATTACAATAAATTTTTGCAAAGTATAAAATTACGATCCATCATATCTAGCATTTGCATAAAACTTATAAAAATGTTTGAAAAAAAATAAAAATTTAATTTTTTTAATGTAAAAAATTAATTTGAAATAATCAAAAAAATTACGTTGGTTAAATTAAAACGATTAACATAATAAATTTTAAAAGAAGACCACATGTTAGAATAAACTTACGACAATGCAGGCATTTAGCTGAAACGGTCTCTTACGACAGTAACGTTACAAACGTACAAGGTTTTATTCTCTTGTACACAAGACAAAGATAAATAAACAAATTGATTACGCTTTATACGAATTCCCAGTCTGATCATAATTGACCCTCTTTATAAATCTTATACGGTAAATGTACTCCTAACTTTTTGAATATTTTGTGCAAATCGTCGGACTTTGTGCTCAAAAGTTTGTTTACTGTAAAATTGACAATTCTTGTATACATCGTCTTTTAACAGCTTGTAGAAAAGCTAACTACGTCTGGTAATGCAACTAACGAAGTTTTTGTAAAAAACTTAAACAGTAGCTAACTTACAAAACGGCAAAATATTATAAAACTTAGTTTTTACGCTGGAATAATCAAAAAGATCTATTTAAAAACATTAGCTTAGCTAAAATTTTTCAATTATTTTAACTTAAAGTTATTATTTTACACTTCTAAAAATAATAAATTAATAGACAGCATCAATAAAACAAAAACTCTATTTAGAACTGACTTGATCTTAAAAACGCTTTATTATAAACATGGTTTTGTGTGCGTACCTAATGACATTATTATACAGCATAATTTTTTGTGCGTATCTGACAAGACTTATTGGAAAAGAAGAGATAAAGGAGCGTCAACCAATGACGTCATTGTATCTACTTTTTAAAAATAGCGCCAAGTATAAATTTTTTAAAAGATCAAGTATTTATTTAAAACATCAAGAAAAATCAAGAAAGTTTGTACTGCAGAATGGCCAAAAACTACAGCCTTTTTTTACGTTACCTTACCAATTTTTATATTGCAAAATTCTAAATTTAAAAAAAATTAAATTTTCTTCAAAAATTTATAAAAACCAAATTCCTTCCTACTGCAATGTTTTTTGGGTAAAAATGAAAAATATTTCAAAGTTTCGAAAGACTTTTTCCGTTTTCTTTTCGCCGTTCGGTCAATCTTTTCCCTCTTTTTCTTTCGATTTGCTCTGTAATTCTTTTAACTGCGCTTTTAATCAAAGAAATCTTTGTTTTTTTTTGTAAATTTAAACAAATTTTACTTTAAAAATTGTTTTTAAAATTTGTTTTTTTCATATTTTTGGTGAGAAAAAATTAGAATTAAGCTTGACATTTAGACCCGGCCCGTTTTTAATTTTGGGCAGGCTCGGCCCGGCCGAAACAATTTTAAAAAAGGCTGGTCCAACTGACAAATCTGGGCCCGAGGGCCGGGGCTCAAACCAAGGTCTGGCCTTATTAAAGATTTATTTATAATGGGGTTTTAAGGTCCTATTCATAGAAAAACCTACATAAAGGGTTAAAATTTAATTATCAGGAATATTCTCGATATTTTTTGACCTCAGTCGTGAAAAAAAAATTTTTTAAATGAATTAAATTAAAAAATATTTAAATTAAATTAAAAAATATTTAAATATGTTCACTTCTAGTTAATCACGCGTCTTGCCGTTCAAACTCTTGATATTTTCAAAAATGTCATTTTTTATGTATCAAACTATATATTAAAAACGTGCCGTTCCAGATATTATGGGTTTGTTTCCGTCTAAAGACGACAGACGATTGTACGATGAAAATGGGTTCGAAATCTGGAGTGCTGAAGCAATGGAAGTCCGTGATCAAATAAAACGACGTCAACTTCGTCTTCTCTTCTTGACCTTGATTACTGTGGCTGGAATTGGTGTTGGAATCGCCTACCGTCAACGGATTCTGAATGCTTTGAGGTCACGACGATGAAATTGAATATAACTTGATTATATTAACCGCTCATGATGATTACGATGATTCAGGGATATCGCGATGTTTCTGGAGATTAGTTGGCATCATTTGGGTTTAGTCACAGTATGTTAGTGTTTCTTTTCATATATTAATAAATATGTTTTAGCTATTGATTTGTGTTTTCTGTCTTTTTTGGTTCTTATTGCTCTTATACTTCGTTGTTTGTAGCCTTTGTCTTATATTTTATTGACTTCCAACACTTTATCCTCTTAAGAGTGTCAAACGCAGTAGATTACCTTTAGAATCACCCTATATACAACCCAAATCACCACATGTATTATACTACCGAGCTCAAGAAAACGTAAAGCCATACTTCAAATTTAATAACCAAAATACCTCGCCTTGAAAGTTGCCATAATAAATAGCCTATCCTATGTTCGTGGGTGTGTTTTTTAATAAAAATTATCAAATGATATCATAAACAATTTGATTGTTTAATGAACGATTTAATTAGTCAATTAATTTTATCTTTTTTTAAACAATAGACTATTACAAAAACATTTTGACTACTTGTAATCATGGTTGACAATATGACTCGTAAATTGTATTCTTAGATTAAAGATTGATTTGGACTACAAATTTTGTCGTACATCTTCAGATATGTTGAAGGTTACATAGTCTTTATTCTTATTATGTTATAAAAGAAGTTAAACATAGTTATACAAGAAAGGTAAATTACCATTATAGTAAGCCTAAAAGCGGCTGTGGCTCAGTCGGATGAGGTGCCGACCAAAATACCACCGGACTCAGGTTTGACCGACTACTGTTCGACCCAAAGGCATTTGTAATTTACAAATGAATGAGATGTGCTAACAAGGGAATGTTACAAACTGTCCATTCGCTTTTTAAAAATAAATGGTACCATGTGAAAGAGCGTAAAAAGTTGACTAAAAATCTATTTTCAAAAACTGCCAAATTCGCCTACGTCCGCTTTCTTTTGAATTCTTTCGAAGAGAGGAACCGAGTGTGCTCGATTGGCCAAGTGGTTAAAGGCGCCGTGATTGCGCAATCATGCGGGTCCGGTTCGATTCTCTTTTGGGGTAATAAAGTTTATTTTTTTAAATTTAAATTAATTTTCATTAACAGAACTAAAATTTTTTTGTTGATAATTGTTTCTTATATTTATTAAAACATAAAACAATTAAAAAAAAATTTTTTTGAACATACAAAAATTGAAAATAAAGCATATGAACATAAAAGGCCCTTATAATAATGATTTTTAAAGCTCGCTAGCGGGCTTGTAAGGCGAAATTGGCAGTTTTTGAAAATAGATTTTTAGTCAACTTTTTACGCTCTTTCACATGGTACCATTCATTTTTAATAAGCGAATGGACAGTTTGTAACATTCCCTTGTAAGTGCACAAACACTATGGCCTACATATTTTGCTTGGCCTACACTGACTTCTACGGCCTGAAGTTTTGACGAGCATCACATCACGACCCGGTAGTTCGTGAAACAGGATCACCTGGATAGGCCTCAATTTGGAACAACTACAATCTGAAAGCCGTTGCCAAACCCTCACCATTTCCCCTCACTTCTCACATTGTCAGCCTGTATATCTTATGTTGAAAAGGGAATAAACTGCAAAACAAACTTTAAACTTTGATGTTATGAAGGACAATAAACACAGTCATACAACACAAATAACTTATCATTATAGAAAATCTACGAAGCATTTTATAATCAACTTTAGTACCCTTAGAGCTTTTATAACGAATTTACACGACACAAGTTTACTTTCTCATAATTTTAAAAAATTTCCAAACTTAAAAGTTGTAAAATAACCAAATTTACTTTTGTTACATCATAATATGTCCAGTTTTGTTAATTTGTAGTATAGATAAGCCTTTTTCCAATAAGCTTGCCTGATAAGGCGTTGAGAAACAAAGAACTCAACTGACTTAGCAAAAAGAATACAATACAGGTTATCGTCATCGGCCTTATCTTAATGACTAAATTAAATTGCTATTTAAACAATCAATCGAAAGAATTTGATCAGAAGCGGCTTCGCAATGGTTCGGGCTGTTTTCGCAGGGCTTTGCCTGATCGCGGCTGTGTTGGCATCGCCAATCGGTAAGGTATTTCATATTTATAAACAATATCTTTACAAAAACATCTTGTAAAAGCAATTTGCATTGCTCAGACATAATTTTTTCAGATTTCTGTTAAATTATAGGAACTCTAGGTAAATTATACCTTCTAAAAATCAATTTTTTCAGACACCAGATTTGCTGATAACGACCTCAACATCCCAGACCCGGTAGAAGTTCCAAAGTCCAACAGCAAGGTGTACGATGCCTACAACTACTTTGTTGAAACTTTGAAAGAAAGTGCTGGCTTAAAATCATCGCCATGTGACAACTTCTACAACTACACATGTCAAAACACCCCAGTCAACAACTACTTCGGCCCCATCGACGCCGCTAACACCGAGTCTACTATTCGTGGACTAAAAACTGAGAGAGTAAGCTTTTTAACCTTTCTTATAAATTTCGTATTCAAATTAAAATTTTATTCTTTGGCCTACTTTTACCACCTGCATATTTAAAAAAATTTTAAAAAATTAAAAATAATGCACTTTACCACAATGAAAATACATGTGATTCTTTTCCAGGATCTGAAATGGTACAAGACTATCAAAAAAACCTTTGACCAATGTGTCTCCAGACTCAGAACCCCAGGTGCTATGCATCAAAACGGCAAAACTTTGCAAAAGATTTATCAAAAGGTTGACACCGAATTCGGCCCCAGCTTCCCATTGTTTGACAAGACCTCAAACCTTAACGTTGACTCGAACAGCCTAGGAGAATTCGTTGGATACTTGGCCCAAAAGTTCAGACTTAACACTTTCTTGAGCTACACCATCCAAGGAAACCATCTAGTTTTGTCTGAACCTCAACTAGCCTTCCCAAACGTTTATTTTGTCCACTCTTTTGACATGTTTGAAGTTGAATACAAGGCTTCGATCAGAGACTACATGACTCAATTGGCTGAAGCTTTGAACGTTCAGTTAGATGAATCTGAACTGACTCAAACCATCGACGAAGTTGTCAATTTCGAAAAAGAGTTGGCCGAAGTTCTCAACACTGTTGAAGAAGAAACTCCAATCACATTGGAAGCTGCCGACCTTGCTACAGCTTCTTCATCAATCAACTTCAACGCCTTCTTCGCTAGAATCTCAAAGAACTCCAAGAAATCTAATCTGTTTGCTTCCAAAGACTTTGATATTCATGTTACAGCTCCAGCTCAACAAACGTTAGTCCAGATGTTCATCAGCCAATCCAACCCCAAGACCGTTCTCAACTACCTGAACGTCAGATTGGCCAGAAGCTTGAGACAATACTACATGAGAAAACCAAAAGAATGCAAGGCTGACCAATGGTTAAGAGAAGGCAAAGGAGTAAAGGCTTTTGGATTTGCTCCCCCACTCCCACAAGATGATGTTTACCCTACTTCCTCTGATGCCGAGAAGAGATGCATGAGCAATGTGGCTTACTACTACAGACAAGGTGTCGATAGAATCTACTTGGACGACCAACTGCCCGATCTTAAGGAAAGAAAGGAATTTGTTGCCAGAATTGGAGAAATCACGACTAACATCATCACCGGATTCAGAGTACGTTTAGGATTGTATCTTGTGTTACAAAAAAAATTAATACCTAGAAAATAAAGAAAATAATCCTTTTTATAACTAATATTTCAGTACCAAATCGATAAGCTCTCCTGGTTCAGCCCAGCCACCAAAGCCGCCGCTTACAAAAAGATTGACGCCATGTTGTACAACATTGTCTACGACGACTGGATTGAAAATGACGATCTCCTCAACGACATCTACAACGTCGTGGAAAACAACCCAGAAGACGATCACTTCACGGCTACTGATAAGATGAACGACTTTGCCCAAACATTGGAATGGGAAGGTCTCCACGATTCCGACCGTCGTCACGCTAACTTCTCCCAATCCATCAGAACCGTCAACGCCTGGTATATGCCAGCCTTGAACCACTTCTACATTCCTCTCGGTATCTTGCAACGTCCCTTCTTCGATATCAACTACCCCGCCGCTTTGCAATACAGTGCTGTCGGCTACGTTGTTGGCCACGAATTCACACACGGATTCGACTCTAACGGTGTCAACTACGACGACCAAGGCAACCGCAACCCATGGATGGACAACGCTTCCAAGAAAAGTTTCAACGATATGGCCACCTGTGTTATTAATGAGTACAACAAACTGCACGGCAGAGGTAGGAATACCCAAACTGAAGACATTGCTGACAACGGTGGAATCCGTGCCGCCTACAACGCCTTCAAATCCGAACAAGGCCTCAACGGACAGGACCCACAACTGCCAGGTGCGCCACTCAACCACTTAAGCCAAGACCAACTCTTCTTCACCGGCTTTGCTCATGTGTGGTGCTCAAACAAACCCAAGACTGACTACCAATGGGACCCTCACTCCGCATTGCTGTACCGTGTATGGGGTACCCTCCAGAACTTCCCGGCCTTCCAGACCGCTTACAACTGTCCAGTTGGATCAGTCTATGCTCCAAAAGAACATTGTAACGTTTGGGCTTGAGCCGAAACTTGTAAAAATTTAATTAATTTTTTGTTGTTAATAAATTTGCATTGCTATATGTATAAGCTTAAGTTGAGGATAGTAATACAACTAATGTTTGAATTTGATATATAAAGCCTAGTGTTTAAAGTTGAAATACAAACTACTAGACATTTCCACGGCTTATCGCTATAATTAATTGATCATTCAAAACAGACAAAAGTTTTCCAAATGTATGCGTTCTTATCAGTAAGGTAGCTACAATGCACAAGAAATTGTGATAAATGTTTTCTACCAAACTTAACAAACACTAATGACAAAACAAATGAAAGACTATATCAGCTTAAAAAGTCAAATTAATTAACAAGATAGTGCCTCTATTGTTTTTCTTATCAAGAATATAAAAGCCATGAATAAAAATGAGAAAACAAATATTATAATAACTTATAGAACCCACAAAGGTGAAATTTCTCTTGTAAAACTTTTTTATGCTTACAATTTGAAAAACCTTACAACTATGATACTACCTTTAGTCGGAGTTATTTATCTACATACTATAAGTTTAACCTTCGGTAAGTTCACAACTTATGCAACATCATTTATATATAAAAGTTGATAATATATAACACAATTTAGCTTACAACATCAAAACAAACGACTTGAACATCCCTGACCCTATAGAAGTACCAAAATCAAACTATAAACTCTATGAAGCTTACGATTACTACTCAAACGCTTTAAAAGCAACAGCTAACCTAAAGGCTTCGCCGTGCAATAACTTTTATAATTACACTTGTGAACATACGAACGTTGCTAGTTTTTTGGCTGTAATCAATGACGATAACACAGAAGCGATCTTACGTGGAATAAAAACTGAAAGAGTAAGCAAATCGCATAAGATTTTGTTTAAATTACAATGTAAGAACCTTCAAAAAGCTTTTTTTAGAACACAACATGGTACAAAACTTTCAAAGCTCGCTATGAGAATTGCCTAAAGTTATACGCAACTCCAGAAAATATGCATCAAAACGGAAAAATACTACAAAAAATCTACAAAGAAATTGACGATGAATTTGGATCTAGCTTTCCATTGTTTGACAAGACTTCAAACCTCAACTTTGGCTCTAACAGCCTAGGAGAATTGATTGGATACTTGGCCCAAAAGTTCAGACTCAACACTTTCTTGAGCTACGAGATCCAAGGAACCCATCTAGCTTTGTCTGAACCTCAACTAGCCTTCCCAAACGTTTACTTTGTCAACTCTTTTGACAAGTTTGAAGCTGAATACAAGGCTTCGGTCAGAGATTACTTGACTCAATTGGCTGAAGCTTTGAACGTTCAGTTAGATGAAGCTGAACTGACTCAGACCATCGACGAAGTTGTCAAGTTTGAAAAAGAGTTAGCCGAAGTTCTCAACACTGTTGAAGAAGAAACTCCAATCACATTGGAAGCTGCCGACCTTGCTACTGCTTCTTTATCAATCAACGTCAACGCCTTCTTTGCTAGAATCTCGAAAAACTTCAAAAAGTCTAAACTTTTGAATTCCAAAGACTTTGATATTCATGTTACAGCTCCAGCTCAACAGACTTTGGTCCAAATGTTCATCAGCCAATCCAACCCCAAGACCGTTCTGAACTACCTGAACATCAGGTTGGCCAGAAGCTTGAGACAATACTACATGAGAAAACCAAAAGAATGCAAGGCTGATCAATGGCTGAGAGAAGGCAAAGGAGTAAAAGCTACTGGATTCGCTCCTCCGCCACCAGAAGTTGACGTTTACCCCGAGGCAACGTATCCGGAAATACGTTGCGTTATATTTGCTAAGTCTTACCTTCAACCATTTACAGATAGAGTGTATTTAGATGATCGACTGCCTGATATGAAGTTACGGAGAGAATTTGTAGAGCGGATTTCAAACTTGACACATAACATAATCAATGGCTTTAAGGTAAGGAGAACTACCTTTATAACACACTTTTAGCATCTAAACATAATCATTAAAACTATATTTAATAACATACCAAAAAATTAAAAGTTTTACCTATTTCAGTACCAGATCGACCAACTTACTTGGTTCACTCAAAAGTCAAAACAAGGCGCATATAAAAAGATTGACGCCTTATTATACAACATTGTCTATGACAAGTGGTTAGAAGACGACAACCGTCTTGACGACATAGCAAAAGACCTTAACCTTGACGAACAAGACGATTTTTATACCCAAACTCAAAAGCTGAATAATATAATCCAAGCTAGACAATGGGCCAATCTTTTCAAAAAAGATCGCAACTCAGACTTTACAACGACAATCACGATGGTTAACGCATGGTACAACAGAAATATGAATCACTTTTTCATACCTTTAGGCATTCTACAGCGACCTTTGTTCGACATTAACTATCCAGCAGCTCTACAATACGATGGTATCTCCTATATCATTGGCCACGAACTTACCCATGGCTTTGACTCTAATGGAGTCAAATACGATGGTGAAGGAGAGATGAACCCTTGGATGGACAACGAATCGACCCTCAACTTTAATAAAATGGCAAATTGTGTTATCAATGAATATAACCGGCTTCACGGTAGAGGAAAGAACACTCAAACAGAAGATATAGCTGATAATGGAGGTATTAGAGCTGCATACAATGCCTTCAAGTCAGAACAAAGTCTTTATGGACAAGATTTACAGATTCCCGGAGCTCCTTTCAATCATCTAAATCAGGATCAACTATTCTTCTCTGGATTTGCTCATCTTATGTGCTCTAACAACCCAAAACCGTCGTACAGCTATGATGTACATTCACCATGGTTATACCGTGCATGGGGCACTCTACAAAACTTCCCAGCTTTCAGGACGGCCTATAACTGTCCAGCTGGATCAGAGTATTCTCCAGTCGAACACTGCAATGTCTGGGCTTAATAACTTATGAATATAACCCGTATTTGCATCAAATTTACAGAAATAAACGAGTAAATTACTCTAACATTCTACAAATATCGAAGGAAATCAATAAATGATGTTGTAAACGTTTAAAAAATACGACAAAAACGAAAAATTACATGGATAACATTAAGAAAAATAAAATAATAATAAAATAACATATTTTACTTACGATTCTGTCCATACTATCCAAAAACCTTCAATTCAGCACGAGCACGACAAAAATCTGTTAGTTTAGGAAAGACGCCTTCAATGACACAATTTTTGGACGACGCCTACCGATTTTCCGGACGTTCCTCGACAGTTTATCATTTTAGAAGTTTAATGTTGTAGAAGTAGTAAGTTTTGTGTGTTTTTCTTTGTTTTTAATCTATTTTTAAGTAATTTAGTTTTTAGTTATTATTTTAGAGTTTATTTTCAGTTTTACAACAAATCTACTATGTGTAATATCCAAATCAGGGAGATAACGGCCATTGCGGTGGAGGAAAGGTATGTTTTTGATTATTGTTTTCATGTTTAGGAATGCATAGATGATATTTTGCTAGTTTTCTATGTTATTTTGGCGTAGTAACGCGTATTTTTGACCGTTTGTTGGGCTTAGGTAACAAAGGCTTTGCAAAGGCAATGTTTTGAATTTTTTGTTAACAAAACACATTACTTTTGGACTTTAAAACTAATGATGGTTTAGCAAATGTGAAAGAGAGTTTAGTTTTAGTTATTGCAAGTTTATTCACAACGAAATTTTGTATATACATTAAAATTACATAACAATTGATATCTATGGAAAATCATTGGAGTTTTCAATGAAGAAACCCGGAAAATGGGATAAATAACCAATTAGTTGTTATAAATCATGAGATAATAATGAGAAGACTATTTGACAACATAAGATATTAAGTTTAGGTAACATAAATAGGTTTTACAAAAAGTTTAGTTGACAAGATAGGTTGGCGGCAATTAGAAGATAAACCTCGCGATCAAAAGATAAACCTTATCGTGAGTTCTTTTAATTAAAAAATCACCTTTCAAATGGCTGACTATTTGACAATATAATTATGTGTTAACTATTGGTAAATTCACTTTCCATCACTGACCAACTTGTCGTATGACACCAAGGACAAGAAGTCTGGGAATTCGCTGGACAGAACTGAGGCTTCTAACAATTCGGCGGCTTCTGGGATCCTGTTAACAACGGAGCCGGCTCTGATCAATCGTCGTTCAGTTTCAGCGTTGATGGTCTGCTTGATCAGGTTGGGGTCGACGGTTCTTCCGTCTTCTAACTTGGCATCGTGGTGAAGCCATTGCCACAACAAGGCTCTCGACACTTCACAAGTGGCATAGTCTTCCATCATATTGTACAATGGTACACATCCGACACCACGGAGGTACGAGTCCAAGTAACCTAAGGTGACGGATATGTTGCGTCTGAAGCCGAACTCGGTGCGAGTGCCTTCGGGGACTTCGGTCAAGGCCTTGGCATCAGTTTGGAAGCCGGTGAGCTGTTTCTCAATTTGGTTTGGTCCTGGCATGACATTGTTGTAGACTTCCATGGCCAATGGGATGAGGCCAGGGTGGGCTACCCAAGATCCGTCGTTACCGTCGGTAGCTTCACGTTCCTTGTCAGCGCGGACGGCGGCAAAAGCTTTGGCGTTGGCGGATTCATCGTGCTTGATTGGGATGTTGGCGGCCATTCCTCCAATGGCGAAGATGCCACGTTGATGGCAACGTTGGATCAGGTGGAGGGCACAGGTTCTCATGAATTGCGAGGTCATGGCTAAAAAGGTTACATCATATATTAATATTTTCATTTAACTTTGCTTAACGAATTATTGCCTTTTACAACTCTAAAAATGTCTTATTTTCAATACAGCAACTTACTCAATTGGAATCTGTCGGGCAGCAAGTGTTTTCTGTGGTTGCGCAAGACCTTGATGTAACTGAACAAGTAGTCCCAGCGGCCAAAGTTGACACCAATGATGTAGTCCTTCAAGGCGTGGATAATCTCGTCAGTTTGGAATGTAGCCAACAAGTGCTCGTTCAAAATGGTACATCTGATGGTACCGTGTGGAATGCCGAGTTTCTCTTCGGTGTAGGCGAACACTTCAGCCCACAACGCGGCTTCTTGAGCGTTCTCGAGCTTTGGCAAGTAGAAATATGGGGCCGAGCCCTTCTCTTGCAAGGCCTTGTGGTTGTGGAATATGTAGAGACCGAAATCGAACAACGAACCACTGATTGGCTCCTTGTTGATGATAACGTGCTTCTCAGGCAAGTGCCAACCTCTTGGGCGCACGTTCAGGACGGCTGTATTGTCTTCGAGGACGTAGCGTTTCTTGGTGGCTGGGTGAGTGTACTCAATGTTACCACGAACGGCATCGTACAAGTTGATTTGACCTTCAAGTTGGTTTCTCCAGGTTGGCGAGTTGGAGTCTTCGAAGTCGGCCATGAAGACGCGAGCTCCGGAGTTCAAGGCATTGATCACCATCTTACGGTCAGTTGGGCCGGTGATTTCAACACGACGGTCGCTCATATCTTGTGGGATTGAAGCGCCCTTCCATGACAGATCTTCGCGAAGAGCGGCTGTGGCTGGGTCGAAGTCTGGGAACCATTCTCCAGAGTCGATGCGGGCCTAAAACAAGGTAAAATGAGCAAAATTTTATTTTTGGTGAGGCTTCTTCAGTATAATAATGAATTTTTTTTAATTATAAAAAATTTGACAAAATAAAATAGTGAAATTTAGGCAAAAAGGCAAGTCAAAAGTAAAATAAATCAGAATATGTTATAAATACTTACTTGCAAGATCTTTCTTTGAGCCAACAACTTTCTTCTCTTTGGCTCGAACTTCTGGTGAAGATCCTTCAAGAAGCGAGTGGCATCTGGAGTCAAGATCTTCTCATCACCGGCTTCGGTTGGGGCAGTGATAGTGACAATTTCATCTTCATCAGCTGGAGCGGTAGCGGTGTGGAATTGAGATTCTTCTGTTGATCCCTTAAGGGCAGCAGTCGAAGAAATTCCACCTGAAGCCGCAGTACCGACGTAATCAAAGTATCCGGTACCGACTTCACGTTGATGTTTGACAGCCGTGTAGCCAACGTTTTCGGCGGCGAATTCCTTTTCTTGAAGCTCGGAGTAGGCGGCCATTCCACGCTCTTTGTAGTTCTTGGCCAAATCAAAGACGGCAAAGTTGTTGGCGTGGAAGCCGGCCAATGTGATGAATTGGTATTTGAAGCCCATGGCACCCAACTCACGTTGGAACTTCTCCATATCTGATTGGCGTAAATGCTTGCGCCAGTTGAACGATGGTGAGCAGTTGTAGGCGAACATCTGGTCAGGGTAGTCACGACGTACTCCTTCAGCGAATTCCTTGGCATCGGCGAGGGTAGGATGAGAAGTTTCCATCCAGATGAGATCAGTGTAGGGAGCGTAGGCTTTGGCACGTTGAATACAGGCTTGAAGGGCTGTTTCTTCTTTCAGTTGGAAGAAGCCTTCTGGAGTTCGTGGCTTTGAGCGGTCAATGTGGAAGTGATCGGCTTCATCAATGTCACTGGTCAACAAACGAGCTGATTCAGCGTCAGTACGGGCCACAATGATGGTTGGTACTCCACAGACATCAGCAGCAAGACGAGCAGCATTTAAGTGCTTGATGTGTTGTGAGGTTGGGATAAGTACTTTACCACCCATGTGACCACACTTCTTTTCTGATCCCAGTTGATCTTCAAAGTGAACACCAGCTACACCAGATTCAATGTAAGCCTTCATGAGTTCGAAACAGTTCAAAGCTCCACCAAAACCGGCTTCAGCGTCAGCCACGATTGGAGCGTACCAGTCACGTTGAGCCTGGTAATCTTCAGCCTCAACACACTCAATTTGATCAGCTCTTCTCAAGGCCTTGTTGATTCTCTTGGCCAATTCTGGGCCTGAGTTAGCCGGGTACAACGATTGGTCAGGGTACATGTCACCAACCGAGTTGGCATCAGCGGCCACTTGCCAACCGGACAAGTAAATGGCTTTGAGGCCAGCACGGACCATTTGAACGGCTTGGTTACCAGTAAGGGCACCTAAAGCTGGTACGAACGGCTCGGTGTGCAAAAGTTGCCATAGCTTGTTGGCACCGCGTGTAGCTAACGTATATTCAATATCGAAGGATCCGCGAAGCTTGAGGACATCTTCGACTTCGTAGTTACGCTTAATTCCCTTGTAGCGACCTTTTGGGGCGGATTTTACAACCTAAAATTATTATTTTTCAGTTTTTTGAGGTTTTAGTCAAATAATTTTCTTTGACAAATTACTTTTTCATTTTAATAAAGTGAATTATTTTACTGCTACTTTTTTATAAAATTAGTACTACTTCCTTCAAGCTTGATAAATAGTTAAATCCTTTAGCGACTAGAAATACGCTAAAGGAGATTTGGACAGATGCTATGGCCATTTATTTGATGGCCATTAATCAAACGGCTAAACTTATTTAGAAACTGATAAAAAGAACTTGATCTTTTATATATCCTTGGGTTAGTTTTTAAAACAAAAGGTCACTATACTATTCAAAAGTCTTTAAATCTTGTTATAATAGTACAAAAAGTCTAAAAAAAGTTGTCGTACTAGTATTAAACGACGTAGAACTTTGTCATGTTAATACTAAAAGGCTTGATAGATTTGGTACAAAAGGTGCTAAAAGCTTCTTTTAAGTGAAAAAAGGCTTATTATAGTTAATTTAATTTTATAATATGTTAACTATGACAATAAAGATAAAGGCTTACCTGATAAAAATTCTTTGAGACCTGGGACATTTCTGGTTATGTTAATATAGTTTGCAATTAAATGGGTTACCCGTCCTGCTATGGACTAGATGTGTTGTGGAGTCTTCTGAAATATTAAAAATGCAATATTACGTTTAGGGGAAACTGTAAAATACGAATATGTAATATCAAATGTAAAAATAAAGTAAAAATCTAAATCACCAAAATTTTTTAAACAATGAAGCAATAGTAAAATGCGAATATATTTCAAGCGTACAAGAATATTATAAGACAAACGTTAACTTTATGAACTTTTGTAACACAATATTTAAATTATGTTGCTTTTAAGCCTAATGTTTACTTGAAACAATTAAGACAACCCCAAAAACATTAAACCCTGTAACAAACAATGTACGTTTATACAACTGCCATTCAACTAAAAATGTTTACACGAACGCAGAAACGGTGTAATCACTTGCACGGCCTTTATATACCAAGAGTTTATCATCACTCTTATAAGGGCTTCCTCTCAACACGAGTAACCTACAGCTGGTCGAATCGAGAGACTGCTAGAACAATGATAGGCCTCTGATTCCTAGCAAATTAGATATTAATGAAACTCAAAGAGTTTGCTTGATAATAAGAGACGGAAGATAAAAAAATGGGCGGTGCTACGATATGGTGGAACCCCCTTCTTTAATTTGATGCGGCCTCGTGTTGTTTACAGCGGTCATTCTTTGTGGGACTGATCAACCCCCAATCAGTCTTTCGCCGATTTTTATCGCCTCCCGGCTTGTTTTTGATTCCACAGCACAAAGTCCATTATTAAAAGTTGGAGACATTGTGTTGGGTGATGACAGCTGGCTAGAGGGATGGACAGTTGAAGAGTGATAGAGTGGTAGAGTCGAAGAAGTTGTAAGAAATGTAGAAGGCTTCGGCATGAAGAAAGAGATACAGTAGAGTAAAGATAGATTAGAGTGAGATAAAGAGTGAAAAGATGACAATTGAAGGATCATTGTCAGAGGTTGAAGAGATCATTTGTACTTTAAAGGTTGACCAGACAAGAACTGAAAAATCAAAGAACTATAAACCTAAAAATAGCCGTTTTGACCTGTTTTAAGCTACAGTTCATGGTTTACAAATCAAAATATACTTTATCAGGTAGCTTAGAATTGAATTAAACGCAATGTTCTTCAAGTTTTTATCAAAAAATACGTTTTTTGAAACATTGAAACAATCAAATTTGATGTAAAAACTTCTAAAAACACACTGTTTATATACTGTAAAATCGCCAAAGTTATCGAAAACAAATAACCTTGACGGTCGTGCAAAAATGATAAAAACAACCCCCAAAACGGCTAGAAGTTATTTGTTTTGATATAAATGTCTGCAATATTACTCTTTACACTTGATTTTGACAAAAGATAACGTGTTTTTGAGAGGTATTTTTATTAATCAGCTGATGAAAAGCAGTTCAAACGGTTATGCAAAGTGAGATATTATTGAATTTGGATTGAGTTGCTTGAGAAATTTGGTAATTTACGGTGTATTTTTGAGGTGTAGAGTGCTGATAAAAAGTAAAACTAGGTATTGTGCATTTTGAAGAGATTTTAAACACGAAAAACGGTTTTCATACATGATTTTGTTTTTGAGGTTATATACTACATGTATAATATAGCGTTACGTACACTATAACATCAAAAATAACCCAAGGATAGATGCTGCACATTGTGAGAAATATAAAGTAATTTTAAGAGACTTTACAGATCAAAACAATTTTTACAAGATGTAAAAGACAATTTAAGCCAAAGATACACTATAGAGTGATACAAATTACGATTAACTCCGCCTTCTGAAAGCGAAGCGATTCGCTGCGTTATGAATCAAAGTCCAGTGGAGGCACGTGGGGACTGACTACAATCGTAAAAGGGCGATAAACAAGCCCGTTCTTTGATCAAGCCCAATATGTCAAGGCGGTTTCGAGCACTGTTTCGTTGCGTCGTACTCTGTGCTCAATCAGTAAACGTTGTTTTTTGATTTGAAGGCCTGAGAAGTGATTCAACGGGTTTGGAGGAGATTGTTATCTGAATGTGCGTTGAAAATTGAAGTATAGAAGTTTTGTTTTCATTAGACTAACGTTTTGGTCTGGGCTTAAAAATCGGTCCGAACTCATGCTTATGTTCAGTTTTATGTATAGGTCTCTATAGAAGTCTAGCTCAAGTTTTGAATAGTTTCTGGGGTTTTTAAAGCTTTTTGATTAGCCTTGGTTTATGGAGCTGGTCGCGCTAATGTTAGGCTTAGCTTATAAATTGCCCTCTTATGGTTCTTGACCAGTCTTACTCCTAAACTATGTCTACTTTTGATTTGTCTACCTAAAAACATTTTTGTTCTGACCATTGTTCTGGTCAAGTTCTTTAGTCTGTTCTTTAGTAAACCATGTTTTTCGTTTCTCCGCAATGTGATATGTTTCATTTTGGTGCAATATGCTTCGTTCTCTGGTCGTATTAACTGTTTCAAGCTGAATTATGGTTTCATTGGAGTTGATGAAGTGTTCTTTAGACTAGGAAATAATCACGTTTGATTGAATGAAGGTTTATAATAACGCTTTATGTGAGTGTAAAGAAGTTCAGCGGTTGATAATAAAAGGAAAATGTGAAAAGAATACAAGAAATAATATTGTAAAACAAGAATGGCAATTCAAAATACCAAAATATGAAGGACAAGTTGATAGTTTATTATTATGTTCTTCATACGGTTTATACAGACACAAGGTTTATGGCATGTCTAACGTAATAAGCATGATCACATAATAGCCTTTTACGATAATTTGTTTAAAGTTATCTGAATTTATGATTGGTCAGATCTGGTTTTGTAAAATACGGGCTAGCACAGATTAAGATAACATAAGAATTATATTTGGTATGATGAGAGCCGACTAGATTGTCATTTTTACCAAGTATGGCATGTTATTTTTGTCAAAATAAACTTTAAGAAAAAAGTTTAACATTACAATTGAAATTCACTTTGTTATGACAGGAGATGTGACCCCAAACTTGTGGAAGTGCCCTTCCACGTCTACCGACAAAATTAGTCATCGTGACAAAGTACAATGTCTGTAATACCACATCAACAGGTGTATAGCCAAACATCGCCGCACCTCGTGAGCTCAAAGAACGCGAGCAAAGAAGAACGGCGGAGAACGATTCTCCCAACGCCATGTGATTCGAAAAAATAGCAAAGTAAAATAGTGATAAGAATAACGCCGAAAAGAGCCATCAGTTATCGTTTCAATGATCAAAGTTTTACCCAAAAAAGCGTTTCGCTAAACAATTTGTTTGCTCCGAGGAAGTCGTACTTTGCGTCTTTGTTTTATATTGTGATAGAGATGGCTAGTAAAGATTTGTGGTAAAAAACGTCTGTGGCTCTACAATTTCATCCATGGTTATTAAAAAATTTTAAAAAGTATAAGAAAATCAACCTTGTAAAAGTAAAGAGGCCTTATTAGTATAACTTTACAAGAGAGTTGCACAAAATATCTCATGGATTTTAGAGCAAGACTTACTTTGGATAAAAAAGAATAAAAAGTTACCGGGAAAGCGATTTTCTTAAACATTAGAATTTCCTAGTTTCTAGTAGGTACACAATGTTTAATAGGTATAGATACTTACTATAAACTTTTTTTGATTTTTTAGATTTTTAGTTTACGATTGTAAGTCTGGGCTTGATGCAGATAAAAAACTTTAAATTTTCTTTAAATTACTGTATTTTTAAGCTTTTTTTTGTATTGAAAATTTTGATTTTAGCTTAAAATGTCATTATTTTTTTAAGTTTTATGGATGCACGGGCGGAGGTATGGCAACTTGGTATTTTTTCTTAAGCTTTTCCAACCTTACCCTAAATTTTTTAGACGAGGAACGGGCCGGGTTTTTCAGGCCAGGCCTTGATTTTCAAGCCCAGCTCGACCTAATTTTGGGCTAATGCCGGCCCGTCTCCAATTCTAAATTTTATAGAGGGTGCGCCAAAAGTTCTGTTACACGGTTTTTGAACTTTTGGCGGCTGTGATGTTGTTGTAATGAAAAACAATTTAGGAAGTTTTTAGTAAAAAGTTATTTTAAAGTAAAAAAGCTATTTTAGGCTTATTTGTAACAAAACTAGTTAAGTAGAGTACACTTTTGGTTTTTTAAACTTATTTTTACAATATCAAGCTTTTTTTTCATTTACATCAGTAATAGGTTTCTTTTCTGGGTTGTTGATTTGTTTACAAACCTTTAATCAGCGAAAAATTTCTTTTTGAAGACAAAACCAGATGATAAAAATGTATCATTTTCATTTCTATCATTATTACGTGATCTGATTCACAGACGTCAACTTTTACACGTTACGGTCATAAGCATAGTAAAATGAATACTTTGATTTACAATTGCCACGTAAACATATCAACTTACACTCGTAAAGCTCAAAGATATCGCATATGGTTTCGACGACATTGAACCACGCTTTTCTTGATTAAACGGCGATTGTTTACTTTATGATAGGTGCAAAGTCCATTGTAATTAATGAGCGAGAACATAATGAGAATAAGTTTGGTACACTTGGTGGGCTGTGATGTTGTTGTAATGAAAAACAATTTAGGAAGTTTTTAGTAAAAAGTTATTTTAAAGTAAAAAAGCTATTTTAGGCTTATTTGTAACAAAACTAGTTAAGTAGAAAGTGGTGTTTGTTGGCTTAAAATTAAAATGTATATAAAATCTTTAAATGTACTTATATTTTTTAATTTTTAAACGTAAATTTTATGGATCATCAAAAAAAGGGCTTGCAACGCAATGCCAAATATGCCAGATTGGTGCGAAACTTAAATATTTAAACTTTAAAACTCAAAAGCGCGAGCTAAATTTTTTATATGTACCATTTAATGATGGTGCAAACAATTTGTACAAAAACTTTTGGCTGGATTTTAGTGGGGCCCTTTTGGTACTTTCCTTGTTAGTCCTAATTTACCGTATTTGTTAGTAAATAACGTTTTCTACATATGATCTTTAGTTTCATGACAATATTATTATATAATATAATAATGTATGTACGTATTTGTTTATTATCAACTTATCATAAAATGAGATAATAATTACCAATTCTCTTTGCAATATATTGCAATACTCAAAACAAACTCTCTATGCACTTGAAAATTAAAATAGTTTTGGGCAGGCTTTGTTATGGTTATCATAAGTAATAAGCAAAAACGTATATAATATCAAGTGTAACAAGCAAAAACCAACATAATATCAAATACATTTATTAACCGACTAAAAAACAAAAAATATTTAAAAATATTTTTTAATTTAAAAAAAGCTAGAGATCATTGGCTAGACAGTTACGAAAAGAACAAGTGAGATTGTGAGTGAACCGCTGAGTTTTTTGATTGTTATTTTATAGTAAATCATGGGAATTATTGTAACATAACTTGTAAAAACATAAAAGTGACCAAAACGATACAGAAAAATATACAAATGGCATTTGAAGTAATGTTTAAAACAAAAAATACTATTGACTGGGTTACAATTATTACAAAATAAATGAATCAAAAATAAGTGAGCTTGTAGTATAATATAATATTTGCTTTTTCACATTATGGCACATGACAATATAGTAGTAACTGACATAGAAAGACAAGTTTATGACATTCTTTTTTTAGCTTTAATATTACAAGACTATTTTCTACTTTTTACTACTTATTTCAAACGATCTATTAGACTTATTGTGCTCTTATTAGACTATTAGTCTCGTTAGACCAGTATTCTTATCAGACTAATCCTATCAATCATATTGTAGTAGCTTCTACCGAACTTTACAAAGACACTATTTCGGTAACTTGTATTAGGTTCTTCAAATAATTCTGCCCTCTCTCAGAGCAAATTTAAAGCGCTAGGGGCACATAATTATTTGAGAAACCTAATACAATATCCTTTCTAAATATTTAATATCCGTACCCATATCCCTGCATGTCAATCTTGATTGTCGGGAACTTGCCATCTCCCTCGTCATCGCTACTCGAATTTTGTCGTGGAGGACCATTACCATTAGTACCACCACCACCTTGCATTGCGTAAGCAGCAAAGTCATCCGAAGCTGGCGCATTGTCAAAGGGATTGAAAGTTGAGGTAGGTTCTTGAGTTACGACTTCAGGCTCGTTCAGACGCCGTTCTTCCTCTTCTTGCTTCATTTTGGCTAGCTGTTCTTCTGTGTATTGGACTCCGTAGCTGAAAAATGAGGAAATTAGGTGGTTATTTTGGGGAATTAGAAGAGAAGGTGATTTTTGGGTAACAAAAAGTTCAGATTTTAACAAACTACGCTTATAAGTTTTTAAATTAGGGTGAAAAAAAATGCCAAAATGCTTACCCTTCATGTTGATCTTTCATTTCATCAGGCTTGAACATTGCCTCATGTTGTTTGGCTTGGTATCCGATATGAACATCAGTATCATCGTCCAATGTATTACACTGTACGTAGTCGATCTCCATCTAAAATACGATTATATTAATATGATTTATAAGAAAATCAATTTGATATTGAACACCATTTGCTTTACATTTGACTATCTCTAACTTTACCTAACCCATTTTACTTTACCTTATCTTCCTGTATCCTGACTATCTTACCCTGTCTTACTCTACTCCTCCCTGTCCTACTGTACCATACCTCTTACTTCCTTACCATTACCCTTCCCTAAATGGTAAATAAAAAAAAACTTGCATCGTATTTGCACTTAGCAACATATCGCACAAACTTCTCCACCCTATCGCTGTCTTCATGTTGTTCAACACTGACAGACCTAACCACAGTATTACTAATCGTAGCCAATGGCATGGTGAACTCCACATCACAGGTTTGTCGAAATTCTTCTGGCATCAAATCGAACGAACTCAGATCGAATCTACACTTGAGAAGATGTTGTTTATAGGCTTGATGATGCTTCTCTGGTAACCGTGGTATCCGCCACACCAAACTACGGTAAACATGTTCGTATTTGGCTTCACCTGTAGCCACTTCGATCAAAGTTTGCTCAGTATGTTGTACTGAACCTATCAGACGGTCTTTCAGGTTCTTCATCTTGCCAGTACGTCGAGTTTTGGAGTGTACTGACCCAACACCCCAGGTTCGTTCCTCTCTGAAGATGTAGATCCAGGCTTCTGGAATCGGGAAGCGAATCTGAATATCTTCACATGGAATCGTCCTGGCTGACTCCACAGTACCTCGAGCACGTTGTTGTTGAGCTGCTGCCATTACATCGATCTTGATCTCTATCTTGCTTCCGGCTATCTTCATGATGCTCTTGACTGACAATGGCTTTTCTCGATTCTTGGGAGGTCGGATTCTGAACCTGAGGATCTCGAAGAAACAGGAATCTGGTGGTGTAACTTTAACTACTTGCTCTTCTTCCCATTCCTTCTCGTCTACAGAATTATGAAACTCCATTCCTTCGAATCTTATCCATCTTTCTGTGTACATTGGCAATATATCCTTCCTTCTCACGATTTCTTTACCTTCCCTTCTTCGATCATTCAAACCAATCTCCAGGAAAGGTGATCCAGTCAAAAAGCTAAGGCAAAACATTCTCACTCTTGCACGTTGATTCGATACGTTACCCAGTTTATCAACGTGAGCAGCGTACTCATCGTGACAATGAATCTGAACTTCGTCTTGTTTGTACAAAGGAGTCGAATCCCGTTTTGATGGACAATGGAACAAAATGTCTTCAATGGTGTTGATGAATGTCTCCAGAACCTGCGCATCCAAAGCCGCAAACTTGGCCAGAACGTTGACTTGAGCAGCGTGCTCCAAGGGTAAACCATACTTTGTGATATGACCTTCCACAAGCCTCGATATTTGTCCAGCTCGAATACCAACCCTTTCTTTGTACAAAACGTGTTGTAGTTTCACCGTGTGAATCTTCCCATATGCATCATAGGCTTGTAGCACTGAATCCGACAAAGAATACGTAGCTTGAAGCAGAATCTCCAGCAACGGTGTCCGATCGGTCTTTGAGCTGAAGATACGAAGCATCTTGTCCTCGATAGTCACGAAACATGGCTTCCAACATCTTTCCTGCATAAAAGACTTCTTTTTCAGCGGATGTCGGACCATCATTTCCCAGCCTTCGCCCGCAAATCGAGGTACAAAGTCTTCCAACGGAGCTGAATCGTCTTCATCGTACAGTGGAGTTGGGGTATGGGAATATAAAGCTGGGTCCTGAAAGAAAAAAGTTTAAAATTGAAATTAGTTACGTTAAAGATGCCATTTGCTTGAGTTTTACAGCAAAAGATCGATATTTTTGTCAAAAATAAAAACCCTGATAAATTTTGTGACATTACGACTTTTATCACTGTTTTTTGACACTTCGTCGCAGTAAAAATAAAAATAAAATTTTCTAAATTTTGAAGAATAATATTTTTAAATTTCAGATCCCTTACAGCTTTGAAATCGTCTTCAAATCCAGCCGGACGATCAGGAACTGGACTAGCTCCTTCTGTTGGAGTCGACGCTCGGCTACTGAGTCTACCGTCAACAACTGCTACACTCTCCTCCAGCAAACCGCCACTCTTCTCTTCGGCCTTTCGTTTCGCTTCTTCCATTATCTCTTCAATGGGCCGAGTATCGAATGGATCCGTGTCGAAGACGTTGTTCGAGAAGGCAGATGGAGCAAATGGATCGGCCGCCGCTTCTGAAGCACCACCGAACGCGTCGTCAGGTTTGGATTCTGTTGTTTGAGCAAAGAAGTCGGATTCTGATGTGGGTAAGGTGGCCGCGAACTCTTTGCCGCCATCAGTGGAGAACGCGGCCCAACCTTCTGGAATGGCTTCAGGTTCTGGAGGCTTTTGTTTTTCTGGAGCTTCGGCCGCTGGAGATTCTGGTTTTGGCGGTGATGGGGCTCTGCAGGTGTTTTATTAATTTATCATTGACTTTTATTAGTAGTTATTAGTATAATATTTTTTATTTCTCCTATTACGGGTCTTGTATAGCTTATATTACAAGGTTCTTCACCATGTTAATCTTGATTTATGTTAATTTCTTACGCAAAATATTAAGTTAGGTATGAATTTTTAATTGAAGATTGTAAACTCACGGTTGTTCAGGCTCTTCTGGAGCTTCAGCTTCTTCTTCCTCTCCTTCAGATTCAGCTTCTTCTTGTTCTGGTTGTTGTTCGTCTTTTACGCTTGGGTCTGAGCTGTCAGTCGGTGGTTTATAACCCTGAAACAAGTTTTTACTCTATGTTATCTTATATTTTACAAGGGGGTATTACAACTTTGTTCTGAAAGAGCATTTAAAATGATGAAGAAAACATCACATCCCTTTGTAAAATGTCCTATTTTATGGGTAATTCTTATGAATAAACCATACCTGCAAATCAGCTCTAGTAGCAGCCATTTTGGCGACCAGTTCAGCAGCTTTTCGTTCCATTTCCTCTTCCTTTTTGGGATCAAACCCAATTTTGTCTCTTTTCTTCTTGGCCACAGCTTTGGTTGCTTTTTTGTCAGCTTTTGCCTTCTTCTTCTCCTCTTGCATCTTTAGAATCTGTTTCTGAGCTGTCGTCAATTCGAACTGTTGTGTACCTCCAATCTGTCCCACATATGTTTCATCCTTGATCTCTTTGGCAGCACTAGTTTCAGACAGGTCTTTCAGTTTGTTTTCGGTCGATTTTACCGCACTTCCCACGGCTTCTGTCATCTGTTTGAAGCGAGCCCATGGATCTTCTTCTTCTTTTGGTTCTTCGACTTTTGGCGAGGCCATAGCGGCTGGTCGAGGCGGTGGAGGAACGCCGGGTTTGGCAGGACTAGCCGGTGGGGGTGGTGGACGGGAAGGGGGTGTTTTGCCGGCTGCTGGGGGTGTTGGACGGGGTGGGGCAGGTTTGTTTGATTCTTCTACTTCTACGGATAATTCTTCTCTTTCTGGTTCGGGAGTTCGAGCGGGTGGAGGTCGTGGTGGGGGTAGGCCACCGCTAGCTTCTTGAGCATCCCATGAGAATGGGTCTGGAGTTTTTGGTGCAGCTTGTGGTAATAATGGTTTTGTAAACATTTGAGGTGCTGGTGCTGTTGATCCGTAAGCATTATAGTCGTATGATTGAGACCCATAAGCGTTGTAATCTGTGGCTTCAGTACCGTAAGCTGAAGGGCTGACTTCTGCTCCGTAAGCCGATGTATCACCATTATATGCTCCTTCAGCTCCATAAGCATCGTAGTTTGTTGTGTTATAGCTTCCATATTGGTCATAATTTCCTTCTGTTTTACCATACGTGTCAGCTGCTTTTCCGTAAGCATCCGAATCCTCTGTCGTTACTGTAACATTAGTCGCGCCTTGCCCATAATCTCCCGTTCCGTAGCTACTGTAATCGTAGTTAACAGCCGGCTTCTCGGCGCTTTCTGTCAGATCCAAAGCACTTCCTGAAGCAGATTCATCAGTAGTCCCTCCATCGTCAGCTCCAACAGCCGAGGTACGGAGTCCTTCTTGATCATAGCCAGCGGCGTATGCTTTAGCGACTTCTGTAGTTGTTTGCTCTGCCCCAACGGCTTCAGATTCCATTCCGGCTTGGTCGTAGCCAGCGTTACATGCGGCCGCTTGAGCCGTAGTAGTTTGTTCTTCGCCTACTGCTGAGCTCACCGCACCATACTGATCATACCCAGCATTGTAAGCAGTGGGATCGTATGCCCCGTATTCGTATGTAGCAGGGTCATAACCTTCTTGACCATACCCTGCTGCATCGTAGTTTTGGTACTGTTGGTTTGTGTCATAATTGTAGCCTTGGTACGCTGCTTGGTCATATGCGGTTTGATCATAGCTTTGGGCTGTTTGATCATAACCTTGAGCCGTTTGATCGTATCCTTGTTGATTATAGGCACTCTGATCGTATGTTGAAGGTGGGTAGCCTGACTGTTCAGTACCGTACGCTGTTTGATCATATGATGCTGTGTTGTAATTGTAGGCATTTTGATCATACGAAGTGTTATACGCGTCGTAGTCATAGTTTTGTCCGTAGTAAGCGTTGGGGTCATATGATTGGGATGCGTCGTATGTTCCGTATGAGTCTGGAAGTAAAAATAGTACTATTTATAAGAATCTGGATTCAAAAGGACTGAAGTTCAAAATTTTGAAATTCATTTCAATTTATGTCGTACCGTATTATTTATGTCATACTGTATTATTTCAAGTCATCTGATAAATCTAAACCTCAAGCTCAAAAAAAAGTCACATACCGGTTCCATAAGCACTTCCATAGGCGTTTTGGTCGTAGTATGTTGAGGCATCATACTCAGGTACAACTTGCTCTTCCGCCTTCTTTTTACCTGGAGGTGGTGGTGGCGCAGCCCGTACTGGTACTGCGCCACCTTCCTTCTTTTCTGCTTCTGTTGTTGTTGTTGTGTCTGTGGGTTTCGTGTCTTCAGAACTTGTGGGAACTTCTTCTTTTGACAATTCTGACGCAAATATCGGCTTGGATTCTTCTGCGAATTGGATTTTAATTTTTGAAATTTAAAGTTTTTGGAGACTGAACCCTAATTTACCATAGCAAGATTTTTCAACTTCCAAATCAAGTTTTTGGGCAAATTAAAAAAAATTTAAAAGCTCAAACTTACCAGTCGATTCCTCTTTCCCAATAGACTTTACTGGTATTTCTGTGGCTTCTTCGATCACAGGTGTACCAGCAACTTCTGGCTCGGGCTTGGGATCGAATGGCGATAGTTCGGAGCTCATGAAGGCTTCGGCTGTCTCTCCAGATTCTGGCGGCTTCTCTGTTGACATTGCTGAAATGCAAAGGTTAATTTTAGAGAAATTGAGTCAGGTTTATGCATGAGGAATAGGTATAGAGAAAGCTCGACTGTAGGTATAGACAAAGTGCGTATAGACTAACTAGTAAGGTCGATTTAGGGTGGTAAAATCAGGCAGGATACTCATCCCCAAAGAATTTTTTTTAAAAAAAGTTCACCGCCTCCTCCTGCTTTTTCAGTAGCGAAACTTAGCAAAGATTTCACAGTATGATATTAATATTTGCACTAACTTTCAAATAGTACGCTCAATCCATAACGTGCTCACGTTTCCTTTTCTCGCAATTTCTTTCTCTTATATATTACACCTGAGTCGAGTGTAATACTCGCTTTGCAATACTTGAAAAAAGTCTGTGAGTCAACCTAATATTACTTTAGCGAACGTAGTAATACTTTAGTTGAGCCTAGTAATACTTTATTCAAACGTAATAATACTTTCGTATTCGAAAATCTCCTACCTTCGTGTGCCTAGAACACTTTTACCCTGAGGGCATCTGAGGATCGCACGGTTTTTTCTTTCCAAAAAACGGAAAAAATAAAATAACGGAAATTAGCAAAGTTTTCTCCAAGACCGCGGCCTAAAATTAAAACGGCTTCGATCCGGAAAGCGGAGGGCTAATTTGCTTACATTCTTGGCTTAATAACACCATAGGATTAATTAAAACGGCTGAATTTGGGGGTGGAATTAGGGTATTTGGGGTAGGAAGGGGTGATAGTGAGTTTATGAGGGAAAGTTGGTTGTAAGCCTATAGTTATAGTAAGTCTACGGGGAAAGGGTGGTAATAATTTGTTCAAATAATTCTGTGCCTCCTTTTGAAATAAATCTTTGGGGGGGGGGGGGGTTTAGGGGCACAGAATTATTTGAACGACCTAATAGAAAGTCTAAAAGGGAGGACTGGTAGAAAAGCTATAGGGAGGGGTTGTAGTAAGTCTGTAAGGAAAGTAGCAAGCGTATATAACTGATAGAAGTATGGAGAACAGTTTGCACCTTAACATCAAACTTTGGTAGTTTTTGGCATTATTTAAAAAATTCTTTTTATATTAAAGCTCTAGACTTTAAGTTAAAAAATGGTATTTATGTTTCCAATGAGGGGCAAGTCAAGTAATTAGCATTAGTGTGAGAATATGCTTTAGTACTTTGATTTTCTCACTAGCTAAACTAAAATAATATAGTTTTCAGTGTGTGGGATAGCAAAAGGTATGTTTTGAATTAAGGAACTAGTCAATGTTGGGCAGGTCTTTTTTTTTGGGAGAAGACAATAAAAAAATTTTTTACAAGCAATAAGCTACCTAATATTTTGTTTTGTATTTTTATCTTTTGTTAATATGTTACTCCTCAAAGTAGAGGCTAAAAGTCATTTTTATCTTACACCCTGCGCTTTCACAAAATGTCAAACCCTACCCCAGCATGTTCGAAACGATACCCCAACATTCCGAAACCACCCCACCAACCCGCAATTTGATACACAACAACCTAATCTGTAAAAAACGAAAAAACACTGAAAACGGTCGTCATTTCACAACGCCTCGCCTCCTGAAATTCGCTTCCAAATCCGCAAAAACCTTGGCGAAAAGAAAACAAAGTAGGACATGTACATACAAGATATTGGGAAATGTTTTTGTCGTAGCCTAGGCACTATTATAAGCCGTCAGAGAGTTCTTTGCGCCCAACGAAAAAGCGTCGAAAGCCTCCGGACCGACCGTTTTCCAATACTTTTTTGGGCCGTTTTACTGCGTCGTACTCGCGGAAACGCCGCCGCCCGGGTTAGGGCGGGCAGAGGGGGGGGAGTTAAAGAGGGAGGGGGTTATGCGGCCGAATGAATACTAAATAGTTGGGGTTTATTTTTTAGTGAATACTTTAATGTCGGGATTACACATTGGGAACGGGTTGGCCAAACCGGGCTTTTTAACTAGGCCCGTGCCCAAAAAAATTTAAATTTTTAGTTTTAATTCACGTTTTTTAAACAAGTCGGACCTAAAAAAAATTTTAGCCGGCCCGGGCTTGAGTAAAATGAAAAACAGGCCGGCCTAACATTCAAGCCTTTCCATGTCTAGCCAGGCTTACATTAAAGGAGCGTTCTGTTCCAAACGTCTAGCCGGGCTTGAGGGAATGTTTTAAAGTTTATGGTAGAGGCATATGGATTGTCAAATTATGTGGTTCAATTGACTAAATGGCCAAGGGGTTTATGCTTGAAATTGGGTTTAAACTGATGTTGCTGACAAAAAATGACATTTTCAAGGAATATGAACAAAGACTAACAATAAGACTGGAAAGAAACAGCTGGAACATTTTTTTCAAATTGAAAAATTAAAAATTTGCCTTGGCTTTTTTAGACATATCTGGCTTCAGAGTTTATGTTTAGGTCTAATTGACCTCCTTCTCCTTCTCACACTATCCAGCTCACGTTAAAAATGGCTAAAACCTTACGACTAGCGAAAAGCAAGACTACCCACCGTTAAAATGGGAAAACTTAAGATTACCCACCCCACATGAAAAAATGCTAAAACTAAGACTACCCACCTCATAAAAAAATGGCGAGACTGTAAATAGCCATTCATCATTCTAAAATGAAAATTTTGAAAAAAAAACAAAATACAGTGCTTTCTCACAGTCAATTTGTTTGTTTTGGCATACGTCAAAAACAATAAATTAGTGTAATTGACACTTCAATTATCGTACAAAACAAAAAAATGTAAGGTCATTTTAATATTTTTGTTTTTCCGGAACTAGAAATTTGATAAAAGGCTGGCTCAAACATTTACAACAAATTTAAATTTTAAAAAACTGAAAATTTGCATATGTAGTAGAACACATTTCACCCTCCCTAATAAGTAAAAATTTTAAATTTTAAATTTGAACTTACCTGAAGTTTGACTTTGATTCTTGGCTGCCACCCAATCAGCGACCTTCTTCTCTGTTACTGAGTTCTGGCGTTCCCATTCTTGATCAAAATCAAAGTCTACACTACCTTGACGACTGCCAGATCGTGACCGATACTTTGGTTGCTCCATGGATTCATAGAAATCTGACCATGACATCGAGTTTCGACGTCGACCTGAACCTAAAAGTTGGATTGAGCAAAAAATTACAGTAGACTACTCGATTACTCCAATCTACTTTACACAAAACTACAGTAGCCTTACCGTTACTACTCTTAGCATTCGGGATAGAAACCCTGATCCTAGCCCCAGCATCTGGCGGTGGTTGGTCTCTGAGTTTTCGTTTCTTTGGTTCTTCATCTTCTTTTTGCTTTACATATTGATCTAACACGTTCCATGAGGTGGGTGTTGTCGCTCTAGGTCGTTGTACAGCTGCTTGAGCATAAGCTTGTCGTATCTCCGACTTTTCATTCGTATCCATATCAGATGGTCTTGTTCGGGGTGTTGAGGTTGAGGTACTGAAAGGATTTTTATATTTAAGCACGGTACTCATTTTTTTAATTTTTTTGAATTGAAAAAATTTTAATTGAAAAGGTAAAAAATTGACAGTTTTTAAAATGTTGGTGATGTCACAATTTTTGCAAATTCGACAGTAATTACCTTTGAATATTCATGATTTCCGTGTCCAAATCATCATCACCGTCCTTGAGTAAACTCTTGTGCATCTCAAACTCGGTATCGACGAATTCTGGGCCGGCGACGGTCATCTGATACTTTTGCGTCTCACCTAATCTGGGATCCACTTTTTCATCTTCTTTCAACTTCCCCACCTAAAGCATGATTATTATATTATAATATTTACAGAATTGCAGAGTAAAGCTTGGTGGGGTAAGGTAGAACAGGTCAGATTATGGTGAGATATAGCAGGGAAAAGCAGGACAGGACAGGTTAGGACAAGGCAAGACATGGTAGGGCAAAACACGGCACAGCAGCGCAAGACAAGAAAGGATAGGCCAGATTATGCAATAGGACAGTGCAGGGCAAGGAAAAACAGGTTAGGGAGGGGCAGGATAGCAAAGCAGGGCAAAACAGGGCGAGGCCAGGCAGAGCACGGCAAGGTAAAGCAGGGCAAGGCAAGGCAGATTAGGGCAATATACTGTATTATATACAGGGTAGAATTAAAAAAAGTAAAAATTAGTCTACCTCAATAATAGTCTCAATGGTACTGCTCTCCTTCATCCTCCCACCGTACGAGTGTTCGTAGCAGTCGATGTCCAAATTCGGTGGTAATTCGGGCATTGGAGGGAAATCCATTTCTACTGACTCGGTAAACGATCGTATCGCTTCTTGCTCTTTGCGTAGCATTTCTATGTCAAATTCATCTGAAAATGTGACATTTTTCGTTGTAAATTCTATAAGTTGTTATTTAAAATGGCATTTTTACCACTCAAAAGACAGATATTCGTATTTTACAAAAATTCAAGTCTATACCCTTTTCTCACAAGTTTTTTAAGACTTTTACCCCTCCCTCTCCCTCCTCCCTTCCACACTCATTTTACAATTTTTTTGTTAAAATTAATTTTAAAAAACAACCCCCAAAGCCCAAAATATAGCACAGAAAGTGAACTTCATACTACGGCTTCGGCACGGCCCGAACCGACTTGTCAAGAAAGAATGAAACCGAAACAGGGAAAACAAAAACTATACAACTTATCCTTTGGCAAGAAAAAAATTTTACTCTTACGGCTTCGGAATATTTGGCTTTTGAAAAGAAAATTGGCCTATTCCCGTTCGTGGCCCTAACATTTTATGATATGTAAAACAAGCATATAGATGTTCATCGTATGTTTGCTATGCGTAAGGTTAAAAATTAAAAATGCTAAGGCTGGAGCTAAGGTTTGGGTTAAAGCTTGGAGCTAAGGTTTAAGGCTAGAGCTCAGACTAGGGCTCAGGCTAGGGCTGAAGCTAAGGCTATAGGTAGAGTTAAGGCTAGGGCTAGGACTAGGGTTATGGCTTGGACAATGGCTAGGGCTAGAGCTCAGGCTGGGGCTAAAGCTATAGGTAGAGTTAAAGCTAGGGCCAGGGTTATGGCTAGGACAATGGCTAGGGGGAAGGCTGAGGCCAGGGCTTTGGCTAGGGCTAGCTTACTGTAAGCAAAGGCTGACTAGGGTTAGGGCCAAATCTGGGGCTAGGACTGAATTCAAAGATGCGACTTATCTGGAGCCAGGACTAATGCTAGACCAAAATTAGGTAACACTAGAAAAAACAAATCAAGAAATCCAAAAAAATTCAAAAATCAATGTAAGTTCATAGTATATACAACTAAAAACCCAAGTAAATCTAAAAGAACACAGTCTTTTAAAGAACGGAGACCGCCATCTGAATAAACGCAGAATAATATGTTGTTGACAAACATGTAAACAGAATATTGGCCATAGAATTGGGAAAATATATTTCACAAAGAATAGGGCAGTTAATTAACGATCATGAAAGGGTCCCTCTAACCATAGCACAAAAAAAATTTTTTTTATTTTACTTGCCCTGTACCCTTTTTTTCCTTCCCTCCCCCCTCTTTCAAAGGCATTTTGGCTTTAAAAAAGCTGTGAAAAGCGTTGAAATTTAAAGTTAACGATAAAATTTTATAATTTTTCAAAAATATCTTACTAGTTTAGATATTTACCTAAATTTAAAAACACAATTCAAAGCCAATACCCCTCAAAAACGATTCGAAAAACGATAACTCGGTTGAAACAAATCTTGCCAAAGGAAAAGTAACAAAGCCGAGAATTTACCCCTCCGTTTTTCTTTATCCCCGGTTCTTCCTTTTGGCCATTTCAGCCTCTTTGGCCATATTTGTAAAAAACGCCATTTTTGCTCTCTTCCTAATTTTAAGTTTTCCCCGCGGCCACAAATCCGACCAGTCCTTTAACGTGGCCAATTTTAGAGGTGGCGGTTAGTGTTTTTGGTAATTTTTGTTAATTTGGGTAGTTTTATTTCTTAAAAATTGAAATTTTTCCTTTACTCTACCTTATCTTGCCTTACTCTAAAATAAGCTGCCCTACCCTACATAACCCTACCCTACAATACCCTATCCTACCCTACATTACGGCTTTTAAACTATAGCAATAATTAAAAGTATATTCCCTGCCCTGCCCTTCCCTGCTATGTCTGGCCCTGTTTTGCCATACCTTACTCTACCCTACCCTAAAAAATGAAATTTTTTTTTAATTTTAGGTATAAAAAGAAATTTTATTTTCTCAAAAAATATTCCCCTACCTGAACTGTTATCAGTGGAGATACTAGCGACTCGCTTGAAGGCTTCGCGACCCGCATTCACGTTGAAACCAGCCGGTTGGACGCTAGCCGCTCTCGGTCTGTGTTCCATATCTTTGGCCGAAATCTTTTTCCAATAATTTCCACGAGATTTCGCGTCGGCAATGTCAAGATTTATTTGAATAACTAAATACACTTCTTAATTCATTCGCATTTTAAATCTGACATTCATACGATTTTGGGTTTGGAAAGGGTTTTCGAAAAGCTAGGTTTTTCGACCGGGCTGAGATAAAATTTTTAAAATATTGGCCGGGTTGGGCTTGATGTTAAACCGGTTTAAAATTTTCCAAAAAGTCAGGCCTATAATTATAGAGATAAAAAGTAAGTTTTAAAAAAACTTACCAGACAATAGTCAAGAAAACGCTTCCTTTCAGAGCCATACAGCCCTAAAACAGGATGTTTTTAATCAAAATATTAAGTACATTGCAATTAAGGCAATTAAAATTGAAAAACCGATTTTAATAATCTTTTTTAAACACGCTTTGTTCTACTAAAACACTAAAAAAATTTAAAAAAAGTTATTTTAGAACACATTTCTTACATCCCTTAAATCATACTTACCCCCCCCCCCCCTCCAAAGATTTGTAAAGCATTAAAATCTTCTTCTTTTCAACCCGAAATCACCCTGCTTGGCAGGGGCTTTCGATTTTTTACCGCCTATATTTTACAGTAGATCCTACCCCACCCGGTAACCCGGGGTCGGATCTATTGTAAAGCGCACTCTAACTCTAGGCCTAATTCTAGCCTTTACCTTGGCTTACCCTACCCTGCCCTACCCCACCCTACCCTACCCTACCCTACCCTACCCTACCCTACCCTACTATGCCCCTTACTCTTTCTTATCTACCCTAAACTACGACAAGTCAAGACCGTCATTAACAAGGCCCTATAGCAATAATAATACGACAATTACCCAAAAACTTCAAAAATATTCTCAACTCAAAAAATGGCCATTCAACTTGTTGTTATCGACCATCGTCCCTCCCTCGCTCCCTATCTCAATATCCGACCGTAAATAAACAAAAAAAGATTATTCGAAGCCGACGAATTAAGAATGCGAAAAGAACGAAAAATTGGAAATTTGATGACCAATAAAGGTTTTCGAGGAGGAAAGAAAAGAATTCTACCGCTGTTCCGTGCCCCCAGGAAATGTTTGGCCCTTGCGGCCAAGAGTGTTTTTTTTTTACTTTTTTAGCACCGAAGAAAGGGAACAAGGTTTCGAATTGCGCGGCGTTGGAAAGTTTTCAAACTCGATGACGTTTCTTATCGGAGTCGTGATGGGATGGAGATAAAAGAAGGGTTTTTTCAAATATATTCTAGTTTCAAAACTTAAAAGTTCATTTTAAGATGTATTAGTTTAGGATAGATAATATTAAAATTTTAAATATGTTTAATAATATACAGTGGAACCCCTTTAGTACGACCCTCAATACAACTATCGAGTCGATAGTATCCCAGCCTCTTTATAATGAAAGCTTTCTGACTGCCCTTTGTAATAAAGCTCCGATCAAAAACTACCTGGACATTGTTCCACTATGGTTATTTATCATGGCACTTTAGTCCAGTCCTCTTGAGTGTCATACTAACATAAATTTTTAGCACACTCATATTTGGAAAAAAATCAACTTTTAAAAATCGTATTTCCCCCTACATAACTTAACACAAGCATATAAGCAAAACACAAACCAAAAATTTTCCTATTACCTACTTGAACCATAAATCTGATAGACCACAACTAAACGACTCAATTCCCCCAAATCAAAGAATAAGGTTAAAATGCTGAAAGTAAAGACCACGAAAACACTTTTGGAAAAATTAAATTTCCAAGTATGAGCAAAAGTGTTTTGCTCGCAAAAAAACTTGTCTTCAAACTTTGATGGCATTATAACGAAACGTCGGGAATTCAATTTTTCGCCTGCAAAAAGCGGAACATAACTTTGGCATTTCTCGAGACATCTACAACAAGATTGCCCTTTTAAGACTTTAATGTGACATAGTTGGTCTAAACCCACCACAAAAAAAATATTAAAAGTTGTGTATACAGCTATAATAGGTTGACATCATGAGACATTTCCAAAAACTTCAAATTTTATAACAATTTTATTTGTCATTTACAAATTTCTTTTTGACAACTTTCTTTCCCTTCTTTTCTTTTTTTTCTTTTATTAGCCGTTCAGCTTGGGTCCCACCACGATAAATGTTGCCGTGGGCATCGCCTGCTAAAATGAATTAGAAAAAAATATTTTTATTGTGAGAGTGAAAATGGAGAGAAAATACGTTTTAATGTGGCAATGTTGATTATATTTTTTTAATAAAAAGGGTTTTAATATGTAAGTTTGAATACGTACGCGGATACAACGGAATTTATTAGTGCACAGTACATAATACTATAATAATAATAAAGTAACATATTGATTATTTTTAATAGTTAGAGTCAACACGAATATCAAGAATCGGTTTGCGGAGATCATCTTCCTGCTCTCCGGCCAAGAACTCCTGAATTGTCATCTTCATCAAATTCTTCTCTTTGTCATCGAGAGTTGAGATCATGTACTTCAAATCCAAATCAACCCAACTTGTATTTCTTTTACTGTACTGATCAAACTCCTCAATGTCGTATGTTAGAGAGCGATCTCTTCCCACTGAGTATAACGTAATAACTGTTTTGATCAAAGTAATAAGACACAAAGCACATCCAATTGCTACTCCACCAAAATACAAAACAAATGTTGTCAAGGTGAGGTAGAACGCTTTGTAATCAAAGTCAATGAAAACAACTGGCGTAGAGGTATCGTTGAGCATGGTATCGGTTACACACAACATTTCCTGTAACAATATGGTTTTTAACTTTACTTTAATCGTAGTTTTTGAGCTGGTTAAAACAAGATTTATAGATTAGATTGAAAATGGAAGCAAGGAAATGTAAAATCCCATAAAAATTACCTCAGAAAGTCGTTCGCGATTAGAAACCCATCTAGTTATCCATGGAATAACGTGGTAGATAGATTTGCCGAAGACAAAGTCCGCCATCAAATCCATGATGTGAACATTTGCAATTATTATGATCAAGTTCTCCCAAAAACACGAAGCATAGCAGGTTTTAAAACTTTTGTCTCCACATTTATTCTTCATTGCTTCAGTTCGATAGTTTTCCAAAAATTCAATAATATCGCTTTTTTTGTCAATTTATACCACATTACTGTTTCTCTAAACAGTACTTATAGGTTTAAGGCCATTTTACTACTACACATTGAAAGCAATAATTTTAACTTGAACATTTTTAATTTTAGGCCGTAATTTTGGGCTTAAGTTTAATTTTAAGCAGTACCTCTGAGCTTAAAAATATTTGATTTTCAGCCTTTAGTTTAATACAAATTCATAATTCTTATATATTATACAATGCTATACATTTCAAAAATGAGCATCAAAACTTACCAGTACAACAACTAAGTATCACAAAACAAATAAAAATCGGAAAATAGTACTCTCCTTTAGTTACTTTGAGGTATTCTGCAAAACTGAAGTTTGAAACAAAGGATGTGAAATTGGGGGGTTCGATGAACCTGATACAGTCCTCAGCAATGATGTTCGAATTTGACTAAAAGCTAACAAAATTTTAAAAAAATATTTTTTTTTCACTTTTTAAAAAAAAGAATTTTAAAATTATCCGTGTCCCACTGGACCTGTAAATGGACCAGGCTTATTCTTTTGGTCCGGCCCCGCCAAATCTGTCGTTGCATTTAGGCCTCAGCCCTATAAGAGCCCGTCCGGCTCCTTTCAATTTTGCTCCTTTTAAACTTACATTATTGAAAATCCCTGCAAGGTGCAGGCAGTCGTAGTTAGCTGACCAAAAAAATTCAATCATCAGAGAATACAATAGTAAAGCAGTATAAAGCAGAAGAGTGTACTTAGATGGAAGTGGAAACGCATATGACCATAACGTCCTTCGTTGCTCTGTTAGGGACTTTTCAGTCATTTTAATCGAAATTTACTTATTAAAATGGTATTTATATAAAATGTATAGATATATAATATATAAATTGAAAGAAGACCTAGAAAATATATTCAGTGCTGTGTAATATGGCAAATGGCGATCGACCGCTCTGTCTTTCGTAGGCAAACTAGAGCGTAAAACAGGCGCTAGGACAAATGCGGATTTTTTAAACAGTTTTTTAATTTTTTTAGTTAATTTAGTTGTAGTATGGGATTAAATGGTACTAAAGTTTGAATTGGTACTGTTTTAATATTTTTTAGTGCTAAATAGTACTAAATTTTAAATTGGTACTGTTATCTTGTCTGGTACTAAATGGTACTAAAAGCCCAAAGTGGTACTGTCATGTTAAAACCGTACCAATTTAAACCGTAGTACCAGGCCCGGGCGGGGATTGTTGGTCTGGGGGCAGGGGTCCAAAAAAACCGGCACAGGTAGCAGCTACCTTTTTTGCGAAATTTTTTTTCCGAAAATCCACAGGGGGGACCATGTTTAACTTTTTTCAAAAATTTTTTTCTGGGGGGGGTACCCCCCCCGTCCCCCCGCCCTCGCGCCCGGCCCTGCGTAGTACCATTTACCATACTACAGCTAAATTAACTAAAAAAAATTAAAAAAAAACTCTAAAAAATCCGCAAATGTCCAAAATCCGCATTTGTCCTAGCGCCGTTATGACAATAGAAGAAAATCAATGTCTAAGTACCTAGCTTAAAAACTACATATTACCATAACCAAATAGAAAGAAATGTACATAAAATGTTATTACGAACCACAAATTTTTCAATGAAACAAATTAAAAATCATATTGCTAATTTTTCTAATACTTGATCGTCTTTTAGTTATAACATGTGTATTCTTAGCATTACCTTGAGTACAACAGAAGGTACAGTGTTTCAAAATTTTCAACTAAAGCTTCAATAACGGCTGACAGTATTTTGTCGGGTAAACTTTCTCTTTTTTTGTTTTGCGCCAACTCTTATTCTATAAAATTATTTTTCTCCGCAAAGTATTTTCTGAAATCCTCGAAAAGCTTTATAGATTTGTCCTAGTTATCTGTTGTAAATAGTAAATATTAGTTTTTGTAGCTAAACATGAGTAGAAAAGTAAGTTTTATTATTATTTGCAGTTTTTAGATTATTTTCTTTGTTATAACTTATTTAAATTCTCGAAAAACCTACTTTAACATCAAAATTCTAAATAAACCTTTCAGATGTCGCCAGAAGAAGAGTTGGAGAAGCAGTACCGAGAATATAAAGCACAGTTTGAGCAATGGAGAGAAGCTAACAAGTATTTTTAGCAATTTTTTTAATTTTATTTTGGTGTTTAGGGGTTCAGAGGGTAGCGAAGGTTATATTCAGTACGTGAAGCAGTTCGAACAATGGGAAAGAGATGTTGAAGCTAGGAGAAAATCTGTTCGAGCTAAATCCGAGCAAGATCGACGACAACAAGCTTTGGAACTGCAGCAGAAACAACAAAATGATGAAGGTAACGACTTCTTTTGGCTTGCTTTCTTAGTTTTCATGTTTAATTAAATTTTTAAAGATTTTTGCTCTTTTTGACCATGATTAAGTTAAAATAGGTATTTTGATATAAATTTGGAGTGAAATTATTTTTTTTGAGTTATTTAAATGCTGGTTTTTAGTTTATATTGTTATAGGTTTATTTTTAAAAGTGAATAGCAGTTTTAGGGTTTTTTAAGATTTTAAAATTCATTTTAGGCAAAAGTTAAAACAATATTAATGTATTTATGATTTTAGACAGTAAATAATAGTTTGATATTGTTTTACAGTTAAAGGATAAATTATCTTGTTTTAGAAGCAGCAGCAAGATACGCTCAACAACAACAGAGTTATATGGCTATGCATCAAAAGGCCATGTTGGAGGAAGAAAGGATACGGCAGCAAAGGCAGAATCCCCAGCCAATTCCAGTGGAAGATAAAGGTAAGTTTTTGAAATTCAAAAGGTTGTAAAGGGGCTTTAAAATAGTTTGTCTTCAATGAACAAGTTAACTTTTAAAATTTTGGTTTGAGAAGAACATCAGATTTAAAAATTTTAATGAAAATTAAATTTTAAAATTTCAGCCAAACGAGGGCCTCACATTCAAGCAGAACCTCAGCCAACTCTTTCCTCTCAAAACCTTCAACGTACCGCGTTGTGGGGACCAGATGGAGCAGATTACACTCCAGCAGATCCAATGTTTGCTCGTTGGGGAGCTCGAGCAGCTCCACCCAATTACAATGTCACTTATCAGCCACCACCAAGTGAAGAACCTATCAATCCTTCGTGGTATTTGATGAAGAAGATGGAAGACAATGGATTGTTCTACAGTTACAATGTTAATATCAATGGTTTACCTGAGATCTCATTAGATGGAGTACCTGAAGGTGTGGTTAGTGCCAGTTTGAAGCCGGAGATGGCGGAGTTCAGGAATGATGTGTCATTACCTTCATCACAAGGGAGCTTGCCAGTACAACAGATGCCTATTGGGAGACCTGTGGCGTTGCCTTCGGACTTTTCTGTTCCCCCACCTTCTCTACTTTAAGATTTTGAGTAATAAATGTATTTATTTGGGATCTTGTTGGTGTTTGAGTTGTAATGACATTTTAATTGTTTTATCTATCTTACTGTTGGTTTTTAGGTATCTTGGTCTTTTATTTAATTTTTTTTGTTTTACATTACTTTTAAAGCTATATTTTTTATCAAAAGACAGATATGGAAATTTGAAAGATTTCTGTGATTTTTTAGCTTCAGTTTTATAATTTTCTAGCAAAATTATGACAATATTACCTTACAGAGTAATGTAATGGCCGTTTTTAAACAAATTCGATATGGAACACCATTTTTTCCGATGTATGCGGCTAAAGTTATGTCAGCCTTTCCTTCAAGCAGCAATTTCAAGCCAATTAATCCAGAATTGAACGATGTTCAGTCGTTTGATGTTGTGGTAGGTTATTGAAGGGTAATCTCTACTACAATATAGTATTTTTTTATGTTATGGTAAAACAATGTAAAACTATTATTGTCTTTAGCTTTTTTGAACTAACTCATCTTTGTTTCTAAATTACTTTCTTAAATTAATGTTAATTCAGGCTCCTCGAGCTTCCAATTCTGTCGTCAAAACCACCGGAGTACCTTCTGTAAGTCAAATCATAGGTTGTACAGATCCGATGGAGAACTTGTATCAATGGCAATTACAAATGATCAAAAAGCATGGTATTATGGGATTCAGACAGCATATGACGAGGAGAATGCAGGTTGGGACGTGCTTTCATAGTGTAGTAGAGCTGCTGTTGAAGGAACTGAAACAGAACGGAGAAATCGCGTCTACTCCTGAAAAAGTGTTGAGTATGGTAAGGATTTTTGAAGAGTTTTGGGATTTTTATGGATGTTTTAGGGCTTTTAGGTATTGCAATGACTTATTTATTGTATTTCCGATCAAAGTCTTAATGTGCTTATAAAAATTTAATTAAAAAAAATGATTGTTTTAGAAGCCAAATTGTGACCAATTCAAAGCTGAACTGAAAGGATATTTCAATGGGTTGTTGCCGTTCTTAAAAACATTGAAGAGCAATGACAATATCATACTAGAGGGGCGTGTTGATCATCCATACTTGTACTTCAGAGGCCGTTTTGATGCGATTGTAGAAATTGAGTAAGTTTTCTAGTCTTATTAGAGACTTTCATTTTAATTATGACATTTTTATGGTAATTTTATCATTTTCCACCACTTCGTTTCAGTGGAGACCTAACCCTAGTCGACTGGAAGACAATCAACAAAGAATCGGCCAAAAGTCAAGCTACAGAAGCCCAAACTCCGCAAGATCTCTTCTCAAATCCTCTACAATTGGCAGCCTATGTTTCGGCCGTGAATTGTTCATCTCTCTACCCAGAGTTACCAACAATTAAGAAAGCAGCCATAGTGTTGGCATACGAAGACAGAGACGATGTTGAGGTAGTCAAGATGGATCTGGAGAGTATTCAGGTGGGTTTAAAGTTTTGTTTTGGAAATTAAGTTAAAGTTTTTGCACAATTTATGGGCAGGGTAGGTGGTCGGTAAGGTTAAAAACTCAAAAACTATCCAAAAGTAATGTATAGATAAATTTTTAAAACAAAAAACTATGGAAATAGTAGTAAAACATCATGTTTTAGTTGCACTTTGACCACTTTCTCACCCGAATCAACAGATTTTGGTGGGGAGTTGAGAATAAAATGGAAAAAGGCGGTGTTGTCGACTTTCTCTACAACCCAGTGGCTAAAACTATCAACAAAATGAAAACTAAATCCGGTTGAAACACAACACTTGGTACAACAATATATTAAAATTCATGTGAAGTTTGATGGTTTTGTCTGTTACTAACTTGTATCATAGTTGGACCGCATTCAGGGTTGTTATGGCTCATACTTCATTAGGTCTAAAGAAGAATAATATTTATTACTGTGGAACTCCTGTATAACAAACTTCTCTATTTTGAAATTACCGTATAACGATCAAATTTTAACTTTTCGAACGATTTGTTATACTGGTGTTCAACTGTGTTATTGATCTGCTATTTCTTGCTCTAACTTAAATTTATATATTATGATGTGTTGTATCGCCTTTGTTATGAACATAGGGTCAAAAATACAGAAAGCAGGTTGGAAAACAATGTTTGAAAGAGCTATTATATTAACACAAAAAGTCAAAACTTTAAAAAAAGATGCAAAAATGGATTGTTTTTTGAATTTTTTAAAAAATTTGTAAAAGATTTTTTAATAGAAAGTGGCGGTAGTGTTGAGTTACTGACATGTAACTTTTTCAAATACACTAGCATTATTCTATCTGTTGGCTATAACATGATGGTTCTTATGAATGGGTAATTTTCTTTCTTTTTAGGTTTAGATTTAACGTATGTCAACGTACAAGAAGAACAAATATCCCAATTTTCAATATTAACATTTGTTTATTTCATTAACTCAACACAAAATACAACCAGAAAGACATAAGATGCTTATTACAATATTATTGTAAGAGTAACTGAACATGACCCGCCTCATCGAAGAAAAATAAAAATTAACAATACCGGCGGTAAAACAATTAAAAAAAAGGTAACAGAAGACCCGTAATTTATAAAAGATACGACAAATCTTTACTGTAACATCGGCTTTGATACAGTAATCCAGGAGTAGATCGTTATAGTCATCTAAGTGTAGACTGGTTACAGTAATGATGAATATCTAGATATACTGTAACTCTGTGAGTTGTTCTGTTAAAGATTTGCGTTATACAGAGTGATAAGAGAGAAAGTTTAGGTAAGAGAGTTGGATATTCACAATATTTGACAAATTATGTCATAATGACTGTCATCATGACAAAAAATAATAAAAAATCAAAAAATATGATCTGGCTGTGAGATCAACAATGATATTAAACATATTAATATTACTTATTATACATTAATATGTCATAAGTTATTATAAGAGCACTCGTAGTTTAGGTATTATTGACAGAATTCGACTTAATTTTCGGCGTCGAATGTGGTGGGATATACAACAAGATATACACAGTAATATGAAAGTAAATTAGGTACAAAAGGGTTATTGGTCCTGGTTTAAAGTAGTACTAGACGTTCTTAAAGTGGCTGAAATCATGGCACCGTACAGATGTTTTTTGATTTTGCCAAAACATATGGTATACTATACTACTGTAAAACCGCACTACTACAATATGAGAAATAAGGCGTCGATACAACATAGGAGAAAGATATTGTGTGCAAATTTGTACTAATATAGCATTATATTGCACATGGCAAACACGTATTCAAGATTGAATTGACTGATAAGAAATAAGATTTTAAAAGTAATGGCCAGTAAATGCTGGAAGACAAACGTAGTAAAAATCACAATATATTTGAATTTTGTCAAGAGTTGAATATCAAGCTTGAGGAAAGTGAAATTTAAAAAATTCAAATCCCCTTTTTGCTCTTCTTCCTCGAGCTCATGATGGTGAACCGGGACCGTTTCAGCAACGTATATCTCGGTCGCTCATCTTCACCATCACTGTCCGAATCCGACGACGATGAGGACGAAGCCGATGAGGAGGCCGGCGATGATCCACTGGAGCCGGCTGAAGTCGTGGGCTCGTCTTCATCGGAACTCTCATCCGATGTGTTGTTGAGGCGGAAGATCTTGTCTTCGAATTCCTCTTGGATTAGCACGCGCTTCAGGAGCGGAAGATCGTCTTGACGGCGGCGTTTCGTTTGCAGGAGCGCGATGTGACGTTGAAGCGCTTGACGAGTGGGCTTGCGCCATTTCGGTTTGCGCTGAAATTTTGAGATTATTTCGAATTGTTGAGAGTAAGCTCAGCATGAAGTATATTTTTGGTTTAAAACGTTTAGAATTTACAGTACAACATCTAAAGTACTTTGCTATTAGGAAGTGATAGTACTGAAAGTACTGAATGTGATACTTTAGAGAAAAAAGTGCACAACAGGACACTTCTAGTACTGTAAGGCCTAATTTAAAGCGCCCTTACCTGCTGAACGCCACCATTTTGAACACCGATTGAAGTGTTTGCTTCGGTCGTAAACTTGGTCATTTTCGAAAAGTTAAACCCGTTGCGATACTCACAAATGAAAGGAAAGGCCTGATTCTGAAGGTAGCTTGTTGAGCGACAAGTTTGGGATAAAGTCCTGAAGTTATATTAGGATCAGTAAAAGAAAAAAGCCGTTGAGATACAAGAAAATGTAAAACACGTTAATCACGCTTATGCATATGGTTAAAACGTCAAAATATTTAAAAAAAACGAATATATAAGGGAACCAAGAATAAAATACCGAGCGACAATAGTAACACGGAAAAATAATAATTTTAAAAACAGTAAGCTTATATGCTTATATATTGTTAAAACTGATGTAATTTTGTCCACAGTTTTAAAATATACACCATTTTAAAATGAAAATACAAATTCACATCATAAATAACCCGAAGATTGTAGTATAAACCCACTATAAATTTGGAAATACTAGTAAACATAACTTGTATAGGATATAAATTATGTCATTCAAATCGTTGTACATGCATATATGTAGTGCATGTTTAAAACACAAAACAAAACTTTTTGAAACTTCGAGTGGGGTGAGTAAATTCTAGAATTTATTTGAAAATTCTAAACGTAGCCTACTGTTGGTTTTGCGATTTTAGTTGGCTACTAATGGTTGTATATCAAATAAAAACATTTTAAAACGTCAAAATATAAAACAAGATGAAACAATCAATCCTAAAGCAAAGAACAATTTGTATAAAAATTACAGAAACTGCTTGGTTACAAAAACTAACAAAGATAAACCGAAAAAAAACAAAGATTCTGCAGAGATCACCTTCCCTTTTCACCACCAAAAACAAGGACGATATAGTTGCGTCTTGTGATTATTAAAACTTCACGTGGTTTGCAAATTTAATCAACGAAAAAAAAACAAAAAACAAACAGAAACCCGCTCCGGAGGCGATGTACTTGACATTGATATAATGCGCTATAAAACGGCATAAATCACTTGATAGAGGAAGTACAGTAAAGTAGTGATAAATAAGAAAAGATACTGGAATTTGAACGGATTTTAGGTAAAATACGGTTTGTTCTTATTCTATTTTTAAAAAATATATAAAGAAGGGACTAGCCATGTAAAGCATTTTATTATAAAGAACGATCTAGCTTTTTTTATAAAGGCTACTTCTATAAAGAACAGCCTAGTAATATAAAGAACGGCATAGCGTTCATAAAGAACAGTCTAGCCATACCCAATAGATAAAGGAAAGCAATATAGTCTTGGCTATATAGTCAGACCGATTTGCCATTTCTAATAAAGACAATTGAGCACCTAATCTGCACTTTCACACTGCCACACATATTATAACATTGGGAACGTGAAAGGACACAAAGAACACGCCCAACGAACAGACTGCTCTCTCTAGAACACTAACCATTTAAAACACCCCAAAGGCTACTTTGAAATGTTTTTTGGGATAAAGTAGGGGTCGAGGCAAGGAAAAATTACTTGTAAATTCATAAATTTTACATTAAGAAACTGGTATACAGACTCACGTTACACAATGTCAGCAACACAAAAATCACGTTACAAAGGATACTTAAATGAAAACACGAAAAAGTCATGTAAAACAACCCCACGTTAATAACAAATTAACCCCCTCTATCCGTTCCCTTTAAACATTTTTAAAATGCCAAACCCCTGCGGGGGAGAATTCGAAATTAAAAAGGGAATTTTAATTTGTAAGCAAAATTTATTTTTTGCATCCGGATTTTCGAAAAGGATAACATTATAAGATTAATTTTTTGCGGATTTGACAAAGTAGTTTAATGTGAGCCGTATTAGCCCTATTTCAGCTTTTTTTGGGTGTTAAGATATATATTGTTATGGAAAACCCAAGAGATATGTAGGTAAAACAAGATATAAAGAAGAAACGAGACATATAAGAGAAAAAAACTTTACAACAGATTAATACAATAACAAACAAGATCGTAAAACAATAGTAAACACCTTGAACAAGACGTAAATCAATTTGAGTGTAGATTTATCGCCGGTGTTGAAGATTACTGTTAGTTGGAGGAGGGTGATAAGCAGCTTGAAAGAGTTATAGTTTGTTTGGAATAGCGTTATAAGAGTTTGGAAGATTTAAAGAGCTAAAATTGGCACCATAAGTTGTAACATGTAGTTTATAAGAGAAACAAAGCAGAAACTTTGAGGTTTCCAAAAATTTAACCATAATTAGGATAAAAGGTACAAATTGGATTATACTTTGAACATAATCAGCTTAGTTAACATAATGCTCAATGAGCACGGTAAAACACCAGGTACAGGGTGTCCAAGGCTCAGTATAGATTTTGCAAGAGCAAGGATAGTACGCAAAATAATGTAACAAGATCAAATAGTTTGCAAATTTAAAGTTAGAAACTCATAGCCCACAAATTCCAAAACACTATAACCCCAAACGAATAATATCGGTCCGAGATAACGCATTACAAAGACTTGAAAAAGCGAAATAAAAGTTCAGAAGCAGGAGGTGGAGGGAACGTGTATATCACGAGAACGCTCTCCTGTTCTCTTCTGATTTTTGGAAAAAGCAAAAATAAACGAAGGGAACGGTGAATGGTAGTGTCAATTACAAGAGACCATAAAGTCTCATGTTATTTATTAGCACCCTGTTTCTTTTGTTTTGTATTTGGTTGTTCAATTAGTTCTGTGTTTCATATTAGGTTGTTCAGGTAATTCTGTGTCCCATATTAAGTTGTTTAAATGATTCTGTGCCCCTTGACCCCAAAAAATTTTTTTGAGTGAGGACACATTATTATTTGAACAACCTGATATTTAGGACTTTGGGTGGGCAAAATTTGATGAATAAAATCTTACTGTAGTTTTTTTTAACTTTACAAATTTTGATCAAAAATTTTATCTAATGATATAGTAAGCCACTTGAAGTTAAAAACCCTTAGGGAACAAAAAATTGAATTTAGTCATCATAAAATGCCTATTCCTTAAGGTTTTTTACAAGCACCGTGTTTCTTTTGTTTTTTATTTGGTTTTCCAATTATTCTCGACAATTTGCTTTGAGAGGGGCACAGGATTATTTGAACAACCTAATACAACAATATCCAAAAACATCTTTATATGATAATGCCCCAAACACCCCTATACGACAACACCCAAAAACACCCTTATAAACTATTCCACCTAGCCAATAGCCGGCAACATCGTATTATGTCAGCAGCCCCACTTAAGAGAGCAATTAGAGCCGTGTCTACCTCAAAAGAAAACAGCAGACATTCCGAGTGTTTGGAAAGGTTGACTGCACACACTAGCGACAAAAAAATTCTTTTAAAATTATTTCTCAAAAAAAATTGTCTCTCCCGGTTTAACGCCGAAAATCGCCGCTGGGAGTGGAAGAAAAATGGGGGAGAACCATTTAGGGGGTGGGTTTAAGCGCTTGACAGGGCTCGTTTCGCTTACATTACATTATAACATGACTTTGTAATGAAGTGGAGGATTGAAGACTTGTATAAGATACTGTAGAAAGAGGATAAGGTACTGTAAAAGGAGAAAAACTTGTAGATTTGATAAAGATACAGTAGGAAATTTAAAAAGTTTCTGAAATTTTATTTTACAGAAGCCATTGTAGAGAGGAGGATGATGATTTAAAGCTTTATTAAGGAGGGGTAATTTTTCGACCAAAATTTTAAAGGCTTTCAATAAAAATATACTTCCTCAATCGCAAGCTGCAAGCCCAACCTTCCCTACCCAAATTAGGCTAAATTAAGTAACAAACCACGCGTTTCAAAACCTCGACAATAACATTTGGCCTTTGTAACCGGCTTCCCTTTTTGTTTTTCCGAAAAAAAATTTTTTTGCGGCCGCAGCAACAATTAATAGACGAAAACAGTCTGGTCTGTAAACAAATAAACTGCAGACAAGCGGATGGCTTAAGCCTGAATCTGAGAACTGGTGCAAAGCGAAACGGAATAACATTCACGATAAGTGGGTTAATTAGCTTAATGTATGATAATATGCGGGGAAATTCGGGAATATGGCTTGGCGGCTTGGAATTGGGATGGGATGAAAAAGTGTAGACTAAGCTAAACCTTTGTGAAAAAATGATAACGGCTACCATATGAAAAATGCTGATATTATAGAGAAGACCATAGTCTAGCTTAATATCCAGAACTCATTATGAGATCGCTTGTCAGAAATGTCCTCGGAGTGGATATTGTCAGTATATGAGGAATTATTAATTAGTTAATTATTAGATTAAGCTTGTAATAACAAGGAACAGAATCATGAGAAACAACATGACAACATATGATGTATATTAGTTGGTTAGCTATAAATAGCTTACTACTTGACACCAGAGTATTTTGAGGCTTAACCTTTGAAGAAGTATACTTTGCTTTGACTAGGCTTCAAACTCATTCTTTTAAGCTTGAAAGAAGACAAGTTTAAAGATAATATACAATATACTTTGTAGCCAAAGTTTACCGTATTAATAAGTCTACGATTAGTTTTAAATTCACACGTTACTATGTAATGTTTAAAACGCTAATTGCTCTAGAATAACGTACAAAAACAAAACCTACGCACGCCAAACATAAACGCCTTTGTAACTAATTAGAAATTCTACGTACGCCACTGTAAGTGATTACAAATATCACGTACTCCACTGTAACAAATTAACAAATAATACGTACGCTACTAACTACCAACTAGTATGTACAGCCTTATTTGAAGCTAAAAGTCTAACCGCACCAATTGACTTCCACTTGACAATAGTTCATGTTATGTGAACTTTTGGCGATAAACAAGAATACTAGAACTTGTCCTCTGAAAAACATAAAAGTTTATAATGGCCCATTAATATACGCGACAATCAACTATGCTGGTTATGCACACGACGTTTGAACTATCAAGGGAGTAAAACGCGATAAAAACGTATGACAGGTAATATACGCGACGTTATGGCTAACTGCAAGTCAAATAGTATTTAAGCAACAAACGAATACGTCAAACGATAGAAAGCTCAAGATGAGTAATA